ACTCCATCCTTGCTCATCTCAATCTCAGTGACTATCGACCCTGGGAAGGGGTGCGCGCGGTGGACGAGACCCCGGCACCGACCCACTGTCAACACAACGTGGATTCGATTATCTACGCCGGGGGTTGACCTCCCCGAGGAGGTCATCCCGGATGCCCGAAGCGGACATGTACGACTCGGCGGAGATCGAGTTGGATGAACTCTCATTCTCCCCTCGACGGAAAGGAACCAGGTGGCCGCGATACAGTGGATCGCATTTCCCCCAAGGTCGGCCATGGCGCAACATTTTGAAACGTCGGGCACAACCATGGAGCCTAGTGTGGTGGATTGCACTGCTTTGCTTGGTGAGTTTTGCATCGCCAGCCGCTGCTGTTCTATTGGACTTTGAAAATTGTCTATCGAAAACCATCCTCGAGTCCGATCCTCTACAACTTCAATTCGTTCCTACCAACGTGTCCGTCAAATTCAACCTTACCAACCCTTTACACCCACTCGCCATCACGGTATATGGCAATGTGTCGGGAACCGTGTCTCGAACCGCAAATTACCCGGCACCAGGCTCCCCCGTCTGGGGAGATGCCAATTGGACCGATGGGAAGATTGAGGATGTCAGCAGTACCAACAACAGATACAGCACGTTGATGACGGATCTCAATGTGCTCAGCTTCACACCATTTCACAATGCTTCTCGATTCCGTGACTCACTCACACAAGGTACCCTCCCGTTGGGTCCGGTCTTCAATTATAATCTGTAAGCTATTCCTGGTACAGAAAGCTTTCTGTACAATTATTTTTACTGATCTCTTTCTCTTACGTAGGAGTGATTTAACGACATTACAAGCGTTCTCTGTTCAACATGATATGCTTTCAACCTACCGTTTCGGAACCATCACGCCGTTATTGACGATTCGCTCTGGAGATGCATCCGCCGTTCAGCTCGCCTGTGTTTCAGTGAAAGCCACGCCGGACTTCGGAACATCGCTCAAAAATGCCATCGCCTATGTGCCTCTTGTCATTTTGATACTCGTGGGGATTGCGACCATCGCTGCCGCTATGTATAGTCCCTGGGGCACAACTGATCTATTCCGGTGGACAAGTAATTACGGCCGTGATGAGGACATTCTCCGGCTTGTGACTCCTGGGTTTGCAGATTGCCTGCAGTACCTTCAATTTGTGGTCTTGACCGGCTCTCTTTCGTTGGACTACCCTGGCTTCTTCCAGCCTGCAGTGAGCCAGGGAGCATGGTCGACTCTCATGTTCAACCATAGTTTTTTGAGCACTGAAATGGGACGCGATCCCGTTGTCGATGGTCTGTATGCCATCAATGGAACTTATGGCCTCGACCGCTTGAACCAGCTGGTTGGCATGGCATCGTCCCAGGATATCTGGCCCGGTATGATGATATGGGTGCTGATAATCCTGGCCTCTGTGACAGTGCTGTTCCAGATCGCATTCGCGCTTCGATGGCTGTATCGTGAGTTGGCAAACAACACGGACCAGGATCTGCGTGCCAGAAACATGCCGTTTACAATAGGCAACCTCATTCGCATTGTCTTCAATTTCCTTCTCTTGCCAATCGTTTCCTTTTCTTTCTTCCAGCTGGTTCTTGCTCGTCAATCGCCTGCTTACTGTGTTGCTTTAGCGGCCGTGGTGCTCGTTCTTCTCGCATGCTTCTCCATCTGGGTTATCCGAGTGATTCTTTCCACCCGACCCAAGTCCCACCTTTTCGATGATCTCCCCACGGTGCTATTGTATGGGCCGCTATATAATACATACTGCGACGATGCAGCAGCCTTTGGTATAGTTCCGATTGTCTTGAATATCGCTCGCGGGATAGCAATTGGTGCTTTGCAGCCATCTGGCATCGCCCAAGTGGTAATGCTAGCCATTTGCGAAGTTGTCTCCGTATTAACTCTGCTGGCTTTCCGACCTTTTTCAGGACCGACTCACATGAACCTATACCACTGCCTCTTCTCTATTGTACGTTTCTTGACCGTCATCTTGAGCGTCATCTTTGTGCCATCATTGACAGTTGGGGATGCGGCACGAGGCTGGATTGGATATCTGATCCTTGTACTACACGCCGTGGTTCTCGTCTTCGGGTTCTTCCTCAACGCGATGCAAACATTGATCGAGGTTCTGGCAAGACTGGCTGGCGCGGGCGGAGCCACTCGTGGTGGCTTGACCAAGGTGCTTGGTATGCGCCAGCTCTCTAGGCGCACTCCGCGGCGTGATCTTACTCGCCAGAGTATGGGTTCGGAAGCTGCTATGCTCGGTCATGGTGACGACCGTATGTCGTCTCAGTTTGATGGCTCGCGCCCGCGCAGTCTCTCTGGGAGCTCTGGTCTACTTCTGAACCGTGCCACAGCCAGTGATGGCAGAGCCAGTGCTGGCTATGATTATGCCAGTTCGCAAGGGGGTACGCACAGTCGTGCTCCAAGTGGAGGATTCCCCACACCTACCTCAACCGCCTATCAAGGAGCCGGCTTCCCTACCTCGCCTAGCAGTGGTACGATGATGGGGATGCACCCCCGTGATCCCTATTATCGACCGCCCCGCCCCGGGCGAAAAAGCCCTCAAGCAACTGGTTCTCTAGAGAAAGGGAAGAGCCCGTCAAGGGGCTTCTTGAAGTCAAGATCCAGCCGGCGAGTAGTCAATACCGAAGATGACATGGGAGATGGCACCATGTCTGGCCGGGCCACACCTGTTCCAGCATATCTAGCAGCACCGAAGGATGATTTGGAGCTCGATACTCCACGCAAGCCAAAGGATTATGCTGTTCGTGAGGTTGATTTCTACTACGGTGTCCGAGGCCCACCGCTCTCCCACAGCGGCACCCGAAAGTTGAAAACCGGGCCAGCCGATCCCACAGGCCCAGTCTCGTCTGCGACGGGCTGGTTCCGAAGCCTGCTCCAAGGAAAGACCAAAGACAATGCCAAAGGATTTGAGGTGGTCCGAAGTGCTCGTGCGCCTCCTCCAGGTCTATTCCCGCCAGGAGGTGACTATAATGATCAATATCAGGATGATCCAGGCACGCCATCTGCCAGCCACTCTCGGAATGTGTCTAATGACAATGCTCCTTATGTGGATTCAGATAATGACCACGACCCCGATCGGCCAAGTGAGACACGCCCACCAGTACTGCCACAACTTAATACATCAGTTGGTGGTGGCATTGAGTTGCCCAGTCGAACGGGCTCTCGCCACACACAGGCGGTCGGCGAAAAAAACGCAGATGGAGCCGCGCTTGGCCTTCCAGTTGTCACTGAAACCCTGTCGCACGACTCTATTGTCGGCCAGCACTCTGAGCACTCCGAGCATCATCTCCAACCCGAAGGCCCCACCGCCGCACGCCTGCCTTTCAGCGGGAGTAGCTCACCATCCCGTGAACGAGGCCTGTCTATGACCTCTACCTCAAGATCACGGTCAAACGCCTCGAGCCACCAGACGGGCCCTCGAGCAGAACGCCCCTCGAGCATGGGCTATGTGCCTCAATATCGTGCACACGACCAAATCCACGAGGCGAGCCCCGATGAGCCGTCATTTGCAGGCAGCTCGGCAGAACTTGTCGACGAAGCTGCCCTGGGAAAGCATGAACGCTAGACAGAAGACCAAAAGGCAGACAGGTGTACGAGCCAGTATATTCCTCCTCCTCTTCGATATCTACCTCTCTCTATCTCTCTCCTTGTTCCTATCCATGGATCTCCCCCACTTATTTCCTACTTACCTTTATCGATATCATCACCACGTCTCCCTGAATATCTGGCGCATTGATGCCATTGTGACGAATTTCCTTGGTTTCCGTCTGTCTATCGTTTGCTTTGTGTCTCCACCTAAAATGGCAGCGACGGCGTTCTATCTCTGTTCCCGAGATACACCTACTGGGGAGTGATCTCATTGACTTTCTACTATCTTTCTGGCTGTCACCGAACTAGGCCACATACTGTTTTCTTTCTGGAGGCTTTGCTTCTTTCTGTGCCTGTTTTCCTTTCGCTCTTCTTGTATTAATCTTAGGACACAGTAGTACCGAGATCATAATTAATGGGGACTGTTCATTAGTGGTCTTTATTAGGGGCGTTTTTACGGCTTCGATATGTCTTGAAAGATGGATACAACTGACAGTTCACGTATATACAAATAAGTCATGTCTCCTGTTGCATTATCATGCATGGTACCCTGTCTATCGACACTATGCAAGGATCCTGCGGCCATGTCTATCCACAAGAAAGCCTCCTTAGTCTATAATACCTACATACTAGCGTGAAAGTTTCCCTAGGGGTGAAGAATAACTGGTATTATCATCATTTGAACCATGTGGTCTAAATCAGAAACACTGAGGCTTCTAAAGCAAAACCGAGAAACCGAGGCCGATGATACGGCAGATCGGGCCGATACTGTCAGTCGCCACCGCCCTCACCGCCCCCCACGATAACGTATCTGGGCCAAACATGCAATGCTTTACACCATTTCCTCTTTCCCGGTGAATCAAAGAGTTACTCTGGTTTTCATCTTCTTATTTTTATCTGCTGCTGGCATCGATCTCGGGTTGCTGGCATCTAAGAGCATAGTCACGAGACTCTCAGCTTCATCTGTCAAATCCGGTCCAGTCTTGGCTCCATGATAAGCATCATCCTGTCACTCCTTGATGTGATCTTCGGCAAAAAGCGTCAACGTCATTGAGGCTGAGCTCAGGATTGCATGTAAGGACTGTGAACTCCTATACATCTATAAACTCCGGCTTCCCCGCCATCCATTTCCCTCACCATCGCCACCTGGTTCATGAAGACTGTCACCCCAACGGTCGAGATCGATCTCGTTGCCGTATTGAATATAATCTCACAGAGGATTCATACCAGTTGAACCATCGGCAATAATGCCTGGATCAAGCACAGCGTCATCTAGCCCTATTCAGTCCAGCCCCCAGCCGAGGACGCGGGCGGGCACGAGGCCGGTCGAAAGACTAGAGGGACAAGGCACAATCCAAGCTGCAAGCTACAGCGACTATGAAGGAGGCAGCTTCAGGGCGAGGGCTTTTCCCATTCGCCCTGGGTCAGAACGCAAAAGACGGTTGACCAGTACTGGCGAGGATGCGAGGTTGCAATGGGGACGACCTGGGGGCACGGCTGGACCGGCCCCAGACAATGGGAGGTCCTCTAGGAGTATATTGCCGCATAGATCTGTTTCGATGGTACTGCCTTCGTCCCGCACCAGATCCTCCATTTCCGCAGCACCTGGCTCATCATTTGCAACAGCAATTGATATCTCTTCCTCACCCCCAGGGATGCCTCATTCTTCTACTTCTGGCGAACAACTGCCGGGTCTTTCTCGACGGGAGAATCCAACATCCTGGATTAATCAACCCCGCTCCGCCGCATCTCATCATAATAATATACCCCGACCAATTATGGATATGGCTCTCCCAAAATGGCAGGCAGATTCGGATGTGTCAGAATGTCCGATCTGTGGGATAGTGTTCAGCTTCTGGCACAGAAAGCACCATTGTCGAAAGTGCGGGAGAGTGGTGTGTGCATCATGTTCCCCGCATCGGATTACAATTCCCAAACAATATATTGTCCGCCCTCCTGAGTTTGTTGACCTCCTCCCCGATTCTCCACCAATGCCTTCCTCCCACCATCCACCGGTCGTCGATCTCACAGGCGACGACCGTGCCGTATCATCATCACCATCAACAACACTCAATCCTGCTCTTGGTGGAGGGGAAGAAGTACGGCTTTGCAATCCATGTGTGCCAGATCCAAATCCGAACCCCCCTGGCTACAGTACCGTGCGGGGACACAGCCACCGATCCACTCATTCTCTTTCATCAACTATGGCCAACGTATATCGTGCCTCATCAGTTAGTTATCACCTATCACTTTTCCAAAGGAAACATGGATTGACATGAACACTCACAGGGTCCAAACCAGAATCGTGAAGCTCGTCAGGAACGACGAACCGTGGGTGCAAATGACCGACCACAATTCTTGAACGAACTGAACTCGCAACCCCATCAAGTTCCCTCGACCACCGGCCTAACCCGACCCCGCCGTTCATTTTCTAGCCGTGAGGGTAACCTGCCCCGTGGACCTGCACCAGACGAAGGTGATTTCTGCCCTGTATGCAGACGCCAATTTCCCCCACTGAGTCCCGAGCAGCCTCTCGAGGCGCGCCAAGCCCACACCCGGGCGTGCATCGAGAGCTATTTGAGACCGGCTGCCCCGCCGCGCACATCTTCCGCGCAACAGGGTCCCCCGCTGCCCCATCCTCCACCAGCAGCCCGCATGCTTCCATTTGTGGCCACAGAGAAGGACTGTCTCGGTGAGCATGGCCAGGCAGCGGAGTGCACGATCTGTATGGAGGACTACGAGGTCGGGCAGACTCTGGCCCGCCTTGAGTGCTTGTGCAAGTTCCACAAGCACTGTATTGTCGACTGGTTTGAGAGGAAGATGGAGTGCCCGGTCCACAAACTTTCCTAACAAGGTGCACATCTATATACCGTGAATTCCAAGAAATCTTGTTGCTTATTAGCCTAGCGTTTTGCTTTTTTCCTATGGAATTTGTGTTTCCAATATCCCTCTCAGCGTTATGATTTTCCATTGAGATCTCATGATCAATGAATCCAATCTAATTTGAATCTTAAAATTAATACATTAGATGCTGTATATACTCCGGAACAAGGTTGTCTGGTTGGATGTCAGTCACGTGGCCCCTGTTGTTAGTGAGAACTCAAAAAATTCAGAGAACTTCACTTCACTTCTGGCCCCAAAGTGACGATCAGTTCAGGACAAAGGGATATTATAAGAAAGAGAGGTAAGCGTTATTCTACATATTCCCCTTGCTTGACAGGAACCCACACTGAGGCATGTTGATCCTCCACATCGGTGGTCGGTGTTTGTGATCACCGTTCCCCGTGTATTTTCCCCATCGCGAGCTGTCAGCGATAACACTGAAACAAATGGCCAAAACAGTATTAATTTATATTAATGGGGATTTGATGCTGATACGTGACAGTGGTCTAGTTTTGGAACTGGCATTACGCAGTATTACACAACCCCGCAGTGTATGCAAATCGATCCGCAGCTGCAACACCGAGACGGGGACCCTCAACGGCGTTTTTACACCCCGGCCCGACCGACAATGAGCACAGGCCCGGACTACCCCGAGCCCCCATCCCACGAACCCCTAAATCCATATCAAAGCCGGGATATATATGGTGATAGGCATGGGCATGGGGACACACACCCGTCATTTGGGATGGGTCCAGAAAGCAACCAATCCCCAGAGCCGCACGACACCCCCGGCGATACTAAACGATCGCGTGCATGCGAGCCCTGCCGACAGCTCAAAGTGCGCTGCGACCCAGACCCGGCGCACCCGGAAGGGTCATGCAAGCGGTGCGCGAAAGCGCGACGGACGTGCGTTGTGACTGCGCCTACCCGCAAGCGGCAGAAAAAAACCGACAGCCGGGTAGCGGAGCTAGAGCGAAAGATCGATGCTCTGACGGCGACGCTGCACGCATCGCATTCGACTGGTGCGTTGTTCTCTAGTGGAGCAGGGCAGCAAGCACCACCGACGGGACAGCGGGATGAGCAGCTGGCTGGTCGGAGATGGTTGGGTGGGGAGTCGAAGGTGGCTGGAATCAAGCGGCAGCACACTGGCGAAGTTAAGGATTTGTCTGGGGGGTTGCTGGCGCCGCGGTATTCGCGGCCAGGCAGTCCCTCTGCGGAGCAGATTCCTACCCAAGCGTCGAAGCATTGGCGCAGACCTGTTGCTGGTGACTCTGCGCCGCCGAAACATGACGCTGGGAATGAGTTTGCCGATATGATCGACCGGGGGATTGTAGATTACGAGACTGCCAGCGCGGCGTTTGAGCGGTATATCCATAAGATGGCGCCAGAGATGCCTTTCGTTGTTTTCCCGCCGGGCACCACGATGGGCGAGGTTCGGCGTAACAAACCTTATTTGTTTCTTGCCATCATTGGCGCTGCCATTGGAATCTTTAATCCGGACGCTCAGCCTATCCTCATTAATGAGGCATATCGCCTGATCGCCGAGCATGTTGTTATCAAAGGTCAAAAGTCGCTTGAGCTTGTTCAGACTATAATGGTCTGTTCTATCTGGTACCTGCCACCCGATAACTTCGAGGAACTCAAGTTCTATTCTTTGACTCACATGGCTGCGGTGATGGCAATCGAGCTTGGTTTGAACCGTCGTATTTCCGAAAATAGACGGGCCTTCAACATGATCCGCGAGGTAATCGGTAGAAAGCCGACGAGCCCGGCATTTGACCCAGAGGGACCGGAGGCAAGGCGGACATGGGTTGGCTGTTATTATTTATGTGTCCAGTGAGTTTCAATCTGGGTTGTTCTGGTGTGTGGGAATTGGGTAGCTAACTTTTGGACAGAGTATCGGCGGCTTTGAGGAGAGTGCACTTGGTCACATGGCAGCCGTATATGGACGAGTGCCTTGAGATTCTAGCAAACCACCCGGATGCGCTACCCTCCGACCGGAAATTGAATTGGTGGGCAAAACTGGGATTGATAATGGAGGATGCTGGACATCACTTCTCTGCGGATGATCCCGAACCCATCACCACCTTCGCAAATAGTAAGGTGTGGTATAATATGAAGGTGTTTGAGGAGCGATTGGCACAGTGGAGAGAGGAGATCCCACGGGATATTTACACAGGCACGTCCCGGTCTTGGGAACAGGCTTTAAATCTGCTGCTAACAATTTTCTAGGGCCGATGGTTCACACAGAACATGTCTTAAATCTCTTTGTGCATGGGTCTGCGATGTGTGTAAACTTCAGCGGCAACCACTCTCCATCACAGGATGATTTACATAGATCATCCATTGCGGCGGTCACCGATGGGTTGACCACCGCCATCCGCTGCATCCACGAGAGTATGGATGTCATTTGCGCTATTGAGAGTGACCGACTTATATCCATGCCTACAACAACATTAGCGCGGACAACATACCCCGTGGTCAGTTTGATAAAAATATACTCACTGTTCATGTCGCCGGATAGTCGAATCAGGCAGATTCTCGACGTGCAAAGTCTCAAAATCGATTATTATCTGGACAAAGTCATCGCGCATTACCGGAGCGCTGCGGCGCGTGATGGTGGCCGCGCAGCAGCGAAATTTGGAAACATAATGGTCCTGCTGCGCAATTGGTTCATCAAAAAGCGCGACCAGGGAGATCATGGCCGGGAATTGAAAGAGGTCTTTGCAAATGGTCAGAAACCCTCCGATCACCGGCAGACACATCGGAGCCATGATGCCCCGGACGGAGCATCTGCCAAATCAAGAACGCAGATGGCACCGGGCATGACACCCCTCCATTTCTTGAGCGAGGTAGCCATGGGCGACCCAGCGCACCGAGCGAACAATTCCAACTCTCAATGCGCAATAACCGGTCAATCCTATCCCTCAAACCACAGCCCAAGCTCGATAGTCAACCCAATGCCAACGCTGGGTCCATCCAGTTTTGGGCCAGACCCGCCTCAACCCAGCTGGTCATCTGGCACATCATACCCAACCACTCTCCCGGGCTCAGACTCGAACCAGATCGAGACGAGGGGCTACTACCAACCCTACTCATCCGCCGAACTCACACATAACTACCCAGATTTACCGTCGAGTGCCACCCAGACTCAGGGATACCCGGACATGTCCACCGTGGCTGGGATGCAGCTTGCTCCCCCGATGGGAATGGCACCGGAGGTAGGCACGGACCCCAATCCCGGTGAATCTTGGCTTACGTTAGGGAATATGATGGATGAGGGACTATTCACCTTCCCTTTTGATGGGAATTTTGGGTTGTTTTAGTGTGCTTTGTGGTTGAGTTAGGGTGGTGTTCTGTATATCTATTGCTATATTATACCCGTTGCTGTTATGAATATATGATACCAACTTCACTCACTTTCTCGCCAGATGTATTATCTTTGAAAAAAACAGAACACTTGGAAGGAAGCAAGCCATAGTGCATCTTCGCATTCAGGTTGTCACTCTCATGGGGTCCGGGTAGTGGCAAAAATTCGACATTTGACGGTGACTATGTACCTCAGTGAAACAGAGAAAATATTTATTGATATTGAGATGTTGGAACTGCACGCTTTACGTTCACCACTTGCGCTCTACGGCGCCTGCAGGAACAAATCAAGCATCCAAAAATGAACAGTAACAAAGCTCCTCCAATACCAGCAGCAAGTCCAATAACCAACGAAAGATGATTCTGAACCCAGGATGACACATCACTTGCATCACCTCCCCAAGTTTCTTGTCCAGTGTTGCCAGTGTTGCCAGTGTTACCGGTGTTGCCAGTTCCAGAATTGCCGTCTCTCTGACATTCATCCCCTCCTCGCCATTGGCATGTCACAGAGTCGCAGCACCGAGTGTCTCTCTCATCACAGGCACCATTTCCACAGTCACATGCCTCGCCAGCTTCAACAATGCCATTCCCACATTGCTCGTTACTACCAGTGGTGTTGCCGGTTCGAGAGTCTACTAAGCAGCTCCCGTCAACCCGCCCAGAGCCAAGCCGCGAGCAGACATTTCCAATCGTGCAGGGTGAAAAGCGTGTCATGCCAGGTCTAGATACGGGGTTCATCAGGTATTGTTCACCGGCATCACAGGTATTTGATGATAGTGGGCAGCATTGTCTCGAGTCGCTTCCGCATGTACTTGAGGTGCAGTCATGGACTGCTCCGAATGTATGAGCTGACTCGTGACTTTCTGTGTCAGCGAGAAGGTACCATCAACTTGTTGCTTACAGGCTGCAATCACTTACGCAAAGACCTGCCACTCATCCCGTGTTCGTGCGACAACATTGGCACTGGCTCCACCGTTGCTAGAGGCAGAACCCGTATTACATAGTGCTCCAATCCATGATACTCCAATCTCCCCAGCAGAAACTGAACACCCAGTCAGCAAGGTCCAGTATGCATTCTCATCATTTAATGAGCTTCGCCACGTTGAAAAGGTCTGAAGTCGCGTGTTGAGATCCCCCTGAGAGCATGGAACATTCCACGCAGTCGTGTCTGAGGTACTACTCTGGCAGTCAGCGTCACTGATTGTCAGATTCTGTACCGCAAGAGAGATATTGAAACTGTTCTCAAAGACCACAGATGCAGTGTTGACCATATTCAGGATGTATCGATGGGCCGAGTCGGAGGAGTTGAAGCTTGCAGTATAGGTGCAATCCGTCATGATACCAATGTACGCAATCTCCCTCGTGTTCGGACAACCATTCGTACTACCGATTGTCGATGTGGGGTTATCGTCCCCCCAAGGGTTCCAAATCTGTCGCTTGTCCAAGTGTGTTTCGGGGGCAGTTGCGCAAAGCGAGGGGAGTGACGATCCGCCTGCCGAGAATGCGGATTCGTGTTCGTGGGCTATTATCCCAGTAGACCCATCATCGAGGGTTTCAAGCACAATGGTATACTGCGAACCCATAATTGTGAATGTTCCATCGAAGAGCAGGCTCTCGCCATCCTGCATCACGGCCAGTCTTGCCCACCCGACATCTTCTCGACTCCCCTCACGAGTTTCCTGCATCCAGACCGACCCTTTTGTATACCGGACTTGAATGTTTGGCAGAGTGCCTGCCTCAATAGCGTCTCGGTGGACATCGGGATACCGGATTTGCACGCTTGGCGATACGAGATCATCGTTTGTTTCTAGAACAAAGTTGATGGTTTGGTTGTATGTTTCAATCCCCGCGGTGATAGTGAACTGCTTGGTAGCGGTTGATGGAGAGAGTATTGGATCGATCAGACGAAATGACACCGGATTAACTGGATGAGACAGTCAGGCTTATGTTTCGCGGGCAATTAGATACACGGTATACTTACGTCCAACGGTCGATGTCACAATCAAAGCAAGCAAGGCTAGAATAGTAAAGGACGAGCTCGGTTTCTTCATCCCAGATGTGATGGTTTTCTTTTCAATTAATTTATTGACTACAATGTGCTGCATTATATAGATTTCACGTCCACATCCATGAATGTTCCCCATGCCAATGCTAGGTGTCTCATGTCACCGTCTCTGCCATGGCCACAATATAAGCCAAGATCCACATCTGAATGTCATGTCTAAGCCCCAGCCCAGAACAGACTTTCTGCCAAGTATGGAAAAGCGAATAGGTGAGTGTTGGACGCGTGGCTAGAAGGATATAAACAGAAGTCAGCAACTTGCAGATAAATGTTGTTGCCTCAGCCACGATCGAGTTCTAGAAAACGGTGGACCCTAAATCGACTGCCTATCGAGTAAATGAAGAACTTGATCAAACTCAAACAATTCCGTTGCCAAGAATCTCCGTCAGCATCTCCGTTAACTCCATCCCCTCCATCCTGACCAAGTCGAGCATGGGTTCCGATCCCATTGCTAGAGGGAAGTCCTCCGGATATGTCCCCAAGATAAAACTCGACAAATCTCACTGGAGCTACTCGCAACATTACATAAGCCGAGACATTTCTCGAGAACTTGGGATCCTTAACAATATGTCTGTCCGGTTGTCCACAGTGATCTTTTTTGTCCTGCTTTTGAGTCTTTAGGGCCTGTATAAAACCGAGGTCTATGCAAGAAATTAAGACCTCTGCCCTACCAAACGGAGTTGCCACCAGAAACCCTTCGTCATGTCCATGTCTAATGATGAGTTTGATGGACGTTGTGATGTCAATTGGAGAGATGAGTCCCCGTGAATGTGTGGATTTTCAGGGAGATTTGGGAAAAAGTGGGGGGCTATGAGCCAGATGTGGACAATCCCCTTCCCTGAGCCTCAAAAGCCTACGTTTTCCTTTTCATCCGACGATCACAGGGAGATCACTCGGAGAATCCCATTATCCGCAGCTCCGTCCAAAAAACAATCTCCCAAATGCTACACATCTCGTGACCAGTTAATTTTGACCTTTCAGAATGGCCCCCGACCCTAAACGCGTCGCGAGTATCATGCTCTCATGGCACTCACTGGACCTCGTCTCATGCACCAACCTACAGACCCTATGGGCTGGTTACGGGAACATATGTGCTGTCACAGCGCGAGCCACCACCGACCAAGCAGCCAAACATGTCAGCAAGCTATGCGGTGTAGAACCAGGTCGCATAGGGTCGATATATCCCCTCATCCTAAAGTTCATTTCACCGCCCTACAAAAGCGGCACTGCAGATGAGGGCCACCTACGAAAGATGCTGAGCTACGAGGTAGAACAGTACTTCTATAGTGAAGTTGTTCCACAGCTAGGCTCCGATATAGCCATAGCCAACTGTCTTGCCTCGACGCGCGACATGAACGACGCGGAAGGCTCGTCAGAACTCAGAGGTCTCATGGCTACGATTATGGTTGATCTACGTCCTGGATTCCCCGTCGCGGGCGAGAAGAGAGGTGCATTGAACCGCACACAAGTGCGTGCGGCGCTAGATTGGCTAGCTCGCTTTCACGGCCGTTCACGGAGACTGCTGCCAGCCAGTCTTGATGGATACGTTCTGCCGCCGCTTGAAGAAAGCAGTAGAAGGCAGAGTACCGACAAGGATGCTGGCAGCGGGCTGTGGCTGAATGGAGGATATACGTACCTCGCGACGCGACGTAAAGAGTACGCATCTCTTGCACACGACACGGGCTCGGAATGGTCAGATCTGCTGTGCGGGGTTTCGGATAGGTGCTCACTATCCGTGGCGGAGATGGTGGCATTGTTCCTAACGCCCTGTGGAAGGGCAGTCGAGTCGTATATTCATGGCGATGTCAAGTCGGAGAATCTCTTCACGACGACTAATGGAGACAACGTGGCGTTCTTTGATTTCCAGTACGTCGGGCTGGGTCTAGGAGTATGTGACCTTGCCAAATTATTTACCTGCTCGATTCCTTTGCATATGCTGGTTGATGGCAATGGGAGTTTGCCTGAACAGCTGTCAATGTGTGATGGTGAGAGAGGACTTTTAGAGCGGTACCGCACAACCCTCCTGGACGAGGACTCGCAGCTGTACGATTGGGAAACGTTCCAACGACACTGGGAGACGGCTTTGGTTGACTGGTGTAGATTCCAGGCGTCGTGGGGATTTTGGGGAAATACAGAGTGGCTCGAGGCCCGTGTAAGATCAATCTTGAATGACCAGGAGTGGAGAGACTGGTTGTATCAGAGTATCCGCAGTCGGTTGTAGGATCCCTAGTTATCAAGGAAAGAAATAGACTCCCATAAACATTGCTTCCCCAACAGTACCAGCACAACAAAGTAGAAACGGAAAGACAAGTGGATCTCCCATAACGCTCATCTTAAACTGGGACATGCGAGTTTACAGCCCCATAAGTAACTGAACGATGGGCCATATCTTTATCCACACCATGCCAATGAACAGTACCAGGAGGGCACCAAATGATATCCCCATTGTTGACTATTCGAGGCTGTCCCTTGTCGCATACCCATCCCGAGCCTGCAGTTATTTCCAGAAGTTGGCCTTTGGCGTGGTGGTGCCAGTGTGGAAGAATTTTCTCATCCAGGGGACTGTGAAGTCGAAGTGGAGGATAGAGTTGAGTTGACTGGATCATTGAAAGCCTGGGTACATCGTTGGTTTTATCGGTACTCGGCCATGACAACCTTCAAATCCATACCGAAATCGACCTGGGGAACCTCTTGAGTAGGCCAGCTACCATGAAAAGCGTTTTAGAAAAGGGGGACGCTGCCAGTCAATGAAAAAGAAACCGACAGGAGGGGAAGTGGCCTAAAAATGGGTGCCCAATCCGTCTTTGTGCATCTTACGATTTGTAATTTGTAGCCTCAACGCCTGTGGCTTAGAGGCTTCTCCATAACTAGACACCTCCACCTGCGCTGCGCTGGTTTGATGTTCCAGTCGCCGCGCTCCACACAATCCATGATCCATTTCGCCGGCCCTAATAATGAGGGGATCCAAATTGGGGCCAATTACGGCTTGATAAACATCCATGGGAAACAGCCAGGTAAGAATACCACTTGAGTCCAAGGTTCTGCAAATCACAAAGCTTACGCTCACGGATGATCACCAGGCTCGTCCACAGAAGAAGAGTATCAAGAATGCCAACGCGCACTTTTCCCTACCAATCCCTATGATCCCTACCTAGACCGAGAGCAGGTCATAAGCTCGAAGGGGCCTCGAGTGCCTGGAACCTGTGAATGGATCCGAGAAAGCGAGCGTTACCGCGCCTGGTTGCACGGCGACACCCCGCTCCTGTGGATCTGCGGTGGTCCTGGCAAAGGAAAGACTATGCTCTCCATCTTCCTGACGGAGGAGCTGGAGCAGCTTAAGTCGAAAATGCCAGGGACCGAGTTGCTGTTCTACTTCTGTAACCATCAGGACGAGAAGCGCCGCACTGCAGATGCCATCCTGAGGGGACTGCTGTACCAGGTCCTCCGCAGACGCCCCAGTCTCGTGAAATATGTACGGCCATACCTTGATGCTTACGCGGATGGCGGGTTTCCTTTTGAAGCGCTATGGACGATGTTCCGAAAAGTCCTCCAGGATCCCGATCTAGGCACAACATTCTGCATCATCGACGGCCTGGATGAATGCGACGATGAGTACGATTTGCGGCGTACACTAGTGGCCAAGCTTGTCGCCTTCCTCCTGTCAGACAAGAAGAGCTCATCCATACGACTGCAGCTTATCATCGTCAGCCGAGAACTCCCCGGACTCACCCTCCATACGGTCTCCACGCTCCAACTGGGCTCGGAGGACAACGATGAGCTACTTTCCCGCGACATTCAATTAGTCATCGCATCGCGGGTGGATGAGTTGTCCACCATCGATGGATTCAGTAACCAACTCGGCGCCTTCATCCGAGACCGACTGCTGGAACGCGCCGAAGGAACCTTTCTCTGGGTAGGCTTGGTGATGAACGAACTATCACAGAAACGGACTTGCACTCAGGTCGTTGACGCCCTCGATGACTTCCCCATGAGCTTACCTGCCATTTACCGCCGGATGCTCCTCCAAATTGAGCCGAGCTGGGTGGGAAGCAGTGCCCGTTGCCTGAGGTGGGTGACCATGGCACCCCGTCCCTTGACGCTGACCGAGCTTGAAGCTGCGCTCGACATCCAAGACACAACCATTACCACCCCAACAGCAGCCCTCATCAGCCGTGAGCAAGCCACTCGCGACCGCATCACCCTCTGCGGACCATTATTGAAGGTTACTGGGAACAACGAGGTCACTTTAGTTCACCAGTCCGCGAGAGATTATCTCCTGCGCGCCACGCCAGACACTCACCCGATCCTTGAACAGTTCCGAATTCAGCCAGAGAGGGCGCATCTGGAACTCGCACAGGCCTGTCTGGGATATATTTGTAGGAGTGTAGGGTTGGATGATGATGAATCTCTCTCTCAGGCTGGCGCCAGGACATCACTGCGACGACAACGACGGGAAGATGCTCCATTCTTCCAATATGCCGCACTCCACTGGCCCGAACATACACGGCTTGCTTCTTCGTTCGCCGAAGAAATATTTGATCCCTACCACCCCTTCTTCTGGGAAGATTCCTCGTTGCGCCAGCGGTGGTGGGTGGCCTACCGGGAGATGGATTCCCGAATGGCCGCCGATGCGTCGGACCTGCCCTTATTGCATCTCGCGTCGTATCTCGGGATTGAGCCTTGGGTGCGAAGGCTAGCAATCTGTGCCTGGTGGAATTTTCCCTGGAAGAACAGAGTGGACCCGAGGGACGGACAGGGTCGGACGCCGCTGTTCTATGCCACCGTGGGGGGCCACCTGGCGGTCGTAAAGCTGCTGCTGGATTTTGGTGCCGACGTGAATGCGAAGGATGACCATGGGTGGACTGCGCTGATGCAGGCCGGAAAAGATGCGGTTCTGCAGGCTCTGCTGGACCGGGGCGCGGATATCAATGTCGGGGGTGCCGCACTACGGCACGCCGCAACTGGTGGACATGAGGCAGTCGTTCGGATGCTTCTGGACCGCGGTGTGGATGTGAATGTGACGGATCAAAACGGCCAGACCGCACTTATGGAGGCGGCCTGCCGAGGGCATGAAGCCGCGGTACAGCTCCTATTTGATGCAGGTGCCAATGTCCAAATGATGAATTACCAGAAGAGAACCGCCCTCACACAAGCGGCTCGGGGTGGACATGTGGCGGTCATGAAGTTGCTGCTGCTCAACCACCGTAATAAATCCACTAATGCTCAGAGAAAGCAAAGGGCAACGGCTCTCATCGAGGCCGTCAGGGGGGAAATCAAGAGGCAGTGGTCTTCCTCTTGGAAAACGATGTGGCGATTGATGCAATGGATGAGAGTGGACGGACCGCGCTGGCAGACGCAGCTCAAACAGGATCTTCGGCTATGGTCCAACTCCTACTAGACCACGGCGCCAACGTCAACACCAGGTGTAGCATGGAAAGAGAACTACAGCTGACAATGGCGTGGGGTTGCCACCAGCTGGGAGGCTTGCTTTGGAAATGGGCTGGGAGGGCCATACCGAAGGCAGTCGTGCAGGAGGCGAGTCGAAATGCGGGGGTGGAAATACTGGTTTTGGCCATTCACAATGGAGTGGTCACAAACGCTGGAGAGACAGCGCTAGAATTGGCTGCGAGGGAAGGCCACGAGGCTGTGGTCCAATTACTTCTGGAGCATGGAGCGGATGTGAATAGAAGAAGTCGGTTTGGATGGACGGCGTTGTGGTGGGCTGCAAAGAGAGGGCACGCAGGAATTGCAAGACTTCTGCTGGGTCATGAAGCAAATGTGAACCTGTCCAGCTGTAATGGACAAACATCGCTCATGCAGGCAGCGGGAGAAGGACACTTGGAGGTAGGACAGCTGCTGCTTAACTCCGGTGCACTTCCTGATCTACAACCAAGGATCACCTTGCAGACAGCCAGCCGCCGCGCGCCAAAGCGAGCCATGTCAAACTACATCAGTTCAAAGGGGTTTCGGACAAGGAGGATTAGACTGAACCGTGTCAGACCAAGGATTAGAGGAAAGAGGATCACTAGAAAAAATACGACGCAAATCAGGAGGTTAAAGAAGATCAACCCACAGACGAGCACCTGGTCAGACAGCACCGGGCCAGAGAACGCAAATTTGGCAATCCCCGAGAGAGGCGAGGTGAAACCGATGAAAACAAATTTGGACGATGACGTGCACGGGGGTTTAGGGGAAATAGCGGTGGCAATATTCGGGGCAATATTCGAGGCAATATTCGAGGCAATATCCAAGGCGATAGGTGAAGTGATAGGTGAAGTGATAGATGAGGTCATTGACCACTGTTTCTATGTAGCTAGTGGGGGAACAGCCCTGATGCAAGCAGCTAGGAGGGGACATAGGTCTGTGGTGGAACAGCTCCTTGAACATGGTGCTCGTGTTGATGCAAAAGATCGACTGGGGCGGTCAGCTCTCTCGTGGGCAGCGGAATCAGGACATACAGAAGCCGTGAAACTGCTGCTGATGAAGCATGCAGATGTGCAGGTGGAGTTAAGTGGATACCAGAAGCAGGGGGTGCTCATACAGGCAGCGGCAGGTGGGCATACGTCTGTAGTGAAATTGCTCCTGGACCACGGATATGACGCTCAAGCGAGGGATCATGAAAACAAGACCGCCCTGATGCATGCGGTGGGGGAAGCGCATACCGCAACCGTGGAACTCCTCCTGGACTACTATGCCGATGCCAACCTTGAACAAAACATGCTTAGCCAGAGCGTTAATCAAGGACAGGAGACGATCGTGCGATTGCTTCTGCAACGTGGGAGGATTGATGTCAATGCGAAAGATCATTTTGGACAGACCCTCCTCATCCGTGCGGCGAGACAACAACACATGGGAGTGGTACGGCTGCTACTTGATCATGGAGCAAGTATTGATGCTCATGATACTTGTGGATGGACGGCATTGTGGTGGGCTGCTGAGCGGGGGTCCGAAACAGTCGTGCAGTGCCTTCTCGATCATGACGCGGATTTTTATATCCAGGATCATTACGGCTGGACGGTTCTTATGAGAGCTGCTGAGAAGGGGCATCATGGTGTGGTCCGGCTACTTTTAAACCGGGGTGCTGATCCAGATGCACTGGATCATGGTGGAGGTACTGCATTGATGGGGGCATCAGGGCGAGGGCATGAAGTAGTAGTGCAGCTCTTGCTTGAATACGGAGTTGATCTGAATGTGAAAACCCACTCTGGGTGGAGTGCATTATGGTTAGCGGCTGAGAAGGAGCACCAGTCGGTGGTACAGCTGCTGGAATCCGCTGGAGCCCGTCTTTAGGAGGAAAATAGGCTCATTTTCGTGCCGTGCCCTGTGGGCTGGGTTGTAAATTATATGACAGACAGACCTCAATCAACTCATCGAGCACAGATGATTTGCAGATGCACAATCCCCCAGGAATAGCAACATCATTTTGCAGGATGATTATTGGGTCAAAGGAGGAGGGTAGTCATTCAACTTTTGGAGAAGGATTGAGGGGATCATAGCAGTCACAATGTTTGCAGTCATCCCGAGACTCGTCTTGTTCATGATGTGGCATATTGCGCGAAACAGCCACATGGTCTTGGACTCCTGTTAGGCACACAATACCACTTCTCACGGGATGAGATGTTGCGTAATGGCCTGGTAGACTCTATCCTCTTCCATCCGATGTACCTTGACTTCCAGCTCCATGAGGTGCAGGGACTGGACAGACAAGGTAGCCAACGAGATTATCCTAGGTGGTGTCGATCTGGAACTCCTCCGCCAACCGCTTCTGCTTTGTGCTCCAGACGTGCGTTCTATAGACCTTCGCGTGGTGGCGCGTATAATATTCTGGTGTCGCCAACTGGACCTTCACCACCGAGATCTCCTGGCCATCACGAATTTAGACCGGAACATGGGTCCTTGCGGTAAGCACACAGGGGGAGAGGTATCATAGTACGTGATCGGGTCCAGTTTGTCTGGATTGCGTTGATAAAAAAAAGGATTGATTTGGCGTGGGATGGGCTCTCAGTATATGACGGTTTAGTCGAGTGATCTAAGCCGGTTGAGTACGTATTTAGGAATATATATAACTTTATGTACTATTTTATGGATAACCTCTACTCAAAACACGGTCGACAATTCTAATTGATCTATATCATGGTATTTGTAAACAATTTGGGTATATAACTTTTTAACTACATCCGTCTCCACGCTTGCACGACTTGGTTGTGCACATATCCCCACGGCCAGCCGTTCTCCCTTTCCGTTCGGCGAAGGAGATCAATCAGCAAATTCTGGACAACAGGATCTTCCACCCATGAACCGCCTGTAACCATATTAGCAAACTCCCAATCATAAAATTGGCACAAAACCTACAAGCGAAAAGTGCGTGGCAAGCCGTGATACGCAGTGAAGGATCATCGTCGGCAGAGGTCGCGATGCCGAACATAAAGTTAAGTGTTCTGGCGAGATCATTCTGTCGGGGGTCAGCATGAAACCGAATGTCTCCGGGGGGGGGGGGAAACAAACGGACCCTTAATTTAACAGGATGCTCTAAATGCAACATGCTGCGATCATAAAATTCGAGTTCTCGAATGAGCATCAGCGATTTAGCGAGACAGATGTGCTGGATTGCAGTGGCTAGATCCTGAAATTAGCACATCACTTCGCCACACGGGAATATACCACATACCATGCCACAAGCTCGTATACCAAGCAACGGGAAAAGGTTTCCCATTCCCAGGATCCGGTGGCGAAATATGCAACGGCACAAACGTATCGGGCCGGCCAAGCTCCCACTCAAGAATGCGACGCCTGAGCGCAGTCTCCCCGGCACTCCCGAGGCTACCATCATGGCTTCGGCCTGGGATATTATAACAGAAATCGATGGTCTCGGCCAAAAGCCAGATAGCCTGGTTTGTCCAGTCGCCGTCGCTCAAGGCCGGCTTGGCGATCCACCAGCGTCGCAGGCGGTCATCGAATGGCGCGAATGATAGTCGAAGGCATTTCTGGTAGGTAAGCGCGAATTGAATGTCTTGAATGACATAGGCCCAGAACGAAGCCGATGCCAGTCCGCCCGTGATAGCGGAGTCTACGTGGGAGCTGACATAAACCGAACCGGCCAGGAGATGGTGTTGTTGGTCGTTTGGGGGACTGTGGGCTGTTGGGTGTATTAGCCCGGGGTAATTATTTTGCGTCGGTGAATTGATGGCCCACGCACATGAGATTGATTCGAAAAATCGTAGAATGACTGTTGACGAGAGGAGGATTTCGATTCCGATTTCGAACTGGGGCTTGTCGAGCACCGGGAGCATGATTGAGATACAGCGCTCATGGTATCCATGTGCGACGTCGCCGGCGATGGAGTTTGTTGTTCGGGATAAGTGACATGCTGAGACTGCGAGACATGCATATAATAGTAATGGAGATTGAGTCGCACGTTCAATGACGTCGGTTGAGAAGTGTCGTTCAGGATTGAATGCGTCGAGCTGGGCTGTTAGATTAAACGGTGGAGAATTTGACAAAAGATTAAACGTACCCAGGGGGCAAGGTATTTTTGAAAATGTCGCAGCAGAAAGGCTTCGGTGAGGTTGGATAACCTCGGCTGGCCAGTAGGCGTGGTAGGTGCACGCGGCGAACTCTCTGAATTCGATCTAGAACCCAATTGAGATCCCGCGACGTAAGCAGGAGTGACGAGGCTTGGTGTCAAAGAAGAATCCATTGTCGATGAAGGCGTCAAATGTTCAGACGATGATCTTGAAGCCGACGCCGGCCTTGTCACAGGTACAACATAGTATTCAGCTGCCGTCTGATCCGTTTCATCCTTGAAGTCGACTACCAGCAAATTAGTATAGTGAGAAACATGAAGACAGTTCCACGTACAGTCGGAAGAGATGTCAACCCAAATCTGGTCGTCGGGAAAAGCAAGATCACTCTCGCCATATCTCGGGGGCCCTTTTCCTCGCAAGGATGGATTCTGGCCGTGCCGGAAAGACACTTCTTCGGATTTGCCGGGGGCCGGCACACATTCGCGACCAGAGCGTTGACAACGGATACATTTCGAACCAGATTTGTCACCTATTTCTGTTAGTCCAAGGAACAGATTAGAGAATTCCCGAACATACATTTCAGATGGCGCAGACGACATGTGAGGCTAAAACGACGTTAGTCGAGAATCCTATGAATCATATACAACGAATCAAATAGAACTGACCATCCCCTCATTACGCAGTCATAAATCCAATCGCAAACAAGGAAGGCTTCCAGAAAGCATATTTGGGAATGCCAGGCCCGAAGGTATTTAGATAAGTAGGGCAAGTATTCCTATCAAACCTATCAACCCTATCCACAGCGATGTCCATTGGAGAAGCCCATACATAGGCGGAGATGAGTGGGGGGGAGGAGGGAGGGGGGGAGAATAATTGGCAGATAACTAACGGATTGCGTGTGATTTTTTTGGGGTATATCCTACTAGTCCGTACGTGGGTTTTTAGTTGGAGATTAGTTGGAGAGGCGTAGAGCTAACAGTGGTTGAATTGTACGATGGCGGGTTTCAAACTGGGAATGAACTCGAATTGGCTCAAAACTGGGGGAATAGGTAAAACGTTCAGTCGGACTCATCACGCCTTTAATCCCCACTAGAAAGTCTAGGCAGGTAAATCTACTGGTGCTGGTTGATCGGCACCCGTAGACTAAAGGTTTATTCCAATCGAAAGGCTCTGATCGTTACCTAACCCGAATATGTTGAGACATGTCATGTTCCGGTGTGCATCGGTACACTCGATGAGTTTATACGGAGTACTCCGTTATGTGGTCGAGTCCTTTTTCCTTTTTGGCCATAGTCATTGAATATCTGTACAGTGGATTTTTAAGGAGACTCCAGACATCCAATAACATGAAACCGAGAACGGGATGGTCTCCATGCAAACCCGGAGGATTGGCATAAATTAGTAATTCTTCTCCGGTTTATCTAAGAAAAAAGGGATGTGAAAGGCGTTCGACAAGCTTCAACGGAACATAATAGCGGAAGTTCAACATTTCCTTTCATTTGCCGATTGGTCTCACCGGCTCCGGGTCAGGAACCGGAAAAAAAAAAAAAAAAAGGTTCCCAGAGCCACATGGTATCAAACCTAGATCTTCGTTCTGATTATGGACATCGACTTGATACATCCCCTTGGTGGGTCAGCTTGGTGGTGAGATTTGATTTTTAATCTCAAAGTACGATCAAACCCTGTCGATCTTGAAAGTTCCCCGAGAGATGCTGTGAGGTAAATCCGGCATGTCCGAACGTCCAAAAACAAATGGCGTACATTTAGCATTGGATATGTGGGGGAACTTTCCTTATGAGCTGCCTGTTTCGGCCAAATGCTCCGGGATGAAAAGCCACATGCATTAGTAATCATTACTTCATCAAATGCAAAACATGGAAGTGATGCCTGAGAATATCGGCCTTGAATACAAGGCACCCATGCATCAAGCTATGCCAACTTCCCAGTTTCGTATCGGAGCTCCTGGAGAGCTTCAAACACTTGGGAGAGCTCATCTGACCTAATTGCCGAATCGTCATGCCACAATGTCCCTAAATCGCATATCCTTCCTTGAAGGATGGGAGCGCAACCCCGCCTTTCTCAGCCACCCCGAATCGGATGATTCGGATCCGGACTCGTTCCAGGATTTGCCCGAGGGATCCGTGTCGTCCTCATTTCCCTCCACATACAGCAGACTAAATTTCAACCCCTATGCGGGGCCAGGCTGGAATGAGAGTCCCGAGGATCCACATGACGATCGATCCTCGTTTTTGGGGCCCTCCTTTCTCGGGTTATCTCCGACGACCACCCGTGAAGGACGTGCGGGTTCGGGTTCAGCGCAGGGGCTAGGATCCACGGAGCGAATTGGGCATGAGGATTCAGGGACCGTTCCTCGGACGCCACCGTGGGCGGACACTACTGGTGCTTATGAAGTAAGCGCTGCGAGGAGGATTGGTAGGTTAATGGAACTCCAATTATTACTTTGATAGACAGGGGGGTATGCTAACGTGTAAAAGCCCAGGTTTGCACAGCCGTCGTATACTGCTTTCTAGCTGCCGGGGTTGTTTTCGGCTTTGCAGCTCTTAAGCCTGTCCTGATTCGAGAGAAAGTATATCGCAACCTCTGCTCCCAGGCGGAGCTTGAGGAAGATGTCGATGTCTGCTATGGGCAAGAGATCAGGTATGTAGTTCACCCCGGTTCAAGATCTCTTATACTTACACGGAACAGGCTAAACCTGATGTTCACCATCGCCGCTGTAGTAACCAATGTCTCAGCCTTACCCGTAGGAACAATCCTAGACGCGTATGGACCACGAATTAGTGGAATCATCGGCAGTATCTGTCTCGCCATAGGAACAGTACTATTCGGAACAGCCAACAAGCTTCCTTTCGATGGATACATCCCAGGATACTTATTGCTAGCACTGGGGGGACCATTCGTATTCATACCATCCTTCCATCTATCAAATACGTTCCCCACCCGATCCGGCCTGATCCTATCAATGCTGACAGGCGCCTTCGATGCCTCGAGTGCTCTATTCCTGCTTTTCAGGCTGTTAAGCGAACAAACCAAGGGTCTCGTATCCATCAACAATTTCTTCACGGCATACCTCATCGTGCCGGTATTGATCATCACAGCACAGATCTTCATAATGCCACCAACATCCTACAAAACCGCTGGTGAGCTCGTGCAACAAGCCGAGGCGCAGGTCGAAGACGAGATCCACGATCGCATAGACGACACTGTCAACGACCGCAGCGAGGGCGAGCGCCAGCGTATGCACAGACGGCTCCATCGTCAAAGCGTCGTCAGCCACATCCAAGATCTCCTAGACGATGGCACAGCGTCCGTGATATCCGGCAACACCATCGACAGCTCCGTCTTCTACACCAATATCGACACCTCGCTCGACACCTCGCTCGACATGAACGCCACCAGAGGAACCCACGGCACTACAACACCGCACTCCCACACGCACCAACAACCATCCACCCCGAACCCACCACCCGGTAGGATTTGGGGCGCTCTCCATGGCCACAGCGCACTATACCAACTACGCACCGCATGGTTCGGACTAATAACAGCCTTCACTGTTCTAATGATGCTACGAATAAACTACTTCGTAGCAACGTTGCGCTCACAGTACACCTACCTCCTGTCCCCGGAGACAGCCGCACAAATAAACACAATATTCGATATCCTCCTACCCGTCGGCGGACTTGTTTCCGTACCGTTTATCGGCACATTCCTAGACAAATTTCAGACGCGCACTGTGCTATTCATTCTCGTCGTGTCGGCAACTACCATCGGCGTGCTGGGTTGTATACCACATCAAACCGCGGCGTATGGGAATCTCATTCTCTTCGTGCTGTACCGACCATTCTATTATACCGCTGTGTCGGACTACGCGGCCAAGGTGTTTGGGTTCGCGACGTTTGGGAAGGTGTATGGGCTTATTATCTGTCTTGCTGGTGTTGGGAATTTCGCGCAGGCGGGACTTGATGCGCTTACGTTGAGGGTTTGGAGGGGTGATCCTGTGCCTGTTAATGTTGGGCTTACGGTGTTGGTTGCTGGGGTTGGGAGTGGGCTTGTTGGGTTTGTTGCTTATCAGACGGGTGTTTTGGAGGGTGGGAGAAGGGGTGATGGCGATCAGCATCGGGATGTCATGGAGAGAGAGCCATTGCTGAGGAATGAAGAACCCGGGAGAAGGTACGGGGCTTGAGGTTAAGTGGTTTTGACGCGGTGAATATGTTTTACCTTGCGGGTTTCCAAGGTTGTTTACATTGAATATATAAGGATGAACATGAATATAAATGTGATTGGATATGACAATATAAATCTTATATGTAACCAGCGTGTGGATAGGAGAGAGAACATTTGATCGAGGCAGAATTATAGCAAGGAAGACTGGAATATCCCACATCGTTACGACGTACAAATCTAGAGATCAGAACATTGTAATGGTATGTATTATGTCTCTAATGCTTCCGATCCAAACAGAGATGTATTATATACGGATGTATCCCGAGCATCCAAAAGCGACAACAGGGCGTGAGAAAGCCACAGTCTATGTCGGGGGATATTATAACCCAACCCAGACCCAAAAGCAGATTCAGGTTATATCATGTGCAATCCAAAAAAAATGGAAGAAAGAGTAATGACCCGGGCCCTGGGGGTCACGGTGACAGTCCTTGGGTTTCACAGCACGGCAGATATATGCAAACCCGATATCCGGTGTGGCCAAAAGCACCGTCGTGTATATCTATGTATGCCCCGTGTCCAAGTTTCAGCATGTCACTGGTGATTGTAGTGGTATGTATCTCAGGGAAAGAAACCCCAGTATTTATATCTATTTCAAAGAAAACCGAGGGTGACGATGATAGTGAAAATGAAATGGGACGGACAGTGGTAGCGACGGGCGGAGAGGGAGGGATAGGGAAGGTGGACTGCGTCATTGCAGCTGACAGCAGATCCAGAGAGGAAGCGGGTCATTCGGGATTCTCGAGGTTCGGAGAATTTTCCCAATGATAGAGCAACCAGGGCTACTCACTCCATGACATAGCTATACTGGCTAGCGTTCTCCTGCCAGAGAGACTCTGCAGCAATATCGCAGGCAGCGTCGTACCATAACATGGATCCGATGATGGATTTTATGCTGGCCCATGAATTCAAACCAGTCCTGCGGGCTACATCTCCCAGAGCAGAGGCGAACCAGGCGCGATCGGGAGTATCGTTCGCTGCGATACCGCCGAGGGTCAAGACCCAGATGAGAGGGAGACGCGTAGATGGCGAGGACCAGAATTCGCAGTAGGAGGGCTGAAGAAGGAGCGACCTGATAAGGTGCGCGAGACTGTTGAGAGGGGTATTCTGTGCGGGGATTGGGAAGAGGACGCCAACCCCAAAGATTAGTGCCGCTAGGCGACAGGCTTCATAGGTGGCGGCATGCGTGGGATGGGAGAAGAAGAGGTCCGAGGCGGGAGAGAGACAGAGGAGGGTATGTTGGGTTAGGTTGCGCCGGTCGGCGAGTAAAGAGACATCAGGTGTGGAATTCGGGCTCGCTTTGACGATCTCGATATACGTGTGCACCGCCTGGAAAGCTTCTGCCATTTGTGGAGTAGCGCCAATTTCCTGTAAACGGCCGAATCCTTGCTCGATGTCTGATGGACCGAACCCGAGCATTTCTTGGATGGACATGCCTAATCGGAAATCGGCGAGGGGCCAGAAATCAAAGCATGGATGAACACAGAGCACGCTACAGCTCATGATATCCGAAAAGGAAATTGTCGCGGCTAGACCCTCTGTGGGGATCTTTGCCAAGCCGCCTCGCAGTTTGACCAACTGCAATAAACCTTTGATATGGATCATATTCGGTGGCAGACACCCGTAGACATCGACCCATTGTAATCGCGGGAAAGGCGGGCGAAAGGGTGTTTTCCGGTGCCGCTGTGACAGTTTCTCCTCTGCCTGATGATGAGCCATGCAAATAACGCTGAGGAGAACAGCATCGCTGACCGCACGATCGGGATCGCGCACGGCCTGGCTAATCAGCTTAATCGATTCCATTTCACATAGCTGTAGCGCGCGGCGTTCCCTCTGACCGAATACCGTACCGGGGACCCAGTTATTCTGCCATTGTACACGGAGGTGACATAGGGAACCAAACATGAACGCTGTGAACAAAGCCGGGTCCGCCATGGACAGATCGAACCACTTATTGGCCGCAGTTTTGACATTCTGTGGCCGCGGGGCGAGTCCTGGCCACACAACAGCTGTGAGATAGCGCTCTGATAGATTGATCATCGCTGGTTCGAAGTTCTCCGGGGCGGGGTATGTGGCGAATGGGTCGAATATTCCAGAGAGGTTGCGTTCAAGCCGCTCAGGAGAGTTGCGCTGATGGTAGCGGGCGACCGCGAGCGCCTCTGCGGAGAAGGCGGTCACGACACTCGCATCGTCGCTGCTGCTGTCGCTGCTATCGCTAGCATGTGAGGGCGGAAATGGCGAGTCGCGAAATGTAATCTGGTTGGAGCTGGAGTCGCGGGGGGTGTTCCGATGGGAGCTTGATGGGCGTGAGACAATGGTATAAGACGGACAGGAACTGGCACGGTCAACGGATATGGGGGCAACTGGATTGCGGACAGGTCGGGCGCGTGTATGGGAGGATTCGCCCGCGGATCGATCCTTTGTTTGATCTGAGATCCAACGCCCAACATGCGCACGCACCAGACGCTGCGCTTTCAATCGTTCAGTCTCGGAGGCAGGTCTGGCATTGACGAAATGGATGTCATCGTGTTTTCTAGCGGGTTGTTTTTTTCTTGACGCCATTTCAGATCATATCACCCGGTAAGCGGTGAGAGATGTATGTGATAGCTCGATGCATGATCTTCAAGAAGGTAGAAGAGTTGAAAGATATAGAGTTTTAAAAAGACATTGGCTATTGATTTTGACAGAAAATCTGGATCATTCTGTAAACTTTTCTTGTATAGCTCTGAAGATTCTGAAAGAGGGGGTTGTGAAAGGGCAAAGAGGAAATAAGAGGCAGCTTGGCCCCGTGACCGCAGATCAATTCGCTTGGTGCTTTTTATACTCCTTTTTTTTCTTTTCTATTAATTTGGATTGGATTTTTTTTTTATTCGATTCTATTCTTATTACATGTATTTCGAAAGTCTTCTGTATTAGACCAATAGTCTGTTTCATCTAATGCATAATATATATCTTAATATATATCTTGAGAGTCTACACGAACACAACTCGTAGATTCTTCATACCAGGCCTTCTCTTAAAGTGCTGGGAAAAGAACTCCGTTGAAATACCAAGTCGACCCTGGCATATTGTCAAACAGGGGATTTTTCTCTTTCAATATTTTGGTATGGGCCAGACTAATATCCCCTTATTCCCCTGGAGTCCCAGTGTCGTGGACACATAGCCCTAGAAGAAATATACATAATGCCGCACTATTACACACAATTGGTGTGTAATGATACTATCTTACGGTACTGTTCCCTAAATTCTACGGCAGTATAAGGGGGTTCTCTATTATATACCTCCAAGCCCGACGGAAACATCTTAACGGGGTTTAACCTATTCTGACAGGGTCTATTCTGTCAGAAAAAATCCAAAAGTGGCCCTAGTAGGTGGAACCCTGTCGATCGTGAGGTTAATTGTCTCGGAGTGGCGAACTGAGGGTCGAGTCTACATACTCTATAAGTACATCGAGTCTAGATAAATTGGAAACAACCATTGTGTGTAATACACGGAGTACTTGCAGACAGATCGGACTTGCAGCCTCTGTAGTTGACCTGCTGCATCCCTTCTATTTCCTTTCAGAGCGTTATAGAGCTCATCGTTTCTCTCTACAACATAGGTAAGCTGGCCGAAACATGAGACAATCTGTACTTCTCACTTGGGCGCAGTGAGTTGCAAATTGTCTACACGGACATTAAGTCCCCCCGTCGGCGGAACTCGCCAACAATTATTTTATGTATACATCCCGGTTAACGCACAATATTGCTTTTTCCGCTATGTTTTCCCACTACAAAACAAAGACCAGAACTTTGCTCGGGGTCTGCTAACCCCTAAATCACGACATTGATCAAACCCCGACTAACTGCGGCTCGGAAATGCACCAAATATCTCCCATCTCTGACCCTGCGCCTCCAAAGATTAGTGGGAAAAATAAAAAGATTGACGAATAGCCGCAAACAGATAACTTGATAAAAGGCAAATGGGCGGGTCTAGGCAATGCACAACTAATCAGCGTTAAATTTTCAAGTCTGACATGTTCGATACATATGATATGTGCAAGGGGCTAGTTGTGGTTAGTGGTTTCTGACAGCCCAGGGTCTGCATTGAGTCAGACTAGTGACAAGGGAGATTTACCCAAGGATGAACTTTAATTCCGATTATATTACTCTGTGATATTCTTCTAATGAATATATTTAAAAAAAGAGTAGATCGGGATATAAGACAATCGGGAAATTCAAATGGTCCAACTCGTATGAAAATAGTCCTCACCAGCCCGCACATTATCGTTACACTAGTATCCCGTGGACTGATGAGACCTGCAGACAATAAAAGAGGGAGTTAGATGTTCGGGGAGAATTTGAACCATTTCATTGTCTCAGCCGCCAGGAATCATCCTATGACAGCATATGAAGCTAGACCAGATACGATCTAGCCACATAGCTGTATACATAACTATACGGATAATCTAGGGGATACTGTGCATGCTACATAGCCCAGAAGGGCTTCCCGTCAAATCAACGTATTGTACGCTTGGCTGACTTAATCAATCTCCAGTAGTGTATACCGACAGCTCTCACCGGTCTGTGGATCATGGTACTGCTCCAGTGCCTTCTCCACAGCAGCCATGTAGCCGAGGACGTGTTCCTCCTGCCAACGACGACCGACGACCTGCACGGCGGTGGGAAGGCCAGCCATCTTGGCGGAGTCGTAGTGTTTCCACGCACCCCGAGCAATGCCGTGGTCACAGCCCAGACGCTTGAGGGTAGTTTTATAGGGTGCGGTGAGGGCGTCGCGGATAGGGTCTACGTGACCAACGGGGATAACACCGCAGGAGTAGTCTAGCAAGTTCCACAGGAAGGTATAACCGCACGAGGAAACGGCATCGTGCATGGCCTTGTGCGGGAGAGCAGGGGTAGCGTTGACAGGGCACAGGATGAAATCGAATTGTTGGGGCTCGGCGTCCCACCACTTGTGCCAGGCGGCGCGGTAGGCTTCGCGCTGGGCGGTCAGGGTCCACAACTCGGCGGAGGACTTGGGGCCGAAGTCACGAATGAGAGTGGCAGAGACCTTGTCGCGGCGGATGTAGCGCACGTAGAGGTAGTAGAGGTAGCGGACTGGGCGGGGGAGGTGAGCGATGCGGGAAAGTTGGATGGCGCCTGGGTCAGAGGGTTCAAAGCTTTGGAGCTTGGCGTTGAAGTGGTGGCAGCCATCTGAGTTGAGGAGTTGGGAGGCGAGGTTCAGGCCCGTGAAAGGGTCAGCGGTGGATGGAGTAGTGATTTCTGAGACGGTGTGACCGGCTTCGGTGAGGGCGGCCACTGTTGTTGCGATGGCGCGCTCAATGGCCGGGGTTGGAGGAACAACGCCTGGAAATTAGTCAATAAGTGACGTTCATTATGGGGGCCAGGTCGTTGATACGTACCATCGGAGGTCATCACACCAACACGAAGAGGCTTGTTTTGAGCTTCGGACTCGACCTCGCTGCGCCAGGCAATGGGGTGCACAGAGTGCTCGTACTTCCAGGGCTCCATGCGGATAATGGCACGAGTGAAATATGTCAAATCGTCCAAAGTGCGGGCCATAGGACTAAACACACTAGGAATACCCTCCTGACCGGGCATACTGGTGCTCACACCACCTTTGGGCCAGCGGCCAGTGCTGCATCGGAGTGAATATATACCGCTCCAGGCGGCGGGCACGCGCACCGAGCCAGCAACATCAGATCCAATACCAATACGGCCACCCTGGGCCAGCAATGCTGCCTCTCCACCGGTTGAGCCACCGGGCGAGTATGCGGGGGAATGTGGGTTGCGGCATTGACCCCAGAGCCCGTTGGCTGACTCGAAAGAGAGCAGGGTAATTGGAAGGGCAGTCTTAACATATGGGACAGCGCCTGTGGACATCAGCATACAGCACAGCTATAGGAGGATGTGTTTCGAGAATTTGATCTTACCGGCATCTTTCAAGAGCTGCACCATCGGCCCATCTTCCAAGATAGGCTTTCCAGCCATAGCAGCATACCCAACACTTGCATCAAATCCCTTGACGTGAATGGAATCCTTCAAAGAGACCGGAATACCAGCCAGTGGACCCTTGAGGTTAATTTCTGACTGCAGCCATGACTCGGCCTCGGGCAGCATCACCTCGGTGATGCAGTTGGTCCGCTCCTGGGCCCTTTTGGCTACCTTTCCATAGGTGCGGAGAATATCAACGGGGGAGACAGCTGAATCTTGGACATCATGAACAAGCTCCTCGATGGGCTGGTTGATGATCTTCCTGTCCTCGGCGGCAAGGTGGAGGTGATAGTGGTGGGGAAGACTCGTAAACCGGAGTTCTCGTTCACTTTGTTTTTGGTTCCTGTAGATATTAGCTCTAGATCACAAGTTTAAGGGATAGGCAAGCTTACCGTATGCGACGGTATGCAAAGTAGTCGAATGGAGGAAGCATAACGGCGGTTGGTACAGAAGAGAAAGGGCCCGGGGGAAAGTCCGGTTCTTATATGCGGGGAATTGGAGAAGTGGAGATTGCGATATCGGGTAGCACCGAGGTTAGCCGGACACCTGACGACCCTTGTCCTGACCTTTTCTTGTACAAGTTATACTCTTATGATGTACATCTCTGTGACGCCTGCTTTTCAATTGAATTTAAAGCTAGTAAGACGTTCAACAAAACCACTAAATGCTAGCAACTAGACGCTGGCGGCAATTTCATTTGAAGATAAGAAACCCGGCGCCCAGGCACACTATACCTATTACGGCAGGTTTATGCGCTGTTAGATTAGGAGAAGTATATCATAGTAATAGAGAAACGAGATAGACGAGATAGAGAAAGATAGTTTAAATTGTCCACTATATGCAGTTCTATATAAACGCTATGAAAACAAAATGCCAAACGCCGTGTGGAGGGTCGGCGGGTATATCTCCAATGTGCAAATGCGCCCAGGAACTCCAGAAGAACGCCAAATCTCAAATCAAAAACGGATCTCACTAACCAATGTGAAGCGAGCTATTGAGTAATCTCTGACCGGGGTTGGAGCCAATTGTTCTTAGCAAGCCACGATAGAACCACGCTGACAATGATGATCAACACCACGATGAGGAAAATTACACAGCCCCATATAATTGAACGCTTGCTCTTTCGTCGTTCGCGGGAAAGCCATGATGCCCTGAAGCGGTGAGCTGATGTTCGCCAAAGATATCGGGGATGATGGTGTCTTACGCGTCTTGTTTTTGTGTTCCTTGATCAACTGCTTTAGACTCTTCGTCCATGTGCACTGCAGCAGAGAACCGTTTCCAGAAATATGGGTCACGAACGAGGGCCATAATGATGTGACGTGTTATAGACCCGAGGCTGAAGCGTTGTTGTTGCGTTGTGGTGAATTTGGATGAATCAAGGGATGGTCGAGTGAGCGAGCGAGAAGACAGCAATCACCGATTGTACGAGAGCACTGTAGTAAACCGAGTAATTTAGATGAAAGCAGAGATCTCCAACCCAGAAATGAGTGACTGCAAGAGATGAAGTCGATGTTGTTGGAACAAAATAGTCAGTTAAAGATGGACAACAATTCGCCGGCTAACGAGAGCAAAACGCAACACCGGAGAAGACGGGCTAGGGGTATTGGCTGCACTTATCCTGCAATGAGAGGGGCCTCAGCGATCAAATGTTGCTTGTGGAATCCTGACTCCCTGCACATATTATTCCACCGAGGGCTGGAATACCAACCAAGCCCACGATCAGCGGCCTGTCCAGTTGCTGATTTGTGTTGATTTGTGTAAGGAATCCTCGAGTCTAGACCATGGATAAGCGAATCAAGGCCGGGAAATAATACCGGGTGAGAATGGGGTGCTGGTATTGGTTATTGTTGTTATTCCATACCAATCCGTGGATGGCATGTCGATCACGGAATGTCACCTAAACGGGAGCTTTGTCATGGAATGGTTGGTCTTTGGCATTTGATTGATGGGATTGGTAGATGGGTGTTTAGGAATGTGGCCGCCAATTTGCTTTTACGGCATTAATTTTGATTCTTGATCGAATAAGAACGTTGTGGCAGAAGCCGATAAGGCTTATATGTTTTCCGAAGCCACATCGCATGGGGAAGTATTGATCTATTAGCTTTGCGGCTCATGGCAATAGAATACCATTGCAATTAACTAATTCGTAGGACTCTATCATCAATAGTGTATGTCGTCATATTGCACAAATCTCCACTGGAACAGAAACCGATATGGATGATCTACTCCGGGCCTTTCCATCTACTCGATAGAATATCTTTGCCTTCAGGGAATACACCCGCGAGATTAAACATGAATGGAAAGTGGGTGGGTAGCATCGATGGGTAGGTAGTGAAACCGAAGTCTCAATTGATGCAGTGAAAATCGTGCGCCTCCCTTCTGTTTGAGACCTCCAGTCCATTTTTATTTCATCGTTCGCGGCCAATGCCACACAATCTGACCAGAACTCTCGTCGTGCACCCCATGTAGAAACATCAGTCAGATCTGGATAATGTTGCCATGGCTCCAGCCCAAAGAACGTCATCGCCCGCAACTGAAATTCAGCGGCAAGAAGACTTGGTGGCAATTGACCCAAATGAGCAGGGTCAAACCGGAGATCAATCTTCACAGATGTTAACGCATCTATCTTCGTTGGTTGGAGACTTTGCAGCCGAATCGCAGGGGGTTGAACAGAACAGGCAGCAAGTTTGCCACATGCATGCCGCAGCATCCCTGTAACCAAAGACTTCTCTTCTCGTAGTCGGTAATACTTGCTTTTGCTTGGAACAAGGATTGGAGGATGATCGTATCGTGTTGGGAGGATTTGCACAGGATGTGTTGATTCCTGGATTTTCTTCGACCTTCCTGCCTTGCCATCTCGCTGCCAGAGCACAAAGTTAATGCTGTAGACCACTTCCACCATCTCTGGTGACATGTCATGGATTTCGTGGGATTTCGTGGCACGGTAGCTAAGACTTGGAGGTAGCTGCAGATGTTCTTGTTGGATTTGGTGATTGCCGCATTGATGATGACAGGCATGGATGGGAAGTTCCTCGGGCACGGTGAACTTGAAGGGCATTCGATAACACTTGCCAGGTTTAAGGGTGTTTGTATCCCATAAATAGTCATAAATTGGCAACTCCATGCTTAGAAAGGGTTTGTGGATTCGGCTGAAAGGCAGAGGAAGATGTGTATTCATGTTCTCGACTTCGATTCGTGTCATGCCTGTGCGATTTGTCAATACCCTGGCGGTCGTGCTAGTTCTATCGCTCACGTACCTTTGAATGTGATGCTTATGTCTTCAATGCTGGTCTCTTGGATAGGTGTAAAAATGACCTCGCCATCGATTATTTTGTGGGTTTTGAAGGTTGGCGAGTGAGAAGAGCTGTTCACAACGAATTTTACATTTGAGAACTTCATTATGCACATGTGTATGTTTGGCCAGCTCAACTTCTAATGACATGCGTTGTTTAAGTACTAATTGTGTTTCATTCTGGTTCGGAGGATGCGCGGGTCAAATATCATTTTCCCGAACTGAATGTGAAATGCTTCCTACGCCGGATGCATCAAATCCACCCTGTGGCTTGACCAGAATTTAATTGGTTGGCCCCATGGCAAAGCAACAGGAAGTAGCAAGTCTGGTCTATGCGGTTTAGAGGGATCGGCAAACTCATGTCTTCCCGAGCCGAGCCGTGAATAAAAGAACCGAATTCGAATGTTCGATGCGGCTAAGCGGCATTTGCCGAAATTAGTATGGCTAGATCTACTAAATAATCCAATACGCGGCATCTGTTGTCATTTCAACATATATCGCACCCAGTGTCGGAACAACTCATCATCTCTCGGTGTAATTTCGCTCTTTCCGTTTTCACAGCCTCCCCCTAGAGATATTGTTTTATTTCCTGGGGTAGATTGACATTAAGAGTCATCGGAACGTGTTTTGTGTGAAATGTCAAGTCTTGGTGAAGTGTCTGAGGTAAATATGAGTATTTCGTTACACCTTATTTCAAGTTTTTAATCAGTATAGCTCATCATCTTCGCGAGTAATACAATGTCCCAGTCCGAGTTATATTAACAGGGACCAATGGCACTTTTCTGTAGATGGCGACCACCGCTGGAGACGTGTGTGGCAACTCAAAGAAGTGCCCTGCAGATAGCTAGCCTGAGTTTACTGATCTTGAGAAGTGATATACCAAATCAAGTTGAAGTCCTAGGTATAAATATAGAGATAGATTGTCTATACATGAGAGGAAAGTAGCCAAAGGAAACGACCAAATCTACAAACATCGCATCCTTCGAAGATGGAAACTCGATTACATGGGAAACCAGAGCATCAACACTTGGATGTGTTAACCGACCTTCTAAAAAGAGTTTCCGAGATCGATGAGCGTGTTTCTTCATCTATCAGTGCCACTTGGCAACGGATATGCAATAATCTTTGGTCTATAAGGTACGAGAGCCCCAGTAACTACCGGAGAGCCATCAGACATGCGGAAACCGTACGGCCGAGTAGAGCGACATAGAAAATCGGAGCTAGCGAGACGATCAATCACCCAGACAATATTTCGGTACTGGCAAGTTCTATTTGATGAGGCTCTTCCGATAAATATTCGTCCTTTAACTTGGACCAAACATTTGCTTTCATTGGTAGCCTGTTTGAGCAAGCACTGGAGCCATTGAGACTCTCTCTCGCTCCTCGAATAAAGCACGAAGAATAGACCAGAACGTGGACATAACAAAAGTCGACTTATGGCAAGTGATATTCAACGCGCATTAGAGACTTTAGGGATGTCTCATGCACGATTGGGAATACGGGGATGTAAGTCATGATGTTCTCAAATTGAATTCCCAAGGGTATTTCAAGCGGTGTTGTCGTTGGAAATCTCGTCTCCACGGGAGCCACGAACCAACATCAATCAAAATGGGAGGCAGTGCTGTGCATGTATTCCTACATGCGATTATACGTACCGGATATTCCCTGGTGGGTGGGGCTTTCCTATTTGAGCTGCCACCGCTTTTATGAGAGTGCTCAGGCTCAGGCTCACCGAGTAGATGTCAGCACGGGCTCAGATCAGGGGAATTGATAGTTAACGTGTTCGGTATGCGAGCGGCGCACGCAAGCGAGTGGCGCACCCAACCCAAAACGCGTCCATGAATTAGCACTTAGTCAATTCAACCACCCACCATGCCACCAATTTGCTCCCGATCCTCTAGCAATTCAGCAGAGTAAGAGGGTAGGGCCTTATTAGCTACCCAGGTTTTTAAGAATAAAGAAATCTCTTCAGTTCGTGAAGTGGCGCGCCGTTTTAACGTACCCGAAACTACCCTTCGCCGCCGCCTCAGTGGTACATAAAACCGCGCGAATTCTCGCGTAAATTCGTCTAAATTAACATAAATTGAAGGGGAGTCTCTTCAAAAATGGATTCTCTCTATGGATTCTCGTGGAGCAGCCCCCCGGCCCTCTATGGTACGAGAAATGGCGGATCTTCTTCAAAAGCGTGGAACTACCCCGATTCTTTCGGTCGGCGAAAAATGGGTATATAACTTTATGAAACGGCGTCCTCTCCTCTCCTCTCGATTCTTAAAACGGTATACCTATGAGCGCGCGAAATGTGAAGACCCTAGAATCATTACGGAGTGGTTTAATCTAGTTTAAAAGATAATCATTTAATTCGGAATCGACCCCGATGACGCTTATAACTTCGACGAGACCGGTTTCGCGATAGGGTTAATCGCTATAGCGAAGGTGATTACGAGGAGTGATCTCTCTGGCCGGCGCTCCCTTTTATAGCCTAGAAATCGTGAATGGGTGACTATTATCGAATGTATAAATGCATCGGGGTGGGCGCTCCCTCCGTGTGTGATTTTTAAAGGTAAAATCTTCCTCGAATCTTAGTTTAAGGGCCTTCCGGATAACTGGCGATTTAAAGTTAGTCCGAACGGCTGGACCTCTGATGAAATTAGGGTTCGCTAGCTCGAAAAGCTCTTTATTCCGACGACTTCTTCGCGTACGAAGGGGGGGTATCGACTTTTAATACTTAACGGACACGGAAGCCATTTAACCCCTAAATTCGACGAGATTTATGAGTAAAATAAGGTGATACCGATCTATATACCACCTCACTCCTCTCACCTTTTATAGCCTCTCGATATTAGCTGTTTTACGGTGTTAAAACGATCATATGGTCGGCTGGTCGAGACGAAAATGCGGACCGGAATTAACTATATCGATAAACTTGATTTCCTCGAAGCATACCCCCTCGCACGAACTGAGGCTTTTAAATCGGAGACTATTAAAAATAGCTTCGGAGCAGCTGGTTTAGTGCCTTTTTCACCTGATCGAGTGCTTTCGAAGCTTAATATTTAGCTTCGAACCCCGATCCCCCCTCCGAGCAGAGGAAGCGATTAGGACCTAAAAACGCCCTTAAACTACGTGCAATTATAAAAGTAAGCTTCGTTAATTAAAGCTTTACTTCGTGCTAGATTGAGGAGCCCTCCGAGCCCGCTAAATTACGCGATAAATCAGGTTTTAAAGGCCTGTTAAATCACTATGCAGTCCGCTGCTTTTCTTGAGAAAGAAGTAAGCGATTTACGCGCCGCTAACGAGAAGCAGAAGCAAAAACGGACCCGGTCCCGGAAGCAGATACCCGCTGAGCAAGGCCTCTCAGTTTAAGAAGCTTCTCAATTAATTACTGGGTCGGTGGAAGCACTGGAAGCACCTCCCTCCCCTCCACGAAGAAGCCCTTCGCCGGCTTTATAACCACGTACGCGGGCCTCCCTAAAGTGTAGTGGTTGTGGAGAAATAGGGCATAAAATCAATAGATGCCTAGCTAGATAAATCAATTTAGTTGAATTAATTTAATGGTATTTTGGTTGAGATAAATATAGTTGAATTCAATGGTTTGGGTTGGGTGCGCCACTCGCATACCGAACACGTTATTGTTTTGATTAGATAATCATGCTCCATAACTAACGTATTCGGCAAGCGAGCGGCGCACGCAAGCGAGTGGCGCACTTAACCCAAACCATTGGATTCAACTATATTTATCTCAACCAAAACATCATTAAATTAATTCAACCAAATTGATTTATCTAGCTAGGCATCTATTGATTTTATGCCCTATTTCTCCACAACCACTACACTTTGGGGAGGCCCGCGAACGTGGTTGTAAAGCCGGCGATAGGCTTCTTCGTGGAGGGGAGGGAGGTGCTTTAACTACTTCCACCAGCTCAGTAATCAATTGAGAAGCTTCTTGAACTGAGAGGCCTTCTTCGGCAGGTATCTGCCTTCGGGATCGAGTGCGCTTTTGCTTCTGCTTCTCGTTAGCGGCGCGTAATTCGCTTACTTCTTTCTCAAGAAGTGCGGCGGATTGCATAGTGATCTGGCATGCCTTTAAAACCTGATTTATCGCGTAATTTAGCGGGCTCGGGGGGCTCCTCGATCTAGCACGAAGTAAAGCTTTAATTGACGAAGGTTACTTTTGTAATTGCACGTAGTTCGAGGGCGTTTTTGGGTCCCAATCGCTTCCTCTACTCGGAGGGGGGTCGGGGTTCGAAGCTGAATATTAAGCTTCGAAAGCACTCTATCAGGTGAAAAAGGCACTAAACCAGCTGCTCCGAAGCTATTTTTAATAGTCTCCGATTTAAAGGCCTCAGTTCGTGCGAGGGGGTATGCTTCGAGGAAATCAAGTTTATCGATATGGTTAATTCCGGTCCGCATTTTCGTCTCGACCAGCCGACCATATGATCGTTTTAACACCGCAAAACAGCCAATATCGAGAGGCTGTAAAAGGTGAGAGGAGTGAGGTGGCATACAGATCGGTATCACCTTATTTTGCTCACAAATCTCGTCGAATTTTAGGGTTAAATGGCTTCCGTGTCCGTCAAGTATTAAAAGTCGATACCCCCCTTCGTACGCGAAGAAGTCGTCGGAATAAAGAGCTTTTCGAGCCAGCGAACTCCAATTTCATCAGAGGTCCAGCCGTTCGGACTAACTTCAAATCGCCAGTTATCCGGAAGGCCCTTAAACCAAGATTCGAGGAAGATTTTACCTTTAAAAATCACACACGGAGGGAGCGCCCACCCCGATGCATTTATACATTCGATAATAGTCACCCATTCACGATTTCCAGGCTGTAAAAGGGAGCGCCGGCCAGAGAGATCACTCCTCGAAATCACCTTCGCTGTAGCGATTAACCCCATCGCGAAACCGGTCTCGTCGAAGTTATAAACGTCATCGGGGTCGATTCCGAATTAAATGATTATCTTTTGAACTAGATCAAACCACTCATTGATGATTCTAGGGTCTTCACATTTCGCGCGCTCATAGGTATATCGTTTTAAGAATCGAGAGGAGAGGAGAGGACGCCGTTTCACAAAGTTATATACCCATTTTTCGCCGACCGAAAGAATCGGGGTAGTTCCACGCTTTTGAAGAAGAAGATCCGCCATTTCTCGTACCATAGAGGGCCGGGGGCTGCTCCACGAGAATCCATAGAGAGAATCCATTTTTGAAGAGACTCCTCTTCAATTTGTGTTAATTTAGACGAATTTGCGCGAGAATTCGCGCGGTTTTGTGTACCACTGAGGCGGCGGCGAAGGGTAGTTTCGGGTACGTTAAAACGGCGCGCCACTTCACGAACTGAAGAGATTTCTTTATCCTTAAAAGCCTGGATAGCTAATAAGACCCTACCCTCTTGCTCTGCTGAATTGCTAGAGGATCGGGAGCGAATTGGTGGCATGGTGGGTGGTTGAATTGACTAAGTGCTAATTCATGGACGCGTTTTGGGTTGGGTGCGCCACTCGCTTGCGTGCGCCGCTCGCTTGCCGAATACGTTAGTTAGTTATAAATTGTAAGGAGCGCGTATACAGAAATACAGAGAGCTTGATATACTGAGTTCATACCATACATTTCATACAGACCGATTTCTGTCACTTTTTACCCGAGCCATTATGAACTCTTCTGCTCCCTACAAGTGCCAGAAGCCATGGCCTAAGGAAATATCGGACGACCCTGACATCACTGGCTATGGGGTATGTTTTTGAACATATCCAGCTCGATCAAGTCATCTGAAAATTAAAACTTGATCTCAGGTTGTTACAAACTATGTCGCGACCGCGGGGATAGCAGTGTCTCTCATCCTTGTGTACTTTTTTGTTATTTATGATCCAGCTCTGGATCCCTTCAGAAACACAGATGAAGACCCTCCAAATCCATTGTTTCGCCCGAATCCAGTGGACAAGATCTTTCTTCGAACCCTGAGAAACATACCTAAGCGCTTTGTGGGAGACCTGAAAATCTCTTACAATAAGCTCGAACGAAGCTTTATTAGGGTGAGTAATGATTTTTTTACTGACCGAAAGTAAACTAACCGGATGCTTTTTAGTGTATCCTCGCAATGAGTGACATCCAGCTCATAACTGGCCTATCAATTCTTATCAGTGGATTTGTACAACTTCGTCAAGGACTGCCATCTTACCGCTGGATGGCCGTGATTGACTTAGCCTGGTTTTCCAGCATAACCCACCTTGCTTGCTTGACACTACTGCGGAATTACCTCTATAATCACTCTTTTGAGCGCATGTTACGGTTTATAGCCATGGCCGGTCTTGCTATACTCCTGATTGTAGCTCTTTCGTTCACTAGCACTTACTGGTGGGCCAATACCACTTCCCCAATGGGAGGAGCTTTTTATTACGATACTGACACTACCACTCATGCCGCGATTTGCCATATGGGCGTTGTAGGTCCAATATGGAGCCTCGGATACATCACAATGATTCTTTCGATGCTCTTAGTCTTTTTTGGGTTTACCTTCCGCGTGACTAAATTGTACAAGGTCATTTCTGTTAGCTTCATGGGACAGGCTAGAATCTGGCTTAGTACTTGTGCGCGACGTCTATTACGCGTTGTTTTCACATGGTGTTGCTTAGGTAGCTCGCGCCATGGCCTAAAGCGAACCCTTCTCTACCGACCTTTATTGGCAGGCTTCTTTTCAGCCCGTTTATTCATAGACTTATGGTCCTCTATGTTACTTGAGGTGAGTTTCTCAGTGGTCGACCTAATCCCCTCTCATGACTGACAGTAAATGTTCTCAGGTCGGGTGGTTATTAGTCGGATTTACGTGGGGAACCATGCGTCTAATGACACTTTTACTCGATGTTCGGGGCATCATGTCTTACTCTTCGATGTTAAGAGACTCCAATGATGAAAATAGTCATTGGGGGTTCGGCCAAGTCGTGGCTATCGTTCTTTTAATTGCACCTTTAGTCACATTCGTTGAATTGTTCAATAAAGGTACTTCTTTCACAGTCTATGTTATGAAACGTCAGATCTATTGGTTAGACTACAAAGAACTTAAACTAACTAATAAGATACTGAATCAGGCGGTACGGCAGATATTAGCTGCGGTAATCATGTTTACGAATCATTACCTCTTGAGCATCAACCTTCCGGCTTGATGATATTACCTTTGACAAATTCAGGGGGTAGTATCCCTAAGGATCCAGATGATCCTGACAGCGACTGGAATGATCATATAGAAACCCTTGGCACGGCAGTGATTTACATCACCACCATGTGCATTGCTTTGGCCAGCGTCATTCTCAGGTATAGCGTTTCAGAGACAATCCCGATGGGACTGTGGTATCTCAGGATACCTATTGTCTTGGCTCTACTAAACATCTTTGAGTTATTACTTTTCTCATTAATGATTGAATCGGATCTTTCTGGAACACCTTCCTGGGGACGAAAGCTCCTTCATCTGGTGAATGTCCAATTCTTCGGCCTGAGTGCCTTTTTCCCCCTCATTATAGAGATGACGATTGGTCAACATGATGATTATGTTCTTTCTTCGGCCCAATCCTTCTCTTGGATTGGGAATTACTCTCTCATGATTTTTGCTACTTGTTTTTACGTATTATGTCTTATTACTATCCGCTATGTGAGATAAAGTCTATGAGCAAAGGCCGCTTTGTCTTCTCCAATTATGGTTCTTTCGATAGCAATATTAGAGAGTAGGCTCGGAATAATGTACAGGGCTTACCAATACCGAAACAGGTGTGTTCATAAGAGCTTGGCCACCTATCATAGGAACACGGTCGAAAAAATCGGCCGCGCCGTCAATCGCTATAGGCTGAACAAGTTCGAGTCAAGAAACGAATGCTATAAAAGCATCTTATCGAAGCTTGCTAGAATATTGACTCAGGTTCAACCGACGAAGCGCCACTATTCAGTTCCGAGAAAGATCCTATGAGAGCGACGTGGTGAAACTGATTTCGATCCATCCTATATTAAGCATCGCTATCAAATCATTGGACAGGTAGAAGCAAAGTCGTCAACGAGCTCAAGAGGCTGCGAGATGCTCGTATTATTGGTACGGGTATTATAAGTAAATTACATAATATTATAACACGTGATAGTGACTTTCAGTACGATTCAATACTTGAAACCGCCCAAAGTCGGAAATTGATTAGCGTGTTTCGGGACTAGGGTTCAAGAAAGAATCTATGAATGCTATATCTTTAAACTGTTATAGTATGATTTAATAAGTTAATAAAAATACCACATAACATGATATATTTTAATCAAAAATTTATTCTAAGTCGTATCATATATATATATTGGTTTCTCATATACTCAGATATTTCAGTAAAATTTATAGATGTTATAGATTAAGACCGCGATTTTACATGGAGTTAGCAAAATAGGTGTAAATACAAAAAGCGGCAAGATGTGAGCACTAAAATGGAAAGGGAAAGGTCTCGAGTGCCAGGGATTATCCGGTACATATGCTTGCCACTGATCGCCCTAATCTCCACCCCCCAGGCGAGGTTCGATAACAAGCTAGGGTGTACGATATCCCCAACCGTCCCCTTCCACCTTGATGCAATATTCACAGACCTGAAAGTGTTTAAGTATCTGGCACTAGAAGATTTTGATCTTTCAGATCGACCAACGACAATATATTGTGTGACCACGGACGAGCACGACATGCGCGTATACCTAGTGAATTGTTGAATCGATTAGCTCGTGAATATATTTTACTATTTTCTTCTTAGAATTAAATAGTTTTCACTCTTCTATGTAGACCTGGTGAAACGAAGGTGTGTAGGTTGAATCTTGAGACGATGATTGGCTCGGCAACATGAAATGTTGCCGCTTGCCACATCGGCAAAATTCCAATTTCATTCCTCCCTGCTCCGTCTTCTAGACACCTCATCGGATTCAAATCGATATGAAGTCGTCAAAGATCCCGAGCAACGATGCAGTCAGAAAACAGAAAAAGAAGTCCATCGCGTAAGCCCCGGAGAACCCACTCCCGAGTCTACCCGCTAACATATCAAGATGCCGGAGATGCCACACACACAAAATAAAATGCACTGGTGGCCAGCCATGTCTGAAATGTCGGCAGGCTGGTTGTCCTACCGAATGCCACTATGTCAATCGAGATCGTCAAGTGAAAGTGCACGAGAGGTATGCTCCACCAGGCTTGGCTTGCTCCGTTGCAAGGCTAAATATTCAACTAGTTATCTCGAGGGCCTGGCTGCAGAGAACCAGCGCCTTCGTGATCAGTTATCCCAGTCACCTAGCTTTCTTACGCCGAGAGAACATCAAGCCCACGATGAAGGTGCTTAAAGTTTCTCTCTTCTTTCCGGTGACTCTTAACTTACGCCCTTTTCTAGATGCACCTGAACCAGATGCAGATACACATGTTCGGAATCCAATGCTGGGTGAGCGGGCATGGTTCCTACCATACGACCCTTCATTACCACCAATCCACGTCTGTGAAGCAGCATGCACGGCATTCGCCACCAGGCTCCGAAAGATTCTTACTAAGAGCGAGACCACATCACACATGCCACGGACGCAATACACAACAGAGGCTACCTTGATGAAAATACGCAATCCTGCAATCGAATGGCCGAGCCTGCCAAAGGCTCGGCTTTTGCTTCAGATTGTGTTCAGTCAGGTGACGCGGGTGTACCATCTGGTTCTTCGCAAGTCGACTATTGACCAGCTCGAAGATATCTACCGCAAGGGCAAATTCGACGATCCCGTGTTAACATGTAAGTTCTTTTCTCTTTTCGCTCTGGGAGAAGTATATTCGGCGCGATCCACCCCGAGCTTTGAATGCAACGTCCCCGGCGTGGCTTATTATGTCAATGCGATCACGATGATACCCATCTTGCCGGAACGACCAAGTCTGGCACATATTGAAACCCTTTTAATTTTGGTAAGATACTTACCACAGTAATCGGCCGTGACTTGTTTACTCACGATTGCAGTCACTATATTCGTTTTTCTTGAACCGGCGCCATTCGGCATTTCTGTTGGTCGGCAGCGCTATGCGTCTAGGCTTGACTGTGGGTCTGAATCACAATATCCCAGAAAGCAAGTGCCCAGACCCTATTGAGCGTCAGCATCGGATCAGACTATGGTGGGCAATTTATGTGTTCGACCGAATGTACGGCTCGAAAGTCGGCTGGCCAATTCAAATTTCCGACGCCGACATTTACGTTGAAATGCCATCAAAGGTCCCTGATGACATCCACGACGATCATACCTCTGACACTGAATACCTCATCGCCAGTATTGAGTTGGCCAAGATCACAGGTCAAGTCATTGACCATGTGTACAGCCGAAAGAAGTTCCCAGAGTCCTTCTTGCAGCGGGAGCAAAAGTTGCTCATCTCTCTCAAAAAGTGGTCCGGTGCTCTTCCTCCGCAGATTCGGCTGAACCGCGACGGCCTCGTTCCGAAGAATGTTGTATCGCTTCATCTTCAATTCAACCAGGTAAGTTGAGAGTTTAGCCAGGAATCGATTGTCAGCTGATCAAATGTAGTGTATAATGCTAGCTAGTCGGCCGATTCTTCTACACACACTGATCCAAGTTACATCCCCGGAGACTACTCAAGAGGGTAGCTCCCAGCCAAACATCCGCCAGACTTTGAAAACACTTAGCGATGCGTGTATTCACGCGGCAAGACATACCCACTCGTTGATCGTGGAAGAATGGACTAACGGATCACTCCCAATCTTCGGATATTTCTATGCTCACTATCTGTTCTCCTCGGCACTTATAATGGTCATTTCCAGTCTAGTATACCCCGAGAATAGCGATGACTTTGCGTTATTCGAGGCAGCTTGCGAAATTCTCCGGGCGATGAGCAATCACGGAAATCTTGCCGCAACGGAATTTTACGATAATTTGGAATGCGTGAAGCAGTGCTTGGATGAGACGAGAGCGCCAGAGGGCGGTCATTACCAGAGTGATCCATCTCGTGTTACAGAAACTATGAATGACTCGCTTGCTCCGGTCACCCCTAACCAGCTGGGACCTTTTGGAAACACCACTGTCTCTGGTATTCCTGAAGCTACCGTACCGACAAACCCTGAAAACGACATGGCCTTTCTAGGAGAAAGCATGGAAGAGTTCCTGGCCCAGCCGGATCTTGATTTCGACTTGCTCGACCCCTCTGTTACTGATGCTGTATACTCATGGCCAAACCTTTCTTTGTGGAGCACATGAAAGGATATGGTGCAATGTTCAATACAGAAATAAATACGCCAAAACGCCCTCATCAAAGGATTTTGGAACAGATATGAAAAGTGTCGCCGTTCTACTGCCATCACCAACATCAGATACTTCATAGATACTATGTAGACCGAAGGTGCAAACTCTCTACAGGAAACTACATTGGAAATTCAGCATTACGATAGAACTCAGGCAGGGGATCTACATAACGAGAAGGGATAAAGTGTAGAAATTTGGAAATTGAATGAAACGACAGCCAATTGCGTAGGACATGCAAGAAGATAACTTCGGGGTCTAGAGCATGGTCTGCGGAAATTATCTCTGGGATTCCATGACCTGCAGATGTGCCTATGCAGTCAGTCCTAATTCTAAATTCGGCGTGCACTCCCTTCGTCCCACCTAAAACCCCACTGTATCTTACTGGGCTGCAGCAACTAACTCTCCTTATTTCTTTTGCTAACATCCAGGGTGTGGTCATATATAAATACCTCATCCTTGCCAGTTTCCTTGTCCACCCAATGATGCCATATGATGCCATATTCCCTATAGATCTAACTCCTGCCTTTCCCGGTCAAGTATCTCCCGGCCTAACCCGAACTAACAAATGCCCTAAAATGAAAACGAATATCGAAATATACACTGTTTACTTTTGAAGGGCAAGGATTTGATACAGATCATTTGAAGCACAAAATCCAAAAATAATACTTATTTTATTACTGTCATCGGGCTCTTCTAAAGCCCAAGAGACACCTAGTCATGTCAAAGAATATCCTTAATTCAGACCTTTTCGGTCGCTGATTGGACATGGCGCCACATCAGACGCCACATCAGGCTTCAGTCATGCAAACATATGTGAGTCACGGGGATGACATCTTGTCATATGTTTTAAGATAGAAATATGAGACAACGTAGGTTAATATATTAATATTTTCAATGTTGTGTCTTTCAACATCTCTGTACTTTACTTCCATCTCAAATCTTTCATAGTTCGAGTTCTTTGGTTCCTCCCCGCAGTGGGTCCCAATGTGTGTGCCTGACCGCTCTGCCTCACCATTCCTCTCCCAACGTCGAAGCTCATGAGAATGCTTTGATGCATCTAGTTGCATGCACTTCTCACCGCATTCATGGCTTCGGATACCCACTGGGGTACGTTGATTAATCCAGATAAGAGCCCAGCCCCACTGCTAGAACAGCTATGTCTGGGGATCGCGCAGTTGATGGTAAGTTCTAGACTGGTCTTACACGAGACCATACTGACAGCTCCAAAGTCTTCCTTCGATTCCAACGGCACAACTGATATCACCCCCGAGAGACTCGCTGCCTTTTACCGTAAAGTCGGCGGAAACTACGATCCGTTATTCCTTGAGACCAAGGCACAAGCCCTATCATTCATCTACCAGTCACTAGGATGTTTCCACAGTCTCCAACCCTCAGCCAATCCATACGAACCCCCATCGATTCCGTCGCTACTTCCAAATGGCTTCGTGCGGTGGCAGACAATACAACTGTTGATGGACCCAGATGAGCACTCCGTGTATTTGCAGAATGCGGTCAACCTCTGGGATATTGCAGACGCAAATGGCGAGCTTTTTCCAAAGACGATTCCTCGGGACGCGTTCCCTTCCGAGCCCGACCCAGAAATGCTGGAATGGCACGAAGGCGTGAGTCGGCGATTGGAGCGTGACTATTTGAAAAGACACACAAAGCGTGCTTCGCCGCCAGACTTTGGGACATATCATTACCATTTCAGTGGCAAGGATCCTCTACCCGACGAAGATGATTACTTCTCCCGTCCACGCCGGGCGGCATCAAAGCGTCACAGCCATGCGGAGCCCGATCGACCCCGCGAGCCTCGCCATCACCGCCGACACCACAGCGGAGAATATCCCGCCTTTGCTGCACGCAGGCCTGGAACAAATCGACCGGGCTTCTCAACCCCCAGGGTTTCATCCCCTCCCCCGTGGGGAGAGCGAGAGCGTCCACCCCGTTCAAGTGGACGAGAACAAACTAGCCGACACAGCCATCCACTAAGCCCGGGGACAGGTGAGGTTCCAGATGTCTCTGATGTGTCTTCGGATGAGTCTGCACGCCGCCGCAAGGACCGTGCGAAACCAAACAGGCAAGAGCGACGTCATCTGTCACCACCTTCCAGCAGTCATGCCAGACGCCATTCCCACGATGCTTACACCCGCAGACCATTCCGAGATCTGTCGCCCACGAGCCCTGCCCGCCAGCGCCGGGGGCAAGACAGCTATCCTTCCCGCTCTAGCAAATCTGAACCTTCGTCAAAGGTTCCGAGAGAACACCCAAGGGATCATCCAAGAGATCGGGATTATCCCAGAGATTACCCAAAGGAAAATCCAAAAGACCGTTCCCGAACACGCACAGCGGGTGTCAAATTCCACGAATTCATATTTGGTGATCCCGCCCCTACTCCAGCTGCTCCAGAGCCGCCTTTCTACAGATCATCAACCCCCCTCCACCAAGAGCGGTACCGAGGCATTTGGGGTCTTACGCCGCAGACGATGTCAGAAGGGGAAGCTACAGTGCTGGCAGTACGGGTAATAGTCGACCCAGTAGCGGGGGAAGCGGGTCTGAGCGGCAGCGATCATATAGCAGCGCTGGATTCCACCCCCGCTCAACCGGATGGGCGAGTCCGAGGAACTCCGCTGCAAAGCGATATACCCCGGCGACTGTGCCCGAAGATGACCGATACGTTCCCTCGCGGAGAGTCCCGATTTACGAATAATTTTCACGTGCTACATGCTGATTTAACGAATTTCTTTCTTCTGCTATATTTCCCCATTTCGAGCATTTGAGCATTTTCTTTCCATTGGCTCTGCCTTACCCATCTCAAACACTTTCCTTTGGCATCTCATCTCTACCACGACAGACCTAGCCTTCCACTCTTTCTCGACGGTGGCCCTCCTTATTTGGCGTTCCATTTCTTCTGGGGTTCTGACGTTTCTTTGTACCGATGATACTCACCATTCGAATAATCATTGAGTGAATAAGCTCAAATATTGAAGCATACTAAAATAAACTACTCAACGGTGCGACGCGTAGATCCCATGATCGTTGAGACAGAGTTGCGTAAACGATATACAAAAGATGATAGTTCCAGTGTGATATGAGCTATGAATTTAATCTGACAGTGCCGCTGTTTGGAAAGTAAACCCATACTCGCGCTGCACCGCACAAATATCCTTGTCCTCAAAATTGATCGTAGTAGATGGCGGCATTCCCAGAAGCGTCATATTACGCTCTGGCTCATACTGCTCAATGACAAGCCCTCTCTCAGTACTCTCAAGCAAGGAATTTGAACCAACCTCCCCGCCAAATATCGAAAGAGTGCTTGCATACGCAGGACCTCGGGTTTTCAAGAACACCAAATCCGGATTGGGGTTTCTCTCGCGGAAGAATGCCCCAAATACATCATGGATCAGCTGCGAGTGAAGAATATCCCGGTCATCGTAGTACGGATACACATCTTCTGTCTTGGTATTCAATGTACCCCACGCTAGCAAGGTATCCGATGCATGGCAGGAAGCGTTGTATACATCATTCGGATAACAGATATCCGGCATACGTGTTGTCTGTGCATGACCATCTGCTATTTGAATTTCGTATAGGGATGGGAATGCGGAATTAAAATTATCGAGAAGATAACCCTGCGGACAAAACCACTGGCTGTGCGTCACAGAATCGGAAACAGCGTTCAGAACGGCATTGCGGTCCGAAGTATTGACGTCGTAAATGCCAGACGAGATTATCTTCTGCGCGAGGGTGTCACCGAGTGTGAAATTAAGCAAGTCAGAAAGTGGGCCCTGAATCAAGTTGAAGAGGTCCATGTAGAGATCTGCCTCGTCGTGGACAGTGGTGAACATGGTCGGGACGTGGATGGGGAGGCTGTTGTTGGCTAGGAGGGTGTTGAATTGATCATCGACTACGCCAGATCCGGTGTCGTCTACCATCGGCCTGAATGGCTCAGCCGCAAATATAAGTCCTGTACTATGGTAGAAGTGCTCTGCCATGCTGGATGCGATGGCCTTTGTAGCAGTTTGAAAAGCGGTTGAGTTATCGAGATACATTGAAGCCGGGACGGAGCGAAGGCACTTGAGGAAACTGGTTTCGGAAGCGTTTCCGTCACAGCCAACTGCCTTTCCGACTTCCGGGGCGATGTACTTGGAGTAAAGTCCGCGAGGGAACCATGGGCTGTCGAGACTTGCTGATTGCACCAGCGCGCCGGAGAAAAGACCCTTGGCTGCGGTGGAAGAGAGTAAAGCTATGACGCTTTGACCACCAGAAGATACCCCGAAGATAGTAACACGCGAGGGATCACCTCCCAAGGCCGAAATATGATCTTGTACCCATTCCAATGCCATGATCTGGTCTTGAGTACCGTAGCTCCCGGTTGTCAGGCTCCCCGTCGACAGAAAGCCCAATGCTCCGAGCCGATAGTTGAGCGTGACGACGACCACATCGCTGCGACTGGCGAAGTTCCCCCCGTCATACTCAATCATGGCTGCGGTGCCTCCCGTGAAAGCGCCCCCGTACAGGTAAACAGCCACGGGGCGGAGCGTGGTCTTCGTGGTGACATTGTGAGGCAGGAATGGGGTGAAGACGTTCAAATATAGGCAGTTCTCGGACATTCCACCCAGAGGCTGATTGCTCAAGCTTGAAGAGGATTGGATACATGAGTCTCCCATGCTAGTCGCATCGATGTTCTTCGATCCTGTGTAGGATCGCGGTGGAGCAAATCGCAAGTCATCGATTGGGGGACTTGCAAAGGGGACGCCGAGGAAGCGGAACGATCGTGCATCTCGATATCCGGTCAAGGTATAACCGTTGGATATCACAGACAACTTTGTGGTTTCCCTTGCGGCTCGGTCGAGATCAGTTGTGACCGGCGGAGTTGAGGTACAGAGGGCTGGCAGCTCATCTTTGCATGATTTCGGTACGACCTTGCGATGGGATATCGAGAGAGCGAAACATCCCTTACCCTCTTCTTGTTCTACGGATATCCACAAATTATCATCGGCTTCTAGCTCGTTCGCAAAGACGAGATAGTCTAGTTCATAATCGAGTTCGGAGTGATTGCTGTTTCGCCTTGAAGACCACGGGAGCAGCTTCTCGCCAATGGCAGTGCATTTTGCAACGGCATCGATATAGGTCGAGTGATCGTGTGCTAAAACGGCTGAAGTGCCATTGTTCTGAGGGCCAAGGTTGTTGTAGTGCAATACCCGGAGAGCACCAAGGGATGCAACAAGGGGGTGGCGTTCGGCCAAGGCTTGGCTTAAGAGAAAACACACTGGTATGACAAAATTGGGCTTCATTTTGAACTGGATTCTCAGTGGCCTGGAGACCCGGAGCCTATAAATAAACCCATGGCTTGTAGCCACATGGTAGACCGCATGCGTTATATTACACTTTTGTAGGATTTCCGGATCTCATCACGAGTCGGTGAGGCGCCGAAAGACAAGCTGAAGTGTGGGGAATGGAGTGACCCTGTGCGTTATAGGCAGTACTTTATTTAGGTGTTTTTAAGTAGATCGAATTGTGAGGTTGAACATTGTAACTGGTGAGAAAAACAGTGGTCTGGCCAAGATGCCATTAGGCGACAGGCTCCGGATCTAGTTTGGGTATATATAAGAAGTTGAATAGATCTTGACTTCAATTTGCCCGGAAAATTCCATCCTTGTACTGCCCGATTGTATATTCCATAATTTGAAGAGTTCTCAAAAGAAACATGCTATATTTCACAGTCGTGGTACGGCTAGGTCTGACAAGGGACCCCGGATGCGCTGTAGAGGTAGCCACTGTAACCAAGCCACGAAAACATATTACTACTTTCAAAACACCAGATCCTTCGACTCTGACATACAGAATTTCCAGTCTCCAACAGCAGTGCATCCAACAAGTGCGGCTTTGATCTTAACGCCAGGGCCTAAGACACATTTCCCACTATGCGGATGGGTAATATGGCTAAAATATTTTTCTAGGGTATGGAATCCTGCCTTTTCGTATTTAGCTGCCCAAGCGTTCACGGGAAGACCGACAACCAAGTCAAGTTTGTGGTTATATGGCGGGTTGGGTAGCGAGGTTGGTTTGGTCAACGGAATCTGTTTGGCTGCTAGAAATAAGCAAGGGGCAGGAGAACACGGGATCGTCGTGACGAAGATGTACATGCTCCAACACTCTAATGGTAGTTCTGCAATAGCGCCCTCCAATAACGGCAGTCTACTTTATTCACCCAAGAACCCTCACTGCGTGGTTCAGTGACACATTGGCAAGCGACATTCGATATTTCTGAGCAACATCCTCATTCTCACCGAACGCAGAATCTTGTGTCAAAGTTGCTAGTGGCTAACTTGCAGCGAGGCTTTGCGGATCGGCACATTCATGTACATAGATAACTCGGGGATTGGCGGCAGCTAATTCAGCTTCCACACGTGGCGGACTCGATGAACGTGATCAGTCACTCCGACTAGCTCCGGAACTTGATGGGACCAGAGAGATGATGTCGTCAGGTAGCTGGACGGAAACAGTTCGGTGGGGTCTCTTGGACGGATCTGACTGCAACGTCGGATTTTCAGCTTCAGACACCGACCAGGAGATATGTATTTGACCCCCGACAAGACAAAGAGCCAATAAAAGTCGAATAAAAGATGGGTTCACTGATTAATGATCGGCACACCCTTGGGATATTGAAGAAACTTGATGTGCACGTGCGTTGATCACGAATTACACAATTCACCGTTCAGTAGTCTCATTATGTAACTGTTATTTTAATAATGTTATACATTAATCATAATCACTGGATACCTTACATACAAGAAAATATAGCATGTCTACAACCTAAACCGAAGGCTCTTTCATTGTCCCAGGGCCACAACAAACTCAAACGGGGCCATGTGAGCATGCACATGTCGTTCCTCACGAGACAACCGCCAGTTTGCTTCGAACCGGCTTGTTCTCCGCCATTCCAGGCTCTGGGAGTCCAGACACATTGACACCCTTCCGGAAAAGAAGACAATGTGTCGAACCACCAAAGTGGAACATACCAATTTCATCTCCCTTCTTCACTCGATCGCCCTCCTTGACAGTGATATCGCAAGTCGAAACCTCTGCCATACCAACTCCAATAAAGGCCACCAATCCAATGGCTGGCTCATCTGCTTCAATGAAGATAAGTGCCCGAGTCGCAGTTGAAGTAATATAGGCCTGCGAAGTAACCTGACCGGCCATATCAATCTCCTTCTGCGACATACCCGGGTACCCGACACCTTCAAACAGCGGTTCAGAGTAGTAGGTACCGTCAACGACATAAGCTTTGACAACCTTGCCCGTGACAGGCGAATGCCAACGGTGATAACTCAAAGCGCTAAGGAACGCCTGGTAAACAGTGCCGCCAACAAACTGCGGCGCAAGATCATTGTGGTCCAGCATGTCGAGCACAGAGTAGGGCTGACCCTTGACCCAGAACTTGTCACGGGCATGAGCCCGGTGCGTAACCCTGAACGGTTTCGACTCACAGGCGTTGGCGATAACCTTGTTATCCTCCGGATCTTCAACAGGACGGATTCCCTCCTTGACACGGCGAGTGAAGAAGTCATCCCATGACTTGTATCCGTGATTTGGGGCAGACGGGTCACATTCGAATAGATCATGGAATTGCAAATCGGTCGCAGCCATCGCACCAACCTTGGCAGCAGCGGTGAGATCCCGAGTGCCAGTCGCACCGAACCATCCATGGGAGCTATCGTTCAGGACATCGGCAGAAGCAGGAGAGCGCAGGAACTCGCCCCACACATTCAAGACCTTCTTGAGCATGGCGTTGATCTCGGGGTCTAGGAAGGCCGCATAGCCACTAGGTGTACCCATTGGCCAGTCGAGGACGGCATTGATAGGCAGACCGACCAGACCGACGCGGTGTGCCTTGTCGGTCCAGGTAGGCGCAGTGGTGAGGAGGTGATTGAGAACATGCAGGAAATGGGAATAATCGCGGATTTCGGGGTTGCCTGTTGGGTCGTGGACGTATGGCTTCTTCCGTGGGACTTCCTTGAACATCGCAGTCAAGAGCATGTATACGCGGGTGTTTGTCTCAATGAGGTGTTTGAATTCCGCCAGGACTGGGTGGAGGGTTTTCTCCTCGCTCTCGTCGACTTTTCGGATGATTCCTCCAAGCCATTCTTTGTGGGCTTTGTGGTCCGCTGGCATCCAATTGCCGACCCTTTCAAAATGTGAGTGACATGCAGATAGTTATATGTTAGGATGTCTTACCTGTGAAGGTGGTGTTCACCGCTTTCTGTCATGTTGATTTTGGTCGGATTTAGAAACTAGTATACGTTGCTTCTCTACCGATGATGATATATTTATACCATTTCTATATAAATTAGAAAGGTTCATAGACATGCATAAGTTACATCAGTATGATGGTGTGGGGCAGGGGCGAGCCGGGTTGAATTGAAAGAACGTTGCAATGTGAGATTATATCCGTCAGTCAATGAGGTCATGACGTTCATAGATCTGTACTTGCAAGATCAACGAAATGATAGACTTCCGACTCCAAGATATATTCAAAGATGAATGTATTGAATATGAATGGAAGAAAAAAGACAGACATAATAATCCAGGGTCCGGGTTATGAGGCACTCTTCCCTTGAACATGCTGATTGGTGAAATATGCTTGACTTCTGCAAATCAAATAGGACGAGTTTGGCATTTTGAGTCTAAAAGGCGGACCTGAAGTACGCTGTCATGTAACCTTCCATATGGAATATGTTATACCTTCGCACCTTGTCTCCCCCGAATTTCCCACCGATCTACTCTCCCACCCACTATAGAATCTATGTTTCGAGGATACCGAAGAACACTAGGGTGCGTTTTCACACTGTTTTGGCACTTTATATGGGCTTAACGCCCATCATTGCCATTATCGTCTTTGTTTGATGTCGTCTATAGGGCTGGCCTGAGCAATCCCTGCAGAGCAGTATCTATGTTAAGCGAGCCAGATCGGGTTAATTGAGGTTATCATCATCAATACTAACTAGTAATTGTAAGTGGCAAGACTACACCATTATAATCCGTACGTAATAATAGGGGTAGCGACGCGTAGTAAGAAGGTAGTTAACTATAGCTGGTTCATCTGTACAGCCCCCAAGTACATTGGTGACTATTGCAGTCTTAGCTTGGATTATGGCGGCTATGGCGATGCGAGCAGAAAAGTACGTTGGTGCTGGAGCCCAGAAGAGATTTGGCCCCGCTGAGCCTAGCGAAATATTCTGGAAGAAACAATGTCAGCCGCTAAACTTCGCTTTTGGGTTCACCCAGCCTAGGCCGTGTGTGGGCCACCCCTTTGTCGGGTCATTTTCAAGTAGCAACACGAGCTCGAAAGCGCTTTTAGGACGGTACATCCTTCCCAATGGCCCACTATAGAGTCTTGACTCGGCCAATGTGGAGAAGAGACTTTCCAGCTGCACGTCATATGAGACCAAGGGTCGAAGCAATGGTGATAAACTCCAGAGCATCGCCTACCGGCGTCTCTTTATTTCCAATCCCAAAACCTTCGTAACATCGAGCAACCTCCTCTTCATCTTGACCAGGGAGGCAGCCTCTTTGGCTATTACAGAGGAGAAAACGTCAAATTAGCGGATGCTTTGCTTGAGGAAGTAAATACTACGTATGTTCAAATAATGTGAGGCACAATGTCTTAGTTTGCGAGCAGGGGCATTTTCATTGCCTCGGGAGGGATGTACGCCCGCGTTCGTCACCATTTCCAGTCAGAGCTATCACGCAACCAGTCCAGCCTGCGAGCTGGCTTCACCAATCTCCAAATTGCATATGTCACATCGGAGAATGGTTCAGGCTCCAAGGTATCGGGATCACGGAATCCACAAATATGCCTGAAAATCATTAGCTCGCCATGATTGATGTTTGTAGATTGTCATAGCCATCTACATAGACTTAGTGGCCTCATCATAGATGAGATTGTTCAAAGAGCTAAAACTCTCTTCTTGATATAAGCACTGGTAGCTCTCTTGGGTTACATAAAGGGGGTATGACCTTACTTATAAGCAGCGCGGAAAGCGGAACGCACCTCCTCCCGGTCTGCGAGGTCACGTTCCCAGTAAGAAACGGAGCCAATCGGTTCACCGGCCACTCGCTTCCACGCGAGATAATTGGTATTACCCCCAGGGACGTAATCTTCTACGCCTTGCACCCGGTTACCATAACCAAGTAACTTTGGGACTGCAGTGCAGTTCTTGTGATCGAGACTTATGAGAGCTTTGACTTCCGCATGGGTATGCTGAGTGAGAGCTTGCTGAGCTCGGACCTGAGGGAGGCTAGAAATAGTACCATCAATCGGAATTTGATAGTAGAGCCGTATAAAGCCCTGTTGGGCTGGGTCGAAGAGATTATGACATGAGAACTTGAGTGCTGTAAACGCATGGCCGAGGCCTTCATAAATTCTTCCTGTGTCATGGTTTGGTATTCTTCAGACAATCTATCATCGAGTACAAACGTCGCCCTAGGCGAGGAAGGTTGTTCGAGCCTGACTTCAGCACTGTACAGATGATCGAAATCTCCTGGTCGAGTCATTGCGGTGAGCAGAGAGAGAAGTGCGAGAGAAGAGAAGTGCGAGCACATCCATCCACGGATGGATTATATAACTAAATAATTAACTAGCTTAATGATTAATGTCTTAGGTGTCTACCCTCTGTTGGTATTGACCATATTGTAAAATGTCAAGGTTCAGTCAACCATGTTCAACTTCTCTGTATTTCAGTGTCGACTCCGCTAACAATTTCTGGTTAACTAGTTATTTAGCTGACTGGCCCCTGCATTCTTTTCAATCTCTAAATGAGGCAAGTCTGCAAATACTTTTGAGCTACTTTCATAATGCCGTCCCCAAGTCCCTCTGCTGCAACCTCGTAGCTATTAATCTATTGAAAATGAGGATTAGTGATTTTCCAGATTCCCATATGGCATATCAAACCTTATCTACATATTCCCACGCATCATCTCCGAACCCAGCAGCATTCAGGGCACGATCAACATGTTCAAAAGCGATCTCCGCTTCCTCGCTCGGATCTGTGGGGATGGAACCATCATCTTAAATTCCAAGTCGACCTCTGATCAATACGCAGTGAGAATTTGCGGGAATAATGACAGGATGGGATAGAGTTATAGAACTTGAAGCCATGGGCAGTAAGCTTGGAGCTGGTATATTCGGAGCCGTAATTTCCCGACATTGTGAAATATATTTTAAGGATGAAAACGAAGGAATTTAATGAAACATGTGTCAAAATTATCATCAATAAAATGCACTCGACTTATACATCTCTAATGGAAACAAGCAAAGATCGGATGAACAGGCAATTTACTGTTGAATTTCTGTTGTCCACCAAAATAAGAACTAAAAGCTCGTTGGTCCGTTGGTTCTGCGAGATATCCCCAACGCAGTATAATAACCATCGTTACGTTGAACATCTAATTCTGTGGATGCTGCATTCAGAACAACCTGTAAGCGGGATTTCCGATCAGTGAAATTTGAAGGCCCTAACGCGTATGGCGTGAAAGGCGCCTTTATTTCTGGACATCATCTAACATATTTTAAGAGTGCGTATTATATTTCTTGAAGATCGCTCTACTTGTTTCCGCTCCGTAGACTCCATGAATGTGTGTCCTGACTTCGCCAATACCACGGACTATTCTACGTCGTAGTATGCCCGACAGTTAGTCCATCATGCAACAGCTACACAAAAAAGGCCAAAAGTACATATCGTAAGTCTCGGTAGTATCGCTCATCTCGCACGGTATAATGCAATCATCAAGAAGATGTTTCACATGTCCTCCATGGCGTAGCATTTGCGAACTGATCGGAAACGGGAGGGTTCATCAATGGGTACTGGGTGAGAAGAGGGAAAGGAATTGGTAGTGTGATGCCTATTAATGAGCAATTGATGGAAAGGGTTGAGGTGAGACTGAGTCGGAATTATATGCGAGGATTACAACGAGTATAGAGAGAGACGGTTTGATCGTATGATCTATACACAGATGGGGTAGTATGCAACGGTTTATGCTCAGAAGAACTGCATAAATGTTACTGGCATTGGATGGGAGACATAGCGTGACGTGGGTGGTAAAGGGAACGAGCCCCGACAATATGGCCGGGTCAGCCGGCAGACAACTAAGCCAGTGGAAATAATACCAATCTTCTTGCAATTGAAATTTCATGTTCCCATGACCCACAAATTGAAACCAAACGGCGGAGTAAACTGACTCGCGGACCCCAGAGTCTTTGAACAGGGTTGGGGTGGTACGAGACCGTTGGGGAAGGTCGGAAAATAGAGGTCCAGGCACAGGATATTATTGGAAAAGATTGTACAGATTAATATGGAGTCCCGAGGATTAACCAACTAATCATATCGTCGGGATCAACTTCGGGGCAAATATCGGGGCTTCCGCAATCGGGCTCACCGAGAAGACTGATGGTTCCCGAGTGGGTCAATCCAAAGCTTAATGGTTCATATGTGAACGATGTGAACAGTTATAACTTCACATTTGGGTTAAGTCACAAAGTAAATATACGTCAGAATCACTTGCCACTCAACAATTGCTCTCTCCTGAAATCAATCGCCTATATCTCCTCGGCGTGGGTAATCCGAGTGGGAAGCGGCATGCCGATTAATGTGGAACCACTCACCAATCAGATCAGCCCGGCTCGGGAGGTTATTCGGACCATCGTCGGCGATACCTTCAAAGTTTAATTGCCCGATCGTCCGAAACACGAATACGCGAATACCATGGTTATAGCACGGTGAGTATAATTATGTATGTGGCCGAAGCGTGCGCCAGATGTTGCAGCACGAGAATGGCCAAAGGAGAATAGTATATAATGAGCGGCACTTGGATAAGACATGTTAGGTGACTTCTATGTATTGATGGTAGTTACGTCCAAAATAAGAAGGTGAAAATCTCTCAGGCACGAGGAGTTTTCGCCCAGTCCTCGCCATATCCACTTACTCGGTATATCAACCCAGTCCTTGATCCACAGGTTTTTCCTTGGGTTCCATGCTAGCAGCATGATCAATCATTACCAGGGATTCCCCTCCCCCATCCTCCGTATAATCCCGCAGCCCCAATTCTTGTGAAATTCTGGAGTCCGGAGCGTGACGTATAGTGGGTAGATTTGGCGAGCAGGGTGTTTAAAGGTCGTAACGCCCATTCTGTTTGTTCTCTCCTGGACAGATTTTCCAACCTTCACTCTCCACACTACTTATAATGAAGGCCAGCAAAAGTCCTCAGCCTGTATCGGCTTCCCATAATGAGAATGTTCCTTCACTTCACACTACCCCAGCCCATGAGCCACGTACGACAAAGGGTCTAATCGTCGGAGGAAAATACCGGGACGAACTTTCAGAAGAGCACACCCAGCACTACGACAGCAGTTTATTGCAAGAGGTCGACGTCGATCTTCCCCTTACAGCCACAAAGCCTAAGGAACACGATGGCAAAGAATTTATCGTTCTTGACTTTGTAGAAGGAGACAAGGAGAACCCCTTCAATTGGAGTTCGGCCCGAAAGGCCTTCATCAGCACTCTTCTTTGCCTTATGACACTTTTCATTGGTCTCGCCACAACAGCATACAGTTCCGGAATTTCACGCATGGCAGCGGATCTAGGAACTTCAGAGGAAATCGGAAAGCTCGGTCTTTTCACCTTCAACTTTACATGTGCAATTGCTCCCCTGTTTCTCGCTCCATTCTGTGAGCTGGCCGGTCGACGAGTCATTTATGTCGGTGCCTACGTTTGCTTCTGTCTTATGTTCATCGGCCTCGCTTTAGGCAAGAACATTGCCACGATCCTGGTCTGTCGTGCCCTGCTAGGTCTGTTTGGTTGTGTTGGCACGATTCTGGTTGGTGGCACTTTTGGAGACATGTATACACCGGAACACCGTGCTATCCCTATGGCATCTTTTGCCTTCATTGCCATCCTCGGTACAGTCGGTGCACCAATCTACGCCGGTTTCATCGACCAGGCTCTCGGCTGGCGCTGGGTTGAGGGTATCCAGGGTCTGGCGAATATTCCCCTGGGTATCGTTATTGCAATTTGTCTGCCCGAAACTCGCGGCAGTGTGTGTCTTAGCAAGCGTGCCAAGAAAATCCGCCAGTCCACCGGCGACGACCGTTTTGTGACCCACAATGATATCGAAGCCCCCGGCCTTAAACACATGTTGCACAACTCCTCTGTTAAGGCCGTGAAAATGCTCTTCACAGAGCCCGTCGTCTTTGCTTTTGGTCTCTGGATTAGTTTCGCCTGGTTCCTAGCCTTCCTTTTCTTGTCTGTCATCCCAATTACCTTCCAAGAAAAGCGCGGCTGGAACGAAGGAGTCTCGGGTCTTCCCTACATATCCCTCTGCCTCGGAACCACCATCGGTTTCGGTCTCAACTTCTTCCAAATCCGAAAATACAAGTCCCTCAGCTCCGACCCGAACATTGAGATCGCACCCGAAGCTCGTTTGTACGGTGCTCTATGCGGAGCTGTCTGGCTGCCAGTTGGTTTATTCGTCTACAGCTTCACCCAGTACAAGGGTCTCCCTTGGATCGGTCCCGTCATCGGACTGGCCCTCATTACCATCGGTATCTTCTTTATCTTCGAGTCGTGCTACAGCTACACGGCTGATTGCTACGGAGAACACTCTTCCTCTGCGATTGCTGGTCAGGGTTTCATGCGCAATACCCTCGGTGCTGTGTCGCCATTATTTGCCTCCCAGTTCTTCCACAACCTGGGTAGTCAATATGCTGGATTGTTATTGGCATTGGTGGCGACCGTCTTGACTTTTATTCCGTTCATTTTGTTCAAGTTTGGTCCTGCACTGCGCGCACGGTCTAAACTTGCCTCTGCCACTGTGAATGACACGAAGTAAACGTTTGAGTATTTGTTAGGAATTAGCGTATCAATACATTTTGAATTAGAGGATTATATTCTGGAATAGAGACTAAAATCTTGACTCCTCCATGCATTTTAGGGAAAATATGAAGGCCTTGAGGTATACGCAACGCTTTAAAACAGACCTAGACGGCTACAGAATTTCCTGAGTGGGGTGTAGATGTAATGAGTGTAAGAATATAGCGCGAGATTTTCTAGCCATTTTCATTTCCTAGAAGGCATATAAGGGTGTTCCAACAGTCGGTGGCGGTTTGTGTGGGATGACCAATAGGAAAGGGGCGGTGGGGGTTCACCTGCAGAAAGGATTTCCAATTTGGCAGGCGGTGTGTCTGAACGGTCCGCTCTCAGAAAATTTCCGCCGACCATCTTCAACTTAACTTCCATCTCCATCTCACTTATTTTCCGTTGCAATTACACGGCCGTGATCCACCGAGTGAGCCATTTCTTAAAGATCTGGTGTTTGAATTCCCAACTACTACACAACAATGGCCGAAGATACCTCCGCCGCGTGGCCCATCGCCGATGAGGCCCTCGCCCAGAGCCTCCTCGACCTTGTCCAGCAGGCCGCTCACTACCGTCAGCTGAAGAAGGGCGCCAACGAGTGCACCAAGTCCCTCAACCGCGGAACCTCCGAGCTTGTCATCATGGCCGCCGATACCAGCCCTCTCGCTATTGTCCTTCACTTGCCTCTCTTGGCCGAGGACAAGAACGTGAGTCAAATATCCATTGAGCCCTACGGCAGGAATCCAGGCTAATCATCCAAATCAGGTTCCCTACGTTTACGTTCCCAGCAAGATGGCTCTCGGCCGTGCCACCGGTGTTTCCCGCCCCGTCATCGCTGCCTCCATCACCACCAACGAGGCCAGTGAGCTGACCGCTCAGATCCAGGCTATCAAGAACCAGGTCGAGCGTCTCATGATCTAAGATGTTATATTAGATATGATCGGGAGGAGGATTGGACTCCGAATAAATGTTTTCGGAAATGGCTGTTGGCTTTAGCACTGGATTTCTTCCGTGATATGAGGACTTCCTGTTGTCGAAGTACGCAACTTGCTTCTTCAGCTTTCGAGGCTAGGTTTTGCGTATATAGCCGGGACAATTCAGACACTTTGAACTTTGAACTGAGACCGTAGTGAATCTTGTGAGATAATCGTAGAAGGATGTCCTGTGCCTTTGACAGATCATATTGCTACCATGACTTGAGCCTCGGGCTTCATACCCTGGCAGGAGCTGGGCCTAAACACTCAGTAGAACCCAGCCAATGCTCAGTTGAACATTGAAAAGGTTTGTCGGGGGCACCGGGCCGTCATTTCCGCTTATATAAGCACTGTTTGGTTTTGAAATGCCGGCTGCCCCCGTAGTTTGAATCGGCCGTCCCGATTTGGTATATCTCATGCTATAGAGAAGACCAAGGGGTACAACACTACTCCGTACCTCCTACTCGGTTTACTCCGGCCTCTATTTTGAGGTCTTGGACCATTAGGCGGGGTAGGTGCACAGTCCTGCCAAGGGACTCTAGCCGCTGCAGATGTACAACAGTCTACCCTATAAAGATTCACCTGCACCCATTTTTATTAGCGCATAATCAGCGTTGTACTGTATATGGTATTTTCACAAATGAATACTATAACATTTTTAACAAAACAGGGTTCTCAACCCTCAATTCCTTCTTATTTCTACCAGGTCAAATTACTACAATATAGGAGGTATAATCCATGTTTTCAACCATCAATTACTATATACTATACTATTTTCTAGTAAGTAGCAGCACGCCCCTGAGCATCAATAACTGCCTGGCACCTTAATGGCATACTATTAATCAGATCAGATAGGAATTCCTCCGGTATAGCATCCCAGGCCTCCTAAACCACACCACGAAGCTTCGATAGAGGAAAGTGCTGCTCCCCATACTTTCTCTCGATATAATCCTTCATCTAGTTCCATACCTCCTTAATAGGGTTTAAATCAGGCGAAAAGGCAGGCCATTTTATCATAATAACCTTAAGCTCCTCGAAGAAATCAACAGTCTCTTTAGCAGCAGTATGCCCAGGAGCATTATCGTGCATAACAATCGGATCTTACTCCCTTAAACGTGTCAAAGGATACATATGGTCAGCCTCGCCGCATAATAATTGAATTTACCTATGTATGACGTTGTACCAAAGCATGTCTACAAACAATGAACTTTTGATATAAAACAATAAATCGATTTCAACTAAGGCCAGAACTCTATTTTGGTGAGGGAAGAGATTAGAGTCTTTTTGTGCTTCAAAGAAAAACACATGCATGAAAACAAGAATGATTTCAAGGATTTCCATATTTCTCAAATGAGATCATGCATACGAACGATTGGGCGCATATTTCTTATTCCGAAGAAGGCTCAACAGGAGAGTTGACAGGAGATAGAAATTTATGGGCAAGGTTTTTTTTCTTTTCCTTGCCACCCTTCCTTGGAATGGGTGCTTCCAACGGCTCGGGTGCTCCAAAGAATATTCATCCTTGGAAGGCTACTCTAATATATCCGGGCTGCATGATCTGGACTGTCCATGGCCTGGTTCAGAGTTAATCCCATCAACCGGGCTATAAGAGCTAGAAGATGATGAACGGCAATAAACAACATGAGGAACATGGAAGCCAAGGCTGAGCCATGCCATAGTACATTGTTGTTTGCCCAGTTACAGCTCTTCAATACCGAGACCAGCGTTTCGAAAATGACCTCTTGCACTTTGTTTCCTTACTCCCACCTTGCTAACACACCATTCAAGGAAGCTATTAAACCCTTAATGGGGATTGTCTGCATAAGGCTGCTAATGCCGCCGAATGAATGCCTTTAACTCTGCAAAAACCTCTTTAATCGGGTTCAGGTCCGGCGAGTACGGTGGTAAATATACTAATTTAACCCCCTTATCAAGACAAATCTGCTTAATCTTCCTCTTTCTTCCTGTCTCTTCCTCTCTCTTTCCGTCCGCGTCCACAATGAATCCACACATATTATGTCTTCTTTGACATTCGTCCAGTGGCATTCTCTAGGGAATTGCAGTTAATCCTCATTGTTGGCATAGGATTGGGGATTCAGCAATAACCCTAAGTCGCCGTTCTGGCAGCCTGAAAATTGAATCATCCTCCGGATGTAACATTAGCGCTGCCGATTAGTCTGCTAGCGTTTATGCAGTCAACTTCACACAAACTTCATTGTGGTACGCCGTCAGAACAATGAGTACTACTACTCCGTCATCAACTATCGTTTCCCTAATCCTGAACACTGAATTGGACGATGATGCTGTAAATCTTTCATGAGTACGTACCGATTGAGAAAGACGTATATTTGTTGCATCGATTTATCGCATCTATTTCGTCTGGATTTGGATTTGGTGTAGCAAAGGAACTTGTCAGCTTGGTGGAACCCTGTTCTTTCGCCTCACAAGACAGAATGGCAGGCGCATTATCAAGAACCTTCTCCTTTGTAGATCGATCAAGGATCGCAAAAGCAGCAAGATGGATTGAAAATGATTGTGCGAACTAAAATAATCAGTATATATAGGTCACAGTGACATGTCACTCACACTGCTGTCCGGCTTGGCTTCCAAGGGTATGAGTCTCGTCGCCGATTTGCATTGGGAGATATCGGTCCAACGGCGTTAACGGAGGATCGATATCTCCTTGTTTACTGACACTTACAAAGAGGCTCATGTGATCATTCACCATGGCTGCCATCTCATGCACAAGTATACCGGTTCTGCGCAGCTCCATCGGACTATTCGGACACGCGGACGCCTTCGTAGACCAATTCATTCGATTGATCCCTCTAGCTTTTCTGTGAACCATGACGAGCAGTTCCACACCAGCCTAGCAGAGCTGTAGTCCGCAATGCCTCGGTTCCTAAATACCGAGTAGGCCATTAGCACGAAGCCGAAGGGCGGTTGGGTTGGAACTTGTTCTAGTGTGGAGGGCTGGAACCACAGTAATTTTCTGATGTCTGGCTCCGGCGAAGCGCTCAATCTAGATTTGTATATATATATATAACGTATACGAGCAACCTTAGTAGCCCCAATTTTTATTCTATGCTATCTATCGCTTTAACGTTGGCTAGGGAGAATTAGCAGGTAACCTAGCAAATTAATTATCATGTGTCCATTTCGGCCAGAGTAACAAGAACAGCGATCGTACGATCCGGGGTGATTCTCAGCGAGACCTCTGCAACTTCATTCCCCGTGCCCCACCAATTCTATCACATTTCCAGAATTGCTCCTGTTAGTAGCCAATGTCATCCACTTCCCCCACCCACGTCCTCCGCGGACAATTGCAGGCATAGATAGATTTGGGCGTCAAGACGGAAAACCCGTCCTTATTACATAAACAGCTACTCTTTAGTCTCCACAGTAGTTGGGGTGACAAGCCAGATCGCCAGATAGATGTCACTTTCATAAATTCTGGTACATAGAATCAGGACGAAATTCGCCATGAGGGTTGCACCTCGGCTGAAACATGCTTGGCCGCCCCCAACGTCTAGGGATCTGCCTTGCTCTCCATATCAACGCGGAAATAGATAAGACCAGAGATAACTATCCATTTAAATAAACAAACTGTAGCATAGTGGGAAAAGCGTTGGCACTCGTAATTGACACTGGGAAAGGCTTTTCTGTGCTATCATACAATGCGGCTTCAAGATATGGTTATCACTTCTTCGCCTGAGCATTCAAGGTGCAGACACTATGTTCGGAATGGCATATTCAAGAAGATCCAAGTCAGCCTTAGGATCTCGCCCCCTTGAGTTCAATGAAAGGCTCCACCTTCACATGACGGAGAACACTGCCAGTGATACTACCCCACAGATCGTCAGAACTGGTTACGGGATCTAAACGACGACCCACTTGGATAGCCTCGTCAACAATAGCGGTATGGGGCTGCCAGGCTACACACGATTAGCAATATCAGCGGGACGGGATATATATTGTCTATATAATTGGATGCAGAATGGGGCGCAGGGGCTTGGCCTTACGGATACTGCTGCGCCCAGGTGCCAAGCCGTATCTGAGGTTGAGATGGGCCCGAAGAAGGATAATATACATATTAGTATGAACGAATGTAGCGATGACAATGAAGGAACCGATGCGCATTGAGAGGCTCTGCTTCTACTCCCAAGTATCCAGGACAGGAGGTCAATATCGTTGCATACCGCGCCCGGTACTTCTAGTCACCTGCTTCATGCTCTTGTGTCATGAACTTTGCAGGGGATGAATAGCTATACAAGCTATACATTCTCTACAGCCGTCAACCGGATATAGGGCTTGCATTGGTTGGGAATGTGCGAGGATCGTAAAGGTATAGCTGGCTCACTTGGCAAAGCTTGGTGTGGGGGCCACACTGCCCAAAATACGGAGTATGGGGCCAAAGTGTGGAGGATACTGACGACTACCCTGCCGGACAACTCAGTCTAACAGTACTCGCTTACTTGAATTTGATATTGATCGTGCATGAAGTCAAACCTGATCTGCAGTCCTTTAGAAGCCTGGTTTAGATATGTTGGTCCACTTAAAACGACCCGGAGTGCTGCAGTACGGGTAACCTTCCTATCCAGATTTCGATCTCGACATCGGCCTTAGGGACAAGAGGTACAGTCTCCCAGCATCCGCATTGCTACGTCAATCTCCCAGCACAAGGCAGACTCGGGGCGAACAACTAAGGTATATAAACCCTATCTCTCTTGAATTCTTCAACTTCAACATCAATCAAGCCAGAAGCAATTTCACTTATCTCGCTTTCCAACATCAATCAAACCAGAAGCAATTTCACTTATCTCGCTTTCTCCCCCACCAGACAAAACAAGACAAAATGTTTATCAAGTCTCTCCTTGCCCTTTCCGCCATGGCGACCACTGCCTTCGCCGGCGAGAACAACATTAAGTTCCTCTACTCAAGCTCGAACTTTAACGGCATCCAAGACTCCGGTAGCGGCCACATCAGCGGCTTCACCCTCTTCGACAACGACAACAATATCCTCTTTGAAAGCCCAAGCCCTCTTAACTACTCTCCCTGTGTGAGAGACACCAACCACCTCGAGATAACTTCGGACTGCTGGGAGGGGAGTTACGACTTCAGTTGCGGGTCCTCCTTTAGCGGCATGCCCGGAGCATGCAGCGTGTACGCCCCTGATGGTTCAGAGACAAAGGGCAAGGCGGACAGTGACTTGAAATTCATCGGCATTGCCTCCGGCCAGGACGGCACCTGTAGTGGCACCATTACTACTCACAGTGATGGTAAGTGCACGAAGGATAGCCTTGTGAAGATTGAACGACGCTACACCGGAAAGTATTCTGGTCACAACTAAGAGCCTATATGCTATTGCGGGCAACCTGGTATATGGCTGGTCTAATTTCTGAGACATACATTGTCATCAAGTTCGCTCTGTCTATCTATTTATTTCCTGTGTCTAGTTGCTGTGTGTGAAGGGTTGGTGAGACAGTCCACATTTACTTTTACACTTTTCATATAAATATAACCAAGTGATATACGTACGAGTTATTACCATATATGACCCTAGCTATATGCAAACCAGACCCAATTAGGTGCTATCAAGCCAGCTGGTATTACTGTAAGGACGGAAATCAAAAAGCCAGCCGTACCAACGAGGGCTGGAACTCGCTATGACCATGGCTATGTTCAGAGAATCCCCAACCTCCTAAGCAATACCACCTTCCATAACTTGCTAGCTCGACTATCTAGAGACTTAGCGAGAGTAAGTAGACCTGGCACTCACCCACCCAGTGGGTCCAAGACCCAGTCCCTCCACCCTCCGAGGCTCCTCTAAGGGTCACCCGCATCGATTCTTCTCACTTGGCATCTCACCCTATACGGTATATAGGTGTATTACCCATATTGGATTCCCCGTTCTCCTAAGCCGCTATCCTGAGGCTGTGTCACACAAAACGGCCTGCTCCTCGTGTCTCTGTCTCCACTGTCCCCATCTCGACCAATGCATTGTCAAATTGCGTGACAATTGTATTTTTTAATATTCAGCGTGTCCCAGAATTTCTTCCAAAATCATTTCACCTCCTCACCGAGCATATAGTCTTCTTTTCTATCATGCTTCGGCGGACTCGAGTTTTGGCTAGATGGTCAATGTCCTTTCAATTGCCCCTTCCGTTTGGTTTATCTGTAGAGAAGCTGTTCTGGACACCCTATAGACGATACGAGACTAATGCGGCTGTTGTTTATAGCTGTTATTTACCAACGCACCGAGATGCTGCCAAGAAAAGGGGTCCAGGGTCGCGTAGCTACAATAGGTATAGCGTATTTCTAAAGAAAGAGCGCACGCACCCGTAGATATCTTTAGAGTCTGGGCAGCTGCAGGCCCTACGAATCAAAATTCATGTCTCTTTGGACGAATCAGCACAGCTAGGGTGCGCTTGTTCCCAGATTCGTTTTGCTCACACTCAGTTTTACTCAAATATCGATACTCGACCAAGTCATCCAATGGCCCATGAAAATATCATCGGAGAAACGTGATAAGAGTCAATTTCTTATCACACGCAGTTAATGGATGGGACGAGACAACCCGGCCAGATTGAACAGCCCGCGCCAATGATGGAAGGAGGGGGAAAGAAGCCAAGCTTTGTGGGGGACGAGTTGGCGTTGTTAGCCCAAACAATGGACATCAGGGCGACGAAAAACACCGAACACAAAGCCAAAAGAAAGGGGTTGAGAAAGAGCGAACGGCAAGACTTGTATCCCTCGCGAATACGTGGCCTCTCGATAAATCAACTGAATTTCAAGCTTTACCGGTCTCGTTTGCTAATGATATTCTGCGCGAGCTTCGACTTCTATGGCACGGGGCGATGTGGGCCCAAAGTGGAGCTTCAACGGACACAAGTGTATGGATCCGGTGCTTCAAAGATGGTGATAGATTAGACCTACACCGAGGTCACTGCAACGCCGCCAGGGTACTCTTCTGATGTATACCTCGACCATGAGTATCTCCACTTCTCCCACTTCTATATAGGTGCGCCTTCTATCTTAAAAAGCATCCGAGTTTGCGTGTCCATCCCCATGTGGCCCATTGGCAGTCGCATAGAGATTAGGGCCGTGTGTAGTGTATGCTGAACTTGCAAGAGTCTTGTTAGATGATAATGATTCTATACTGCAAGCTTCAGTTTTATCACAATCCTTCCAACCCACGTGACACAGATCCCTGCATACCAGGATGGCAGGATGGCCCCTCGCTGAATTGGGCAAATGCGCGATGAAAAACCCCGAATCTGACACAAAACCACCCATCGATCACGCCATCAAAACATCCAATCGAAATCGAGGGAAAAGAAAGAAATTCATCGAATAAACTTGATTTGGGGTCGCTGGATGGGATCTGATTAGACACATGGAGTTTCCAACCTGATCGGGGTTAGATTGAGAATACGGACTCTGAAGCTATAAGGCGTTGCCCCCTGGCCCCCCACTGCCACGTTCCTACCCCTTCCCTGTTTCCAACACGACATGTCAGAAGCGCCCAAATTAGGCGGTCTCGAGCCGACAGCGATCGAGGACCCGATCGCTCCTCGAGATGAGGATCCCGACGCGAACTACAAAGCCAAAGCTGAGGTTCTCAACCATGCGATTCAGGCGATCGGAATGGGCCGATACCAATGGCAGCTCTTCGTGGTCATCGGATTCGGCTGGGCGAGCGACAATCTGTGGCCTATTGTTACCTCGCTGATTCTCCCCGCAGTGTCGAATGAGTTCCATCCCTCGAAAGCGCCGATGTTGACGCTTGCGCAAAACATCGGATTACTGATTGGCGCTGTGTTTTGGGGGTTTGGATGCGATGTATTCGGTCGCAAATGGGCGTTCAACTTGACGATCGGGATTACAGCGGTGTTTGGCCTGGTCGCGGCGGGATCGCCCAATTTCGCGGGGGTATGTGCATTTGCCGCTTTGTGGTCCGTCGGCGTCGGGGGGAATCTACCGGTTGACTCGGCCATCTTTCTTGAGTTTTTGCCTGGATCGCATCAGTACTTGCTGACTATCTTGTCGATTTACTGGGCTTTGGCGCAGCTGCTCGCCACTTTGATTGGTTGGCCGCTGCTTGGATATAGGACTTGTGGCTCAGCAGAAGGATGTACGAAAGCTGACAACATGGGATGGCGATGGTTTATGATCACAATGGGTGGCATCGCAATGCTCATGTTCGTCGGTCGCTTCCTGTTTTTCACGATTTTTGAGTCGCCGAAGTATCTCATGGGGAAGGGGAGGAACGAGCAGGCTGTGGAGGTTGTCCATGAAGTTGCCAGGAGGAATGGAACAACGTCTGATTTGACGAGAATCGAGCTCGACGCCTTAGACCAGGGCGAGATACAGCATTTCAGCGCGGCAAATATCGTTCGTCAACGACTGGAAACCGTGCGCTTTGATCATATCCGCGCTCTGTTCAATACCCCCAAGCAAGCATGGGCTACGACCTTGATCATCCTTGTGTGGGCATTCATCGGTCTCGGCTTTCCACTATACAATGCATTCCTTCCATACATCCAGCAGTCTCGAGGGGCTGAATTCGGTGATGGGTCGACATATATCACATATCGGAACTCGTTGATCATTGCCGTGATGGGCATTCCAGGCTGTCTGCTGGGTGGAGTGCTGGTCGAACTACCAAGTTTTGGCCGAAAAGGTGCTCTCAGCAGTTCCACAGCTATAACTGGAGCCTTCCTCCTTGCGTCGACAACGGCTACCACATCAAATGCCCTGTTAGGTTGGAACTGCGCCTTTAATTTCATGAGCAGTCTCATGTATGCCGTGTTATACGCATACACGCCCGAGATCTTCCTCACCAAGGACCGTGGTACGGGGAACGCATTAACCGCGTCTGCGAATCGGATCTTTGGAATTATGGCTCCTATCATTGCCATGTTCGCGGATCTCACGACCGCTGTTCCTGTTTATGTTAGCGGCGCGCTGTTTATCGCAGCGGGTATTCTTGTGCTGTTCATGCCGTATGAGTCTCGCGGAAAGTCGAGTCTGTAAATATATGTTGCCGATGCAATTTGTCGTTCTTCATTACACCTACCTATAATACCTCAGCCATGGACCTTGCTCTGGTCTACAGGATGAGTTGTTGACCATGTACTTGTAAATCGTAAATAGCCTTCATATTAATTGATCCCTGTAGGCAATCATTTTATCAGGCATGAGATCATCATATAGTTAATATAAAATATCCACCCAATCGAATTGGAGAGCGGATGACATCATACCCCTGGACTCCAAACTTGGATTTAGAACATCACAATGACTGTGTTGTACTGGTTGGCCACTCATTTTAATATAACAGAATTTCTAGAACACACTCCGCCACTACCTGCGACCGGAGAATATCAACCAATAATGACCTCATAATCCAGGGGGGTATGGGGTATGGCCATACGTCAGATGGATACATCCAAGATATTAAGCCTGATCACGGTGGCTGTTAGGAAGGGATCGCCCTTGTTTCTATACTGTCATTGGACATCCTTCGATTGCGGCGCATAGTTGCTTCCACACAGTATTAGTGGATGTTGCACCCATTATATCATGGCTATGTAACCGGTTTCAGGGCGTAGCGTTGATATAAATAAAGATAACAAAGCCAGCGACTCTAGCCTAATCTCAATCAATACTGTAAGAACATCCAAAATACCAGACACTACCAATTTCTTCAATCACATACTTCTCACAACACACAAACTACACATACCTTTCCACACAAACCATGTCCAACGATCAGAACCGTACGTTCCCCTAACCCCAATCATACATCCCAAACACCCACTAACTAAGCTCGATAGCCGGACTCCTTGGCGGCCTAGGCGATACCTTGGGCAAGACAGTCGGCGGCGTGACCAACACACTAGGCAGCACAGTCGGCGGTCTCGGCTCAACCGTGGGCAACGCAACATCCGGCCTTGGAAATACCGTCTCGGGCGCAGCAGAGGGTGTTGGGAATACGACGAAGGGCGCTGGCCAGGGCGTGCAGAGTGGTGTTTCCAGTCTTGGCGGAAAGCAACAGACTGCGGATAATCCTCTCGGTTTGAATCAATAGGTTAATTTTTGTTTGGGGGTTACATGTATTATCAGTTAGCGAATATATGATCCAAGCCGTTGTGCTTGTCTTTTTATTTTATTTGGTATCAGGCCATGGCCAAGGTTGTAAGATTATATCTGGCTCGCATTGCAGACCCCGTATATGTCAATCAACGTAGCACTACCACGCCAGTTCTGGCTTTGCCATACAACTAGACGCTTCCAACTGCGAACAGAAGTTCAGATCCTCTGCCGAGTTTTGGGACAACTGAGCCTTGGGGGTGGCCGGCCATATCTCCGATCCTCCTTGCTTTTCCTCATTTTTCCGGTGTTCCATGACCATCTCTCGGATGCTACTTTGGAAGTGTATGGGCCCCTAATCGCTTGGTTAATAACTGCAATAAGAGATGTATGCTGGATTACTACCTTCTCTTTGCTAGGGTGTAGTTCACCATTGGTGAAAACCCCAGCACTAAGATTCTCTTGCGTTCCAACACAAAGCTCCTTGTCCTCGTCAAGAACCTGCCTGTAAAATGCGTTGATATTCTCAAACTCCTCATCGGTGGCATCACGGTGGCGGTAAACCTCGTTCTCGATCTTGCTCGAAGTAGCAGATACAGGAATCATGCGCTGGATATAGAAGAATTTATCACTGATTCGATGTCCGTTAACCCAATTGATCCCTACCTTTATAAGTAGATTTCATATACTCACGTCACCGTAACAGAAGTCGTAGGATAGAAGTACGTGATCGCCCGACGAAACTGGCTATCAGCATCCGCCTTATTGAAGATATGATGCTCCATATACCGGGCCTTGGGCTCAACCCGATATCTTGGCAAATCCGAAACGCCACTGATAAGCGGATGAGAAGTAGCGCAATGGTAGCACTCATTATAATTCTCAATGACACCCTTCCAGTTCGCATCCAATTCAATCTCCCAGTAATGGTCGAACTTGAACTCGGCAGTAAAATCAAAATCCTGCATTCGAGGCTCCTCATCAACCTTCTCGTAATCGTCTTCCCATCTCACATCCGTCTCACCAGCTTGTAGATTGACCCACACGAAGCCAGCTTTGTCGATGTGCACATGGATCGGGAATAGCGAGTGCTGCGTTTTATCGAAATCAGGCACTGTCTCGAATCGGGGAGCTTTGGCGAGATTGCCCTTCAGGCCGTAGGACCATCCGTGGTACTTGCAACTTAGGATGGACGTTGTGCCGGAAGGGGATTGGACAACGGGGTATGCTCGGTGACGGCAGACATTATGGAAGCTGTTGATTGTGCCGTCTCGGTCTTGGATGAGGAAAAAGGAGAAATTGGCAATTGTGAAGGATAGATAGTCTCCGGGTTTCTTGAAACGGCTCGAGTGGGTGAGCAGCATCCATCGCTTGGAGAATATTGCCCGTCTCTCTAGTTGGTACATTGCCTCTGAGCGATACCATGATGCTGGTAGACCCCGTGGAGGGTCATCTTTTGCTGTGCTTGCTGAGCTGAAAATACGCCACATTTTGAATATGTTACTCGGGATGGAGTTGGAGGTACGACGTACTATGACTACCACGTCTATATAGAGTACTCTTTTGTATAGGGAATTGAAGATGGGGGAGTGGGGAGTTGCATGTGTCTAACGATAAGCTACTTCTCTTTTGTTTGAAAACAAGTGGGACTTTACCCTACGTTGACTCCAAAATATCAAAAATGGGGGTCATACTAGATGAGTGGGCCCCGCATTCCACGCAGATGCGATAATACCAAGCACAACGTATCTGTTCATGTTGCTCCCCAAGGAACAACTAAAATCATCCAGTGGAGAATAGCGAAAATGAGCTATCATTTCATAGTTTAGATCTCCATTTAAGGGCAGTCTAGTAGTTTTACATATTGGATTCAAAAAAAAAAAGATTCTAATGGAGCAAATGAATACGAAAAATGCGCGTATGAAAAGACATGAAAAGGCTGCGTTGACATTTCTTGGGTCTCATAGTTTCCAAACACATGCCAAATGAAGTACCATAATCAAATATTACACCATGAAAGAGAAATAATCCTGCAACCACTGCCCTATGCTACCAACTTGTTCGGCATCCCAAGTTTCAATAGCTCCAACATATCCGTCGGGCCTCACAACGGCCATCCCAATCCTCTCGCCGCTCAAATCCCCAAACCACTTGTTAGTAAAACTCGGCCCTCCAATATTGTCCACATACAAAGTCCACCGACTACTTTGCAGTATCTCCGGGAGGTCAGCAATCTCAAATTCAGACTGAGTAGACTGCGTGACCATTGCAAAAGTAAAAGCTTTGGAGACAGCAATGTAGCGCTGGGCCTGAACGAATCCATCTGTTGGAGCATGCCCCCTCGGATGCTTCCCATATGACTGATCTGCTTGGACGCTAACACCAGAAAAGATAGATTGCATCTCTTCGCAAATATATTTCAATGATGCCCCCGAACGGCAAACATCGGGCACAACAATATAGATCTTGAATTGACCCAACAAAGGGACATCCAGCTGAATATCGACCGGGTTAGCGTCGATGTAGCGAGTGACTTTAGCTGGGAGTTGGAGCATTCCAGGCTGGAGATGAGATGTAGTGGTTGGTGCTTGTGTCAACATTCCTGGAGCATATTCAGCTCCAACCCCAGATATGAATCGAATGTTGTCGTCGAAGTTCTTGGCCAATTCTGAATCACCTGCTGCGAATGCTTTGCAGTGCTCTAGATCAAAGTTGATGAGGTCGTATGCTATCTTTTGTCTTTCTGCTTCGTAGGTATGGAGTAAGGATGGTTTGGCAAGTCCTCGGACGAGGAGGTTGAGCTTCCACGCGAGGTTGAAGCTATCATGCATACTTGTATTCGCACCTTGGGCTGCAAGGGCTGAGTGGCAGTGGCCCGCCTGTGTCTCGGTTAGCTCATGGATAAAGTGAATTCCAAATTGAGTTTGACCTACATCACCTGCAATGAATATCCTTGCCTCTGCATCCATGAAGCGTTTCGCAACCCGTTGGCCCACAACGTATGTTCCGAACCACTCCACTGTCTTCCACTCTAGGTTGAATGGATACATGGCCTCCCTGGCACGGCTCATAACGTATTCAGTCGTGGCTTTTGATTTTTCGACTCGCTCCCCGTCGGTGGAACTCAACTCGACATATAGTCGCGTCATACCTTTCTCGCGTGGAATCCACAAGATGGATCCAGCAGAATGGGACCGCAATGCCACTTTGCTCCATAAATCAGGGAAATCCGTATCAATCACGCCTGTTTGATCAGCCAATGTTTTTCCCAATAGATCGGAGACACATACCATCGAGCACTCCCCAAGCTGCATTTGTTAATTCTCCCTCAAGTTCAGCATCCGGAATGAAGGATCTGACTTTAGATCGAGCTCCATCGCATCCAACCAGGTAGTCGGCTCTGATCTTGTGAGGGGTATTGGTACGAACATCCTCATAGGTAATATCCAATTTGGCCATTCCATCCAATCGCGAACAAGACACGAACTTGCTATTGCGCGTGACGGACACACCCCGTGCCTCCATGTCGTCGATCATCACCTCTTCAACCATTCCCTGGTGTGCTAGCAAGATATATGGATCGGAGGCACCGACGTGCTCAGGGTAGTGGGTTTTACGACCTGTGCGTCTCAGTGACTCGTTGGCGGTCGACTCCTGACAATTTATTAGCCAGATCTGGAATCAGCAATTCACTTCAAAAACATACCCAGAACGAAATATCATAAACCTTTGCCCCATTTTTCAGTAATGGGTCCGCCAAGCCAAGTTGTCTGAATGTCTCGATGGTCTTGGGCTGCATCCCGTCGGCCTTGCCTGTGGATGTCTTGTCGGGACGATCATCCAGAATAACCACGGCGATTCCAAAGCGAACAAGATTACACCTTCAAAGTTGTTAGTATATCCACAATTGAAGAAGATGTAGTAACATACGCTAGCATCAACCCCGATGGTCCCGCGCCCACCACCACAACGGTAGTGGAAGCATCGACAGGGCCAATTCTATAACCTTCGTGGTCTGCACTTGGTGACATTATGACATTCAACTCGTTGATTGACAAATCCATCAATTCTGTCTATCTTCTCTATTTATTGCAATCGACCCTGCGGGGGAAACCCCCACTCTTCACAGGTGTCTATCACCATCGTGTCACCCCACCGTCCACGACAATGTCCGACCCTGTCATGTACGAACTGGCGTCACTTGCGAGGAATACACACGCCCCCATGATATCCTCTGGTTCGGCAATTCGGCCGTTCATGGCTTCTGATTTCCAGCCGTCGAGGAGATGGGGAAACTGGCCATTGTTAGCGCATAACTCAAGTGCTCTTCTTTGAGAACTTACTGCGGCCGTCATTTCTGTTTTCACGTATCCCGGAGAGATAGAATTAACTCGAATACCCTATTATACAAAATCAATGACCTTTCACAAAGATTATTAGCAATCAACCCACATATTCGGCCAGCTCTTTAGCGATCGCAGGACACATCGATTTGACTGCGCCCTTCGTGCCACAATAAGCCGAACATAGCTGGCTTCGCACGGCGATATGGCTTGCCATACTGGCAACTAAAACAATACTGCCGTGCTTTGTCTTGTTCGCAATCATCTGCTTGGCTGCGAATTGAGCAGTAAAATAAAGTCCGAGTACGTTGATAGATAGTAGATCCTGATGATCCTTGTAGGTAAATTCGAGAAATGGGAGATGGCGATTAATCCCAGCGCATGGAACGCAGATATCGAGTGCATTGTCAAAATCTCTCTGGAAGTTGGCGAAGCCTTCTTGTAAAGCTTCCTGGGATGAGATATCGACTCTGCTGTTGTTAGCCGTAGAATAACCCCCAAAAAGTCAATTCACCCACTTGTAATACGCAGTTCGCACACCGCAGTCCTTCTCAATTGCATGGAATCCTTCCTCTGGTGAAACAACATCAAATACAGCTACATCAGCACCAGCTTCGGCGAGGCCCCGCGCAAATGCTAGGCCGCAACCCCGAGCACCTCCCGTCACCAGTGCCGTGCGCCCTTTCAATGAAAACTTATTCGGTTAGCTCCGATCTTCCTCAAAAAGGTGGGAACACTCACTCTTGACATATTGTAATATAGATGAATACTGTATTTCTGCGTAGTGCACCCTCTCCCGTCCGACATTGCCGCCTTTTAAGCTATCGGATAGCGGCACCACCGCACTAAGCTAACCCCCATCTTTGTCCATAGTTGGAGTCGATCCGAGTAAAGATGGAGTAGCTATATCTGAAGTACCTATCTTTCATAAGTAGCCTGCCTCACAAAAGATCGGACGGTATTCAACAATTGAAACGTCCCTCATCTAGGTTGTTGCACACCCATCACAATGGCCCCTCAAATCTCCATCAAAGAGCAAGTCACCCGCTCCGCGTCATGCAGACTGAAAATCGTTATCGTCGGAGCAGGTCTCGCAGGACTTGGGTCTGCTATCAGTTGCGCTCTCTCCGGACACGAAGTCCAGGTCCTTGAGGCAACACATGAAATCAGGGAAGTCGGCGCAGGAATTCAGGTCCTACCCAACAGCTCGCGTGTACTGCAACATTGGGGCCTTGAAAAGGCTCTCACACCGCACATGACCTGTCCTCGGTTTTGTAACTTCCTTGGATGGAAGGGCAATGCCATCTCATCGTTAGACTTCCACGAATCGGAGAGGAATTACCCGGGTACTTGGTACCGGGATTTCCATCGTGCGGACCTGCAACAATGTTTGGTTGAGAGGGCACTCGAACTAGGGGTTACTCTTACCTGCAGTGCTCGTGTGGTGGATGTCACTGTGAGCGAGGATGGGACTACAGCTACTGCTGCGGCAGCGGATGGGAGACAATGGATTGGAGATCTTGTCATTGGTGCGGATGGGGTGTTTGGGAAATTGACGGAGGGACTACTGGGTAGAGTCGATCCGCCGGTGAAAACCGGTGATCTCGCGTACCGTTTGCTGTTGTCGACGGAAGAGATGCGAAAGGATCCTGATCTTGTGGACTTTGTAATAAATCCCCAGGTCAACTACTGGTTGGGTCCGGATGCTCATGCAGGTAAGTCTCTATTTGCATGACATGGACTCTATTGCTAATTGTGCAGTGAACTATGTTCTTCGTGACGGAGAATTATTTAATATGGTACTACTTGTCCCCGACGATATTCCAGAGGAATCTTTGGCATCGACAATAGAAGGGAATGTGGAGGAGATGTGTGCTTTATTCAAGGACTGGGATCCTCGGTAAATTATATAATTCCTATCAGCTGCAGTCAGCTGCTAATCCTAGCAGCATCCCCAAACTCCTGAAGCTTTGTGAGTCCGTCCAGAAATGGCGTCTATGCATCCGATTCGGAGACTTTGACTGGACTCATCCCTCCGGGGCGTTCGTGATGTTGGGCGACGCAGTCCACGCTACATTACCATACCTGGCATCTGGGTATGATTCTCATCTTTGCTTAATTCCACATTTTCTAATGATTGCAGTGCTGGAATGTCGTTTGAAGATGGAGCAGTTCTAGGTGAATGCCTCTCTCGACTACCGAATAGCCCCGGCATCTCCAAGACCTCGGCCGAGTTCCTGACTGCTAAGCAACATGCCCTTGCCATCTTCCAGGAGTGTCGCAAGCAGCGAACGAAGATGATTGTCGAGCGGGGAAATATCCAGCAGTACCTCTACCATCTCCACGACGGCGCCGAACAGGAAGAAAGAGATCGAAAGATGCAGATGGTCCCTACACCCGAGGGAGAAGCATTGGCTTGGCGAGACCCCGGTTTGGCACCGAAATTGTTAGGATATGACCACATCGCAGACGTATGTACTTAGTTCTCCGGCTCTGGTATCTACTAACTGCCCTCAGGTCGATCGTCGGTGGGACAAATCATTAGGAGCCAACGTTGTCGAGTCGAGACTGTAGTGATATCGCCAATTTCAGAATCTCACGTACGGCAAGATATGGTGGCATCCTGGACGACAGGTGTTTCATTGGTTCCTAGCTCTTCTAGGTTTCTTGTTTGTTGTTCTACGTTACGATTAGATTTATTTGGTCTGGAATGATATCAAACAATTTACAATAAGCACATTTTGAGACATATTTTGATGGGATCTTTCGAAGATGCCTCCATGAAGCTGGACGACCAGACCAGGCATGATATGGCTTTAATCAAGACCTCTACTAACAAAGTGTAAATGGCGGATGACTTGCACACTACTGACTACCTGGAGGGCTCGGCCTGGGTATTTTTACCCTGTCTGCAAAGACAATACCCACCTCATTCGAATGAAAGCCGAGCAATTACTGAAGTACGGAGATTCACATTGGTTACCAGGTCCAGTCAGAGCTATCAAGATACCAATCAAGCCTGTCAGGTGGCTTTGCCAATCCCCACAAGGCGTAGGTGTCGTCTGAGAACGGCCCAGTGTCCATCGGATAGGCTCCTCGGAAGCCGGAAAAGTGCCTAAATGTAATTAGCTCTTATGCATAGATTGGTCAGGTGAATGGAATGCTAGAACTACCTCCATAGCCTTGGTGATATCATCGTAGATGGGCTTGTTCCGGGGGGGGGGGGGGGGGGGGGGGGGTTAAGTCCAGGTTGCTACGAACACCTACTGAGTTCTCTTCATTGTATTAGTATACGTAGCTCTTTAAGGGATGGACCTACAGGGGGGATCATCTTACTCGTAGGCAGTACGAAACGTGGAGCGCAGTTGTCGGCGGTATTCAAAGTCGCGTTTCTAGAAAGAATAGTAGTCTACGGGCTCACCAGATACCCGTGCCTACGTAACATAGTTGATTTAGCCACCAGGCACTAATTCTTCAGTGCCTTGCAACCTTTAAGAGAACTTAATGACGGCAAGCGGAGCCCCCAACCCTTGATCATATTCCCGCTGAGTGATCGTTTGGGAGTCTTCGGATATCCTTTCGTCAAGGACGAATGTGCAAGGGGGCGAGAGTTAAGGCTGGTCGAGTGTAATTTCAGTACCCCACAGGTGCCAAAGTCAAAAAGCCGGGACATCACGATGAGGAAAGGAGATGGATGGTTGAGCAGCTTCAGGATTCTGAAATGAAAGCGCTTTGAAGTTGATAGACAGGTGAATCGTGAAATTCCGGTGCTGAGCAGAGAGAAAAGGAGGGTGAGGTGACAAAGCGACTTCATGGATCCTAATGTCCTAGGTGTTAACGGTGGGACACCGACACATTTCCAATTTCTCCAGCTCCAACCTATCCACGCAAACGTTTTGGATGCAACTTTCACCAAACTTTTACCGACCGGACTGGAGTGGAATGAATCAACATGCCACAGCAATTCGGCGCTGATCCACTCATTCGGAGTCCATGCGGTTAGTGAGGTATCAATTTGTCCACGAGTACCTAGGCATCCCACGTAGATACTATCCACACTGCGCAATCCTGAAATCCGGAAAACGCAATTAACAAGTCTCCTCAAGCCAAGAGCACTCACAATCCACAAAAGATATTCATCAAAAAATAGAAGTGGAGCCATATGTTCGAGGGTGGGGGAGCTCATCTTATAGTGGGGGTTGTCTGGGGGTTGTTGATTGCTGATCATCACACGTTCACCACTCATCCCACTATTCAAGCCGATCAATGATCCCACCTTCAAGCAAAAAGTCAAGAATGGACATGTCAACAATGGCATACTATTGCCCCTCCAAGCTATATATACCAGTCCAGCCAAGGCCAAAATGGGCTAATCACATACTCAGTATATCCTTGCAAAATGGGCTCAATCGCAATTACCGATCCTTTGTTCGAGTCCGTTCGTCTGGGCGCTCTGACCCTCAAGCACCGCGTGGTTTTGGCACCACTAACGCGGATGAGAGCGGGCAAGGAGTCTGAGGGTGTCTATGTCCCGAACGAGCTCAACGTCGAGTACTATTCGCAGCGAGCTTCGGAGGGAGGGTTTATGTTGACCGAAGCAACTCCAATCAGCAGACATGTATGTGAGTCTTTTTCTGTTTGAAGATTGTGAAACTAATTGCTCCCAGGCCGCTGGATACCCAGGAGTACCTGGAATTTTTACTGCCTCGCAAATCGCTGGCTGGAAGAAGGTTACCGATGCCGTGCACGCCAAGGGTGGTTATATATACTGTCAGTTGTGGCACGTTGGTCGTGCCACTGTTTCCTCCTTTATTGAAGGAAAGGAGGTTCTTGGAGCCAGTGAGATCCCAATTAGTGGAAACGCACTCGATGGATCTGAGTACGCAGCTTCGCCACCACGCGCTATGACTATCGAGGAGATCCAAGATACAGTGCAGGAATATGCTGCTGCAGCAAAGCGAGCCCGCGAGGCGGGATTTGATGGCGTCGAGGTTCACGGTAAGAGCACTTCCAGTCTTTTTTGCGGGCTATATCTAACAAACCAGGTGCAAACGGATACCTCCTTGACCAGTTCCTCCACGACAACGTTAACACCCGCACCGATGAATACGGTGGCAGCATCGAAAAGCGGTCTCGCATCATCCTCGAAGTCCTCAAAGCCGTCAGCGCCGAAATCGGAGCCGACCGCGTTGGTATCCGTCTGTCGCCCTACAATTATTTCCAGGATACACGCGATTCCAACCCCAACGCCAACTGGCGAGCTCTGTGTTCGCAAATAGCTGGGTTACCGGAGGAATCTCGGCCTTCATACGTGCACATGGTCGAGCCTCGGTTCGACGAGGTGATGGATGAAGCGTCCAAGATTGACTCACTGGCTTCGGATCAGCCGTCACTAGATGTGTTCCGACCCACACTGAAGAAGGGAGGTATCTCACTCCTGGCGGCTGGAAACTTCAACGCTGAGAATGCGGGTGCTAAGCTTGCAATTGATGGAGCGGATGCTGTTGTGTTCGGTCGTTATTTCATCTCGAATCCTGATTTGCCGCGTCGGTTGAAGGAAGGCTTGCCTTTAACTCCTTATGATCGCACGACATTCTATGGCGCTGATCCTGCCGAGAGGGGTTATACCGATTATCCTTTCTATACTAAATAAATACAGATAGAGAAGGCTTGTTCAGATCAACATGTCGGATTGGGAAAACTACATATTGACTATCAAATACAAAGACTATCATGACAATCTCATCAGAACTTTCATAGCATCATGAACAACTGCCCATCGGACAGTCGCTAGTTGTTTAGCCATAGCTGCTGCCAGAGGGCGAGGACAATATTTGCCAGATAGAACCGCTAGCTCCGGTAAGCTGGGACAATTAGTTAGCATCACAATCAACGAAGACAGATCGGTATTGATCCGGCTCTCGTCAGAGGTGAGATTGGGTCCGCGGTGGAAAACCCAGCAGGCGAGGGTGCAAAGATACAAACACCAAGGGAAGTGGAAGGAATCAGCCTGGTCCCAGTCATGAAGACTCAACACCGCGTCTTGAAGTAAAGACGCCGCTTGTCGTGCAGTCGTGCACGATGGTCCGGATTCCTCCTGTAGCCATCTGGTAATATTCCGCAGCGACCGCGCCTGATCTGCCTCAGTCACTGTACGCCCCAGGATTTGACATGCGCCAGCAACAATTTGCAAATCGAGGACTTCGACATTCAAAGCAAGGTACGCTGCGTGGTAAAGAGCATATCCGGAGATCTTGAGCCCGGTAAATTGCCGAGGACTGGCAGTCTGAGCGAGTTTAATAGCAAGGCAGTCGGCATCAAAGTCGACCTTCCATAGGTCATAGGACCGACCCATGCGTGGTGTCCAAGCTCCCACACGCTCGGGGGTCTCCGACCGTAGAGTTGTTTGATCGCGACGTTTCAGATCCGCAGAGACAGACATTAAGCCATGCAGCACGACGATTCGGGCAAAGACATTCAGATCCCGAGGTCTGGCAACAGCAGCCGGTGTAATGTACCCTTTCAGAACAGTGAGGAATGGCCGGTTCTCTTCACGGAAAGCGTGCTGTGACCACTCCCGGGCAGAAGAGGCACCCCATGCTGCAGATCCACACGGTAATGAAGATCTGATCTCAAAGGCAGACATACAAAGCGACTGTGAAAATAGCACTGCGTGCTGCGTATCCCACATAAAGCAATGTATGGCCACCCTCTTGCGCTGTTCTTCCTCCATAGCCTGGCGCCATAGTTGGTCCAAATCGCCTGATTGATCGATATTAGACAAGTCACGTATGCCACAGCAGTTGCTCCGTCTGATCATTTTGATCAAAACGCAGTGAAACAGCTGTGCACGCTCACGTTGCTTTGGGCCGGCTCGCATCTTGCCAAAACAGTCTATCAGAAGCATGGTCTGCAAGACCCACAGATCCGCTTGCGGTGAGAAATCAGGGTGACAGAGTAGCTGGCTTCGCAGGACGTCGTGGACCTCCACTGCCAACTGGTGGGCCTCGCGTGTGCTGTATGTCGCGCCCATGAAGATAATTGAGGCGAGGAATACAGGGGGCGCAGTGCTAGGGTCAAATGTATACTGGTGAATAAGAGGGTATGTTGTGTTGAAGCGATCGAAGAACATATCGCAGTATGACTGGAGCGCAGGTAGCGTCAGCAGTGGCGATTCAAGTACCATAGGGTGTCCATCAATTCCTGTCGGGTGTGCATGTGCCACCAGTGCTAGGATCCCCTTTCGCGCTTCTTCAGATATCCTGGGTAGATTCTTTGGAAGATTCGGGTCCAGGGTTGCCGCACCAGACATCCAATCCAGATCTGGGAGACTGGGTAGGGCAGGTGAGGTAGTTTCTCCGAATGTTTCGCCTCTTTCCATAATCGATGCCATTAGCAGGGCAGATGGACCATCGTATTTCTCGCTTATTTCCACCGGATTGGAATCGAACTGTTCCGAAATGGGCGCTGTGTCAAATCCAATAGGGAGATTGAACTGATGAAAAGCATCATCGAGGGAGGAGACGTCGAATAGCCAATTGTAGTTGCAAGTCGCTGCGAATGGGAGATTGAAGTCGGTTGCTACTGAGGTTAGCATGGCATCTTATGAAAAATTAGCAGCCATCCATACCAGTGTCCATTCCAAAATAATCCCCTATCCCATCCAACTGCACACCAAAAGACCCATCCGCTGCATCGAACTGTCCAGGCATTGGCTCAACATACTGTTCAAAGGTACTAGCTGGCACTAACGAAGCCAAGAACGGATCTGTATCATCCATCGACATTGACATTGGGTCAGTCCCCGAGCCAGGTGGTGACAATGGGACATTATTAGGAAAACATTCTTCATCTCGCATTTCTGGCTCTTGGCTGGAACTATTCGCCGAGATGGGTGATCTAGTTGCAGCTGCGGCCCTTATTTGTCGCTGCGAAGGCCGCACGATAATAGAACCATCCTCTGCCCTGCGAGTCCTCTTTCGCGTCTTCAACGTTCCCTGCCCGGGCCCTCCAGCTTCAAGATCCCGTTTCTGGTGTCGCTCCACATGTCGCGCTAGACCTATTAGCAACTGATTAACCACCAGAATGAGCTTCTCGTACCTAGCAGATCTGAGCGTTGGAAATGAACAGAGCAACGCTCGCAGGTATACCCATTGCGCGCCTGCTCGTGGTTGAGCGCATGGCGACGCAGGTGCTCTGCGCGCGTGAAGCTCTTGGTACAGCCTGGGTGTTGACACGGGTGTTTTTCCTGGTTTTTCATGGCTTTTCATGGCTGAGTTGCCTGCGAAATGAGGTCTAGCTGCCTACTTCAATATCTTTGGCAATAATTTCCTCGGAGTAAAGCCCGGTGTTCTACTGATAAGAATGCGGGGACAGGATCACACTAATGGCTGATTGGCATACTGTTGATATACGCAAAGCTCTTATCGTGATTTAGCGTCAAATCAAGTGTTAGCTTACACCGGAATTGAACAAAGGACGGGAAATTGCGGAGAGGTTGGAGTTCTCCAAATACCCCAACCTAGTAAGATATTCGTAGTCACAAATGTAGTAGATGACATACATGACCTAGGTCACTGTACGTAATCACTAGTTGTCCTGTCGAGTTCCACTACAACGCTATATTCGTGACTAGAAAGATAGGTGCCCGGGTCAGATTCTCGTCTGTTGGGTTGTACAGAATGTGTTTTGGAGATGGCGACTCGTTCACCCAATACGTTATGCATTTCTCAGGCCTTCGGGCCGTACATCAGGGTAGTTTACCCGATATTCAGGCAGGTATGCGACCTTCGTAATTAAAATTGTTCAAACTCATGACCACAGGTGAGACTATGTCATTTGGAAAGAAATACTCCTCTACTCCTTTCTCAGCACATGTAAAGGTATTTGTCAAACTTCATATCTAGCTGTGACTAAGAATAAAAGCTGTCTGCAACATAAAACAAAGCGAAATTCATCCTCGTCCATTTTCACCTAACGAGCCCATCTGCTAACCATTCTATCGCGCCACCACGACTCATCGCCCGGACCTTTTCAACGAAGAGCACGCTCATATCCAGAACTTCCTTCGGAGATCCCGAGTTGCTGCTTGAGAAGGGCTGAACTACCCTTCACGCGACACAAAGTAGAAGTCTGCTCGTGTTGCTTGACAAGGCGCTCCCATACCTGGAAACCCTGGCCTGGGCCAACTTGCGTAGCCATTCCCATCTTCTCAATCCGACGACAACGAGACAGCTTTGAGCACGACTCAATGCGACACAGCTTCTCTTCCGATCTGTGATGAACCCCAGACCCCATTGCCCACCTGGCTGAGTAGTTGAAAGTATCACCACAGGGCTTTTGGAGCCCTGTGAGGAGTCCACGCTTTTAACACGGACCTCTGAGTGGCCGAGCTTTCGAAGTAGCTCAGATAGGACCCGGCGCTCCAAGCATTGGCATAGTGATCATAATCAAACCTACCTTCTGATCGGTGAATCGAGTACTTCAACTCTTGGTCCCTTTGACCCTTTAATACCGAGCGTGGTAGTAATCCACGCAAGCATCTCAAGTCCCTGCTGCATCAAGACTTCCTTCGCCGAACTCTCTGACAGATGCATAGCCTTGATTTCAACTAAGACATGCATTTCCCCATCTGGATCTACCAGACCACCGTCGACAATTGCTGTATACTCAGCCTCGCCAACATGGAGTTTGAAATGATGCTGGATACTGGTCCACTTTAACCCGGTTGGCAGGCATAAGCAGATTGTGTAAAGCAAATTGATGAAACTCCTTTTGATCTTCGCTTCATGAATTCGCATCTTGGCATCGGAAGTGTCCAGCCTCCTATCAACCAAGAGTGCGTCAGCCGAGCGTTGACTCAGTTACGCCGTCAACTAAATCCTTAGGACAAGGGGGGTTGCCATAAGACGGAAAGGGGACACTAAGAAGTGGCAGAGCAAATCAAGTACATAGGTAGGACAAAATTGCTCGCCAAATAAAAAAGTATGATAAAAATGATTGGAATGGATTTCTCTCAGCTAGTGCTACTGTGCCATATTATAAGAGAATGTAAAGATATCAAGGGAAGTACCTCCACTCTGGACTCTTCTCGCCCTCCTTAAACTGACTGGTATTAGTCTCATCATCTCTCAATCTTAGTCCCTGTTTGCTATCGCGGCGGTGATTCTCCATGCGCATCCAGCCTCCCAACCCAAGAACAAGAACGATGCAGACTGCATTGCAACAGCAAGTTGCAATGAGAGTTGGCAGATACCTATTTGGTTAGCAATGCGTCTTCGTGGATCAACGGAATTACCTACTTGGGTGCATATTGAGTTCGGAATGTACCCGCGCTCAATACTCCAGCAAAATTGCCCAGTCCTACAAAGAACCCCGTATTGGCAGCTCGCGAGTTCTCGTGGACGTTGTTATTGTTGTGCCAGGCATGAACGAGACAGGACGGAATATATGATCCTGCTGCCATCAGGAAACAGGCAAAGTATGCCACCCCTTTGTTGTTCTGGACGTCAATCGCGATCAATATAATCATTCCGACTAAGGAAACTGTCAACGAAAAGACAATATGTAGCGTTCTTTCGCGGAAATAATCGGATGACTTGGCCACGCATAGCAAGAATACTGCTCCAACGAGATTTGGCGCCACCGTCCAGAGATTAGTCTTGATGACGGAGTATCCGAGTCGTTGAACAATCTGTTATTGTTAGCCAACGTCCGAGAATATGCACCTCGATACTCACCAATGGGAAGAAATTCATTGCAGTGGCATAGGCAACGGGGTATGTGAATGTAATAAGACACCATATTGGGAATTTCCAGTCATTCCATGACTCAAAGCAAGCCTTGAGATCGAATGGCGTGTCCACCTCCGATGAGGTATCCCGAAGCAGCCGTGCTGTTGCTGCCGCCCTCTCTCTGTCCGTCAAAAACCAGGCATTCTGTGCCCCATCTGGCAGCACGAGAAATGCCACTGCTCCGGTGATTAGTGTCATCGATCCTTCTATAATAAAAAGCCACTGCCATCCTTTGACTACCGGATGGTTTATCTGGAATGCTCCAAATGAGATAAGCCCACTGAATGCAGACGCGAGAACTGCAAAAGACTGGACGATAGCCAGGCGGAATCCCATTTCTCCACGCGTATAAAACAACGTGAGGTAAAAGGTGGCTCCGGCAAAGAAACCAGCTTCGAAAACTCCCAAGATGATGCGAATCGCAAGTAGAGAGCCGAAATCCTTAGCGGCGCATTGACAGAGTGCAAGAACTCCCCACGCAATAGACACTTTCATATAATGTCAGTTAAGTCCTGAAAATGATTGAGAAAGTTGAAGGCTCTCACTAATAGAAAGCATGATTCTGCCGGAAAATCTCTTGATCAAAAGATTCCATGGCAGATCGAACAGCCCAAAGGGGATATAGAAGAGTAGAATCAATAGCGAATAGTCATTTCCCTTGAGGTTCAGGTCCTTGTCAAGACCGTCTGTCTTTGCATTTGCCAAATTGCTCTGGGGTAATTGTTAGCATGTGTCGAGATGACGTCGCAGTCTCAGTGCTTACCCGATCCATGCAGTCAAAGAAGTACATCTGTGCATTGACACAAGCCTCAAAATTAGCAATTATCTCAAATACCAGTCTATAATGATCGAGGACCTACCAAGCAAAGCGTTGGAAGGACAATAAAGTCAATTTTCATGACATAGGACCTTTCGGCCTCTGGATCTGTATACATAGTGCTTTCGCCGACGTTTACTTCAGCGTCGGCGACCTTGGCCACTTCAGTCGATTTCTCTTCAGACATCATAATATATTGTTTAAATAACTAATTTAAAATCTCTAGCGCGAAGGTTGGTCGTCAGGGTTCTTATAGTGATCAACATCTTTGTATAGCATTCCAGCCCCTTCGCTTCGACCTTCACACACGTACTACAAGCTATGCTCAAAATGATACTGATTAACTGCCATATCTATCGACTGTGCAGATAGGGTATGCTTTGTACTTTTGTTCACCCCATGTTTTCCCCGCACCCTCTTATCGCAGGTAAATATACCGTTAGCCCCCATTCTTGGAGTATTCCTGTTCCCACCCCCATCTTTCACAACACATGACAGCTCCAGCTACAGCTGGAGGAGCTTGGGGTCGAGATGTCGGACTTCTCTGCGAGCTTCAGCAGTCTTGGGGTAGCTTTTGCTGGCTACTAAGTAAATATATTGAAGGCAAAGCGATCTTGACAAGCAAACGCAAGCACAACTCATCAGTTTATTCAACACAATGTCTCTACCTACAGCCCCACCCATCTTGGACTTTTCTCCATTCTACGGAAATGACAGCGACGCGAAATCGAAGTTGATCGAAGAGGTGCGCAAATGTTGTCATTACAATGGCTTTTTCCAGATCATCGGCCACCGGGTCCCACTGGACTTGCAGCGCCGCGTCATGAATTGCTCCAAACGCTTCTTCGATCTGCCTCTGGAAGAGAAATTGAAAGTTGACAAAAGTAAGATCTTTGTCCAGTCGCCACAGATTCTGCTAACTGTATAGATCTCACCACATTCAACAGAGGCTATGAGCTCCTCCGATCGCAAATGCTAGAAGTCGGCACCGGCCCCGAGCTGAAAGAGGGACTGTACATCGGCGAGGAAATCCCCGAAAGCCACCCCTACTATTTGGAAAAAAAGTTGAACAGTGGCCCCAATCAATGGCCACCTACTGTTCCTAACAAAGAGGAATTCCAAGAAACAACCATGGAATACTACCACGCGGTGTTTGATCTGGCAAAGGATGTTCTAGGAGTTCTAGCTCAAACGCTGGGAGTTGACTCAACATTCTTCAACCCTCTTACAGACGGAGCTGTCGCGACAATGCGGTACCTGCACTACCCAGCTCAGCCACAGGATACCGACGATAAATTGAACCGCGGCATTGGAGCGCATACCGATTTTGGATGTATCACTCTCCTTCTCCAGGATGAAGTCGATGGTCTGCAAGTGCTAGATGCGCCATCAGGACAATGGCTGGATGTGAGTTGCCACAGAGCGTATTCCTTGGCCTTAACTCTAACGGAGATCCATAGGTCAAACCCGTTCCCGGGGCGTACGTGGTAAATCTGGGCAATCTTTTCATGCGAATGGCGAACGACAAATATAAATCCAACACCCATCGTGTGATCAACAAATCCGGGCGAGAGAGATACTCCATTCCGTTCTTTTTCAGTGGAAACCCGGATTATATCTGCGAGTGCTTGCCTAACTGTCGTGAAGAGGGTGAGCCTGCCAAATACGGTCCTATTACTGTGCAGGATATGGTGACGGCATCTTACAAGGAGAGTTATGGTCGCGCTGAGGAATTCAAGAAGGTGTTGGATTTAAAGAAAACAGATGCTATTCCGGTTGTTACTGCGGTCGGTGCTTAGTGTTCCTCATAATGAATTCATTGGAGTCTTGCTCCGTATTTTATGCTCCTATATTGAACGAAGCCCACCCGCAGAGGAAACACAGAACAAGTTCAATGCAACATTAGTATAGTCTACAGCATATAACACGAAAGAGCCCCAATAATCATGCTTGAAGTCTCGGTTCAATTGATCGACAAGCCCAGCCGCGCCAAGTGCACCAAAGTCACCAAGTGAGTTTTGGCCTGGTCTAAGCTGCGCTGATTTCATCAATTCAACGCATTGCCGGCCCAAGAGTGGGATGGCAAGGCTTTCTCCACTCTTGATAGAAGGAGAAATCCGTATCAATCTGAAGTGTATAGACTATCAGACAAGATGATCGATAGCAGGCACCTCGTAGCCCTAAAAAGGACCGACATTTAATCTCGAACTGCCTACAATGAGAGCAAGGAGTTCCTCACTGAATACCCAACTACAAGATGGACGACATTCAAGTCGACAAGAAGCAGACCCAGGCAGTGGATACCAGCACTCCGGACTACGATGTTGCTAAATCAACGACTATTGATGATTACGAGGTTGATGATTTCTATGGATCCTCCACCACCAAGGCATACCGCTTGAAGTCCGAATTAGTTGGAAAATGTATGGAGGAAATTGGGATGGGCTGGTATTTACACCTCTCAACTCTTGAACATAACTCTAAGAAATTGAATCATTAACAATACTAGGTTTCAATGGAAACTCTTTGTGGTCACCGGTTTCGGATGGATGGTCGATAATGTATGCAATATCACTGCATTATTTCTCCTGGATGCTCCCTTCCTAACACATATTTCAATAGTTTGCATCCCAAGGCATCGGAAGTGTCCAGCCTCCTATCAACCAAGAGTTCTCCGGTATCGTGCAAGTCAGCTACAGCTCGGTTGCATATTATGTTGGACTAATTCTGGGTGCTTCCTTCTGGGGACTTTCGAGTGATCTCATCGGCCGCAAGCCAGCATTCAACTCTACGCTACTCATAGCTGGTATCTTCCTGTGTGCCGCTGCTGGGTCGATGAACTTCCTCGCCTTCAGTGCACTTTGGGCTGTTATTGGAACTGCTGCTGGTGGAAATGTCCCCGTTGATTCCATGATATTCCTAGAATTTGTCCCAGGAAGGTGAGAATCCCTGGGTTGATCATATACCTCACTCTGGATAATTGCTAACGCGAACACAGTCACCAGTATCTCCTCACAGCTCTCTCGGCATGGTGGAATTTGAGCCAGCTGATTGTGTCTTTGATCTCTTGGGTATTTTTAGCCAACTTCAGTTGCCCAACTGATACCACCCCAGAAACATGCTCTCGAAGTCAGAACATGGGATGGTAAGAGGCACAAGATCTAAAATACTTTCCTCACTAATGATAAGTCATTAGGAGATACACACTCATCACCCTAGGCGGTTTAGCCCTCGCATTTACCTTCATTCGAATTTTTGTTTTCAAACTCCCTGAGACCCCCAGATACCTCCTCTCCAAGGGAAGAGACCAGGATGCTGTCACCGCCATCAATTATGTTGCCAAACAAAATGGCAAGCCAGAACCCCTGACACTTGAGATGCTACAAGAAATTGATGCTCGATTTGGAAATACCGTCAGCGGGGAGGGAGAGTCTAAGCAAATGTCAACAAAGGAAATCGTGAAAGAGAACATGCAAGCCTTCCGAGGCGAGCACTACCGTGCACTGTTCGCAAGTCGAAAGCTTGGAAGACAGACAATGATCATCTGGGCCATCTGGTTGACAGTCGGTAAGTGAGAGGCTATCACTTATTATTGTAATATCTCTACTCACACTCACATTCAGGAATCGCATACCCGCTATTCTTTGCCTTCTTGCCATCCTACCTGGCAACCAAATTCACAGAGACATCTTCTCTATCCCTAACATATCGGAACTACTGTATCACATCAGCCGTCGGGATAATTGGACCATTGTCCGCCGCAGTGTCAGTAAACACGCGGATGGGCAGAAGATGGATGATGGCAATTTCAGCCGCTGTCACAGGCGTATTCCTCTTCGCATATGTTGGGGTTAACAGTCCATCAGCCGACTTGGCATTTTCTTGCATTACCAGCCTTCTAGGCAATTTCGGTGAGACTTCCATTAAGACTGATGGTTAATTGTATGACTAATTAGTATTGCAGAATACGCTATCATGTACGCATTCACTCCGGAATCCTTCCCGGCCCCTCATCGCGGTACAGGTTCTGGAACAGCGGCTGCCCTTCTTCGATTTGGAGGACTCATTGCTAGCCTTATCTCGTCTCAGACTGGTTTCACGACTGCACCAATCTATGCAAGCGCGGCATTGTGGATTGTTGTTGGCTTGCTGTGTCTGGGATTGCCATTCGAGACACATGGACATGACGCGCTGTAATGAACATGCCGGAGACGCTTTTGGGCTTTCATATATCATCACAGATCGGAATGTGGATAGATAGTTATATTGCAATATTATTTACTCAGTTGGCGTTAGATCAATACATTGCCGCATTATATCTAAAGCCACACCTTAATATAAAATCTTCAACTGCCATAGTGTTCCCCACACGGTGAATCACCCAATTAGAATATTCGACTAGTAGGCACATACTAGAAATAAAGTGACATAGTATTTCGGGAAGATGCGTCTCCACACAGTGAACAAACTGGTCAAAAGTGGGGGTTTTCACAATGCATTTGCAAGATAAGAGCTCCGATCTTTACTTACCTGGGTATAATTGACGCCATAGCACACTACTATTGCTATTGACTCAAAATCAAAGCGATATTGGAATATATCAAAGCATCGATGTAAAGGGGCTTCTGGAGAGTGGGGGCATGCGATGTCAAGGCAGGGAGTGAATGATTAGGTTATTATCTAGTAATGCAGAAGGTACAGAAAACGTCGATTGGGTTAGTTCAAACCGATCCATTGAGTCACTATGTTTACTCTTTCTGAAGGTTGGTCATTATTATCAGAGGGACATTGGGAGTAGGGGTCAATAGACTAACATTCCCAGTCTCCGAACACAACACTCACGATAGTTGTTGGGTTATACTTTATGGAAAGGTGTATGATGTACGTGCTTCTTGGTCATTCATCGGTAAATTCAACTGGCTAACTTCCACAAGGTTACAGGCATTCTTAATAGTCATCCTGGAGGAATACAAGCAATCCTGCGTTGGGGAGGACGAGAGGCCACCGAAGAATTTGACATGATTCATCCTCCTGAGACCATAAAAGAGATTGAGCAGTCATACCTGGGGACAGTCGAGCCACAGGAGCCGCCAATTACGGATTCTACGACCGAAGATATCACCCAAGCGCCATTAAGCACCTTGCTGAACTTGGAAGAGATCGAAACCGCAGCTACAAAGGTCATCAGCAAAAAGGCATGGGGGTATTACTTTTCCGCTGCCGACGACAAGATATCCAAGTATCTCAACACCCAGGCCTATCGCTCAATTCTGTTTCGACCACGGGTATTTGTCGATTGTCGTACTTGCGAACTGGAGACAAACCTCCTAGGTCACAAAGTCGGGCTACCGATCTTCGTCAGTCCAACCGCAATGGCACGTTTAGGACATCCCGCAGGCGAAAGGGGGATTGCAGAAGGTTGTCGCCCTTTCGGGGGGCTCCAAATCATCGCAAACAACTCCTCCCTGTCTCCAGAGGATATTGTCGCAAACGCACCCCCAACGCAAGTGTTTGGATGGCAGCTTTACGTCCAGCTAGACAGACAATTGAGCGAAAATATGTTGGCGCGTGTCAATCGGTTAGATCGAATCAAGTTCATCGTATTAACACTTGATGCTCCGGTATCGGGTAAGCGAGAAGACGATGAGCGGATCAATATCCAAGCCAACACAGCGGCAAGTGTCAGCACCCAGCTCTTTGCCGGAACAGATCCATCGCTCACTTGGGCGGATACTCTTCAGTGGTTGTCGCAGCATACCACGAAGCCGATTGTCATCAAAGGTATCCAGACGCACGAGGACGCAATCCTAGCTACTCAGTATGCACCTTTTGTTAAGGGGATTGTTCTATCCAACCATGGTGGGAGATCGCTTGATACAGCACCTCCTGCTGTGCATACTCTTCTTGAACTTCGAAGACATTGCCCCGGTGTGTTTGATAAGGTTGAAGTGTGGGTAGACGGTGGAATCCGTCGTGGGACAGATGCTGTCAAGGCGCTATGTCTTGGTGCCAAGGCTGTTGGGATAGGAAGGCCGGCTCTTTGGGGCCTCGCTGCTGGTGGGGTTGAGGGGGTCGAGCGAACATTGCAAAGTTGGTTTTGCTCAAAACTTCGGTCAAGTACAGCGTTTCTAACATAAGTTTAAATCTCTAGTTCTGTCCGAGGAGATGAAAACATGCATGCGTCTCCTTGGTGCGAAGACAGTGAGCGATCTTGGTCCTCATCATGTACATCCCCCTTGCTGTGCTATTTTGTGTCCATTGCTGACGGCGAGTCAACAGATCAACACGGCTGTATTGCAACAGCAGATATACGGAGGATCTTCATATCTAGCAGATCACCATCTAGGTTTGATGAAGGGGAAACTTTGAAAGTTGAATTTATGTGACTTTAAGATAGATTGAGCGCCTGAGGCCTCCATGCAGACAAGATTGTCGGTAGAATGTAAAAGAATTTTGTCCTTTCTTTCTTCGTTTCCAATTGCCTCTTCATGTAGTAAACTCAGTATGTTTTTCCTATGGGATTGTTCGCTATTTCCATTAAACAACATCGCAAAGTGGATGACGATAAGAGCACAAGCTAGTGACGGCATCAAATGGGGTAGTTGGTAGTTGGAGTCAATCACGAGTGGGAGGAAAGATAAATAACTATCCATTGCATGAACTTCCGTATCTCCAGTTTGAAAATTGTCTAGGGATCACCCCACCTTTGTTTGTCGCATGCATTGTTGGGGGTAGGGGACTATATATTTACGCCGACTATGCCCCTCCTAGACCGGATTTCAGCCAATTCCTCGAAGAAATTATATTTTCTTTTCTTCAAAACTCAGCATCAAGCTCTTTATCACAAATAATCACACCAATCTCAATTATCATGGGCAAAAAGCGCGTTCTTGTCGGCTACGGCGTTGATATCGACGCAGTAGCTGGCTGGCTAGGCTCATACGGAGGCGAGGACAGCGTGAGCGATATCAGTCGAGGTAAGCCTATGTTTCATCAACATCAATGTTATCAAACTAACAAAGCTCGCACCAACCAGGTCTCTGGGCAGGACACGTTGGCACACCCCGGGTGCTGAAGTTATTCGAAAAATACAACATCAAGGCGACATGGTTCATCCCAGGCCACACCCTTGACACCTTCCCCGAAGAATGCGCAATGGTGCGGGATGCAGGGCACGAGATTGGGCTACACGGTTACTCGCATGAGAATCCCTGCGACTTGTCCACGGAGCAACAACGCGACATCCTCGACAAGACATATAAGATGTTGACTGACTTCTGCGGAAAGCCGCCGCGCGGAATTGTCGCGCCGTGGTGGGAGGCCAGTGCTGAGATGGTTGAGCTGTTGCTCGCTTATGGAATCGAATATGATCATTCCATGTCCCATGAGGATTGTCAGATGTACTGGCTGCGGACTGGGGATACGTGGACGAAGATTGACTACAAGCAGAAGGCTGAGACGTGGATGAAGCCATTGGTCAAGGGTGATACTACTGGTCTTGTGGAGATTCCTGGTAGTTGGTATATTGACGATTTGCCGCCGATGATGTTTATCAAGAACTCAGCGAACAGCCATGGCTGGGTCAATCCGCGGGATGTTGAGGATATTTGGAGGGTTAGCACTTTATTCCGTTCGGGACTCTAGGACATTCGACTAACATGGCCGCTTGATACAGGACCACTTCGACTATTTTTATCGAGAATATGATGAATTCGTCTTCCCCATGACAATCCATCCCGATGTCTCTGGTCGGCCTCATGTTTTGCTCATGCATGAAAGGTATGTTGCAAAGTCAAGTAGTCAGATACTATTGGCCAATTCGAGAGACTAACGCACTATATGCAGACTCATTGAATATATTAACAGCCATGAGGGAGTGGAGTGGGTAACCTTCGAGCAAATGTGCGACGAATTCAAAGGGAAGAACCAGCCACCTCCGGGTGCACTCATGCCAGCTGCTCCAGGAGCAATTGCAAAGACACAGGAACAGGAGTGACTCTAGACTTGAATAAATGTCCCTTTTATTTATGAGATTCTCCAAATTATCCGCCCAGTGAGGTAAACTCTTCCATTGAAACATAGCCAAAATAGCAATTGCCATCAGTAGTTGAAGTATCAGTAGAAACTTCCAAATTGATTTGTTTGAACAAGTTCAATATCTTAAACACGACTGAGTACAAAAGTCTAGCATACAGTGCACTTCCTGCCTTTAAGTGCATCAACAACAGCGTAATACGCTGGTTTAGCCTCGAGGGTATCATTGAAAAGAGTCGCACCTCCCTCCCCAGCGAAGGTTTCAGGCACCCAAGAGTATTTATCATAAAAGTCCCAAACAACAACACCAAGACAGCGACGTCCAGCCTGAAGACAGCTTTGAACAGTGACGTAGTAGTCCGCAGCTTGTTGTTTCTGGACCTCAGCAGTATAGTACGGCTCCTCCGAGAAGCGAATATCAAGTTCGGTGACGACAACATCCAAATCAGCCTTGATATACGCCTTCTTAGTAGCGACTTGGTCGGCAAGGGAGGGTGTCTGGCCAACAATGAAGTGCGATTCGAGACCGATACCATCAATGCGAATTCCGCGCTTGCGCAGGTTCTTAACAAGCTTCATAACAGTATCGGCCTTCGGACCGGGGTTCTCAATGCCGTAGTCGTTGTAGTAAAGTTGAACCTTGTGCGCGCCGATCTGGGCCAGAGCCTGCTGCGCATACTGGAAGGCAAGGTAGAAGTATTCCTCGCCGATGGTGTCGTACCAGACGCTGGAGGAGAAGGTACCGTCACCATTGATGGCTTCATTGACTACATCCCATGAGGTGCATTGCTTGCCGAAGTGCTGGACGGTCTTGAAGATGTGGTTCTTCATAATTGCAGTGAGCTCCTTGGCGGTCCATGTCTTGGAGGTCACGAAATCTGAGACCTGACTCATCCAGACCAAATTGTGACAGCGGACTTTGGAGTCAAAGCGGTCGGCTAGGTCCATAAAGTAGTCCCCATCGGTGAAATTGAACTTGTTTTGCTCTTGCTCTGTGTACATGAACTGGTACCACGAGAATAGTTAAATGTTAGTCGCGATTTACTCGAAGATTCCATTTAGATATTTGATTCAGCGTACCTTGAGTGCATTAGCCGGAGTAATTTCACCGAACTGATTCTTCAGAATCTTCAGGTACGCAGCATCGGTCGTCTCGCCCGTCCCGGGGATATCAGCAGCTGTTCCGAACCACTGTTGACCCCGAGCTTGAGCAAGGGCATTCAGGTTGTAATCCTTGTGGTCTTTGTGATGGGGTGCGGCCTGGGCGAAACCAGCCAGTAAAGCTGTGATTGCAACGAAAGAGCGCATTGTCACCGACATGTAACTCAAGATGCGAATGAAGACGACACTGCAGCAGATGCGGAAAAGAACTCATTTTAAACCGGACGGATTTTGCAAAAAATATTGAATACCCCTCTCGACAAAAGAGAGCTAATCCCACTTTGCCAAGGGCCGGGGGTTCAATGTGCATAATGAAGCTGAACATCTGCCGATTCACTGGCTATAGACGACTTTCCGGGGCAGCGTGGGGAAATTAGCCTAAATTACCCCTAGCAATTCAGGGGGATGCGCAGAGTAATCAAGAATTTTATTTGCCGTTCGACGCCACTGGTTCGACAGGAAAGGACAAGTTAGCGCGGTGGTAAATCTAATTCTGCAGGAGCTGTTAGCTCGAATTTCTCGTTTAGCCAGATTGTCACACATCTATGGCCCCATTCTAACCTAGGCAACAATTCTCTATGGTTTTCTGATGTAGTAAAATACATCCGACTCCTTGTCATGCGGCCTAATTCCCGCGCCATCAGGCTTTTGGCAACATGCCAGCCAACCGGGGAGATTTCTAGCGCTCGCGTGTTGCACAAGGCTTGCTAAAGCCAAGCGTACCTAGCGTGTGACCAAAAGTACATTTGCCTTCGATTAAGACCGACAAAAATACCAACAGTCTTAGCCTCGGCAGGAGCAGACAGGCCTTTGAAGTCTAGACTGGTTGATAGATGTCAATGCTGGTGAAAGATAGTTTCGAGACGTCGGAATACATTTTGGTATCGAGACTATGAAACGCAGCAAAGGATTATAAGCAAGTATGGCATACACAACATATCCCTCCACCATCATCTCAAATTCAATTTGCCACGAATCCATTGTCTATTCCACCAAGACCGTGCTGTCACATAACTAAATTCGTGACAATGACATGTCATAGTGGCAGTTGTAGACTCGCGAAAAGCGCCAGCGACGCGCTTACCATCCGCTGAGCGGAAAATGATAGCCTTGGTGCCCTCCTATTCAGGGAAGGCCTCCCCAGGGAAGGAGTCCCATTTGCCGAATGCGACTTTGCTACACTCATCAGAACCAGCAAGGTTGCCTTGGACTCGGGCATGGTAGGAATTGGATTAGGGTAAGGATTTAAAGACTGGTGAGTGATAGTTACGTCAATATGGGATTGTTCTTTTTTCGATAGATCATGTTCCACATAACGCACTTTTATATCCCATCCTCCCCTAGTCCTGAAAGGAAGCACTACGAGGAACTATATATCAAATCCTCGGAGCATCCACGGATATTTTCAAGGTTTAGAAGAAGGATCCCAAAGACTTCTGTCTTGCGGTTTGTCGCCTGGGGGTGACTTTGCGTCTTCTTCCCTACTTCAAAACTACGCTGGCCTTTACCTTCTGGCTTTACACAGGAATTATATCCATAAGCTATCAACAAGACCTGCGGGTCACATCATGCAATGTGACTTGTCCTGCAACTGTACAAGCAGTTATAGTATATCTATGTCAGGAATGGCTGAGATACGCAGTCACATGTCCGAATCTCTCCAGGGGCTCTTTTATGCTTCTTTCTTTTTACTTCAACAAAAGGAAGATAAATAGTGACTCTCTTTGATCCACACATGGTCTTGTTCGTGGTCATGCTAATTGTAATAATTTATACAAGAATACCTAGGTAGTCGTTCATGTGGCCTTGAGATGTCGTTATGGTAGTCTTTTCATCGCGAAACCCAGCGTGGAACATCGATTTCAGATAAGGAAGTGTCGCATAAGGTACAAACCGCCCCATCATTCAAAGCGGTATTCACTCCCTACCGGTGTATGAAGATCTGTACCCATGAACATCTCCATGGAAGTTTCTGATATTCCAGATTAACCGCCAAATCCTCCGTTGCTTCCCATGTTACTGTGTCCTTCCACAGAAGCCATCAACCAACCTCTACTGATCCTATATAGGGAAGGCAACAAGACCACACCGACGATGTTAGGCCAGCAAGCTCTCTTTGACTACGCAATTTGCAAGGACTCATCCTCTTTTCTCTGTGATTTCCTAGCAAACCCCGACGGAGCCATTGCTTTTCTTATCTGGTAGCAGACAATCCGATTGACCACCAGCAAGCCAGCACGTGCTGAACCGAACCATTGTATGATAATCCACGCGCGGGGTCCGATTGTCTGAACTGACTGAGTCATTAGCTCGTTGTGGGATTGGTGGATAGCAAGACACTAGTGGCACATGGCACATTCGAAGCTTAATATGGCGTGCGATGTATTTATCTACCGGCCACTCCCGGCCACGAGGTGCAATAATTCAGATATATAAGCAAGACACATTTGGAGACTTAACCCATCCAAACCCGGAATTGTTTCGCAAATATGGTCGGACAAGCGTTGACTTCCGTGGCCATCGTTGGTGGTGGACCCGGAGGATTGGGAACTGCGATTGCTCTCTCGGAATTACCCTTCCTGAAGGTGACTCTGTATGAGAAAAACACAGAGCCCCGGGAAGCTGGCGCAGGCATCAGCTTGACCACAAATGCATGGAGAGTTCTAGATTTACTTGGTGCTAGTGATGGAGTCAAGGGAGGTTCTAAATCCAACACACACCAAAGGTACGCGGTGTTTTCATAGCTGCAGTAACATTTGATGCATATGCTGACCTCAAATTGAAAGAAACGCCTACACTGGAAAGGTTTTGAGCATCAGTCCTCGTCCAGAAAACTCGTCCGCAGGTGACCGCGGATCAATCCGTGCTCGCAGAACCCGACTGCAGTCAGCTCTCTTATCAAGAGTACCCGAAGGCGTGATCCAATTTGGCAAAAAGGTCGTATCTTTGGAAAATCTTCCGGGCCAGGGAGTTGTCTTGGGTTTCCAGGATCACACGGAGGTGATCGCGGACATTGTTGTTGGGGCGGACGGGATACACTCTGTTTGTCGAATCCCTGGTGCTGGAATTTGCATTTGTGACTGACACAGCTTCGTGAGGTAGGTTGTCCGTAGGGCCCTATTGCCTGATCATCAGCTTCACTTCACAGGCAACTCTGCATTCCGTGTTCTGGTTCCGAAATCCCATCTGGCACATATCCCGGATATCACGACTACATCGTCATGGTGGTGGGGTGAAGCTGGACATGTATATCTCTCCGATGTAGATGATGAGGAAGAGACCAAAGATCCCCTTTTTGAGATTACCGTCCGATCCTATAGTGAGCCTGAAGTGTCTGGGAAGACGGTCTTTTGGGGTATTCCTGCAACCAACGAGAAAGTGGGATCGCGTGTTGAGGTACGTTATACCTTTGCTATATCGACGACTAATTACTAACATGTAAGACAGACATTTGATCAGAGGATAAGAGACGCAGTCAGCGCGGTGACTGAAGGAGAATGGAGGGAGTTTGCGACATTCGCTGGGCCGCGTCTGAACAAAATCACCGACTGGGATAAAGTCGCCCTTATCGGAGATGCCAGTCACCCTCTTTCTGGTAAGTCCAAGTGCTGTCATTGATGACTTGCTATCATCTCCAGCGCTAACGACCTTCCAGGAGCGTTTGGCTCTGGGGCGACGTTTGCCATGGAGGATGGTTGGATCCTCGCGCGAGCGCTTGAGCTTACACGGTTTGCTCCTCGTCCTGTACAGGACGCTCTGGGGATCTTTGAGCGGATTCGGTCTCCGTACTATACCAAAATGTAAGTATGCACTTGATATTATGTGCAATGGCTTGGGTCTGACCATGCTTTTCCCTCTCGCAGGTATCAGCATCTAGACGAAATACGTGACAAAACGCAACAACTCTTAGCAGAAGAGAAGGATTTTAATGTCATTCTGCAAGCCAAAATCGACACTTTCCTCTATGGAGACAAGGATTTCATTTATCAAAACGACATCAAGAAAGTCTGGGAAGACTTTCTTGCGACAGATCAGACAGTGTTGTAATGCTTTGAAATAACACACCTTGAACATGTTATTTTCAACCTGGATTTCACAGGGTACTGTGTTTTGGTTATTTCTTCTATTCCGAATTCAAGTGTTCATACACCAGTTTATAAGCCGAGTCACAGCCTTCGCGTTGAACCTCGGCCATGTTCCTCCCCGAGGGGTCTGGCTGCCTGAGGCACAAAACAAATATTAACTAGAACTGCCAACAGAATACCAAATATAGCAATGGCCTTGCATACAATTCTTATACATTCTCGGAAAGATCAGAACGAGAAAATCCACGATCTACAGTATAAACAGTGCCCAGCTAATTTCTATGCAGATCCGCTCCGTATTTGTGGTATTGTGGATCATCTCTAGTATTGGCACTTTCAAAGGGGTTCCAGCAAGATTTTTTTTTTCGCCCTGTTTGGCAGATCCTCGGGTAGCGGAGGACCAGGATGGCAAAGCAGCATGATGTCTCCATAGTTTTCAGGTAGCACGTACTTTGTGTAGTACTTGTGAGTGGTGTGATTCTATACTTTGCAAGGATTACGGAAGATAACCAGATGACTAGGTGTGTAAGGGGGGGATTGACGGCAGAAATAAACAGAAGTTTAGAACTTGATCACATCAGATAGAATGAATATACATCACACGTAGACTACCCATGTGTATGCGATGAAGGTTGCCTAGTATGGTAGGTATCCATGTATCACGTGATGTGGAGAGGAGAATCTGAAAATTCCGTTTTTTCGCATTTTATTTTTTATTTTTTATTTTATTTTTTAATGTTTTTTTCCCTCGCCATCGAGGATTCCAGCCCAGCGTCATCCACTTCATCTCCAATCTACTTCTGCTAGGCCCTGTTATCTGCTGAGGCCTCTAGCAAATAGATTTGGATCACCCTCGCTGCCTCTCTGGATCCCCACTAGCTGGTCCCCCCTGAATCCCTTTGAGCGACCGTCGACTCATTTTCTCGAACTGCGCTGACCGACTCACCTCGGTCTCCGTAGCCGCTAATCCCGATCGGGAACCCCGCGCACGGTTTATTGCCTTGTTGCCTTGTGGCCTCAGGCCGCTAGGGAACAACAAACACGCGGCTTCGGCGCGACTCTGGTGGCGATTCTCCGTGTAGAATTATCGGCGCTGGCGCATCGGTGACAGTCTTGGTTTCAAATTGCCCTGTATTCCACCTTTCCCCTTTCAAGCTAGTTCGCGATCATTTTGTCTGCTCTTGCCCTTGCATGCTTCGTGGTCTAACCATTCCATTATCTGCCGCTTACGGCCGAATGCCAGCGCATATCTAAAATTGAGTCAAAATGATGAACTACGGTGGTCACCCATTCCACCCTCAACAGCCACAGCAACCTCAGCAACCGCAACATCAAGGTGTCCAACCCCAACATCCGTTAGGTCCACAGCCTCAACGTCAGCATGCCCAGTCGCCCTTGCTAGGTGCGGGGCCGCAGTTGCCACAACATGGCAGTCCATTCCCGGGCAATAAGCCAATTTTTCGGGGGCAACCTCAGCAGAACTTCGGTTCGTCGCAATCTCCAGATATGCGCAAGATGACCCCGACATCGGGGTCCTTGGGTGGGTATCCCACCACCAGCAGTTTTGGCCAATTTCCGGGGCAGTTTGCCGCCCAGAGCTCCCCGGATTTGATGTCTCGCAACCCCGATCCTATGGCGCTGCAGAACCTCCAGCGTGGGTTTAATCCCATGGCCCATCTTCGGCCCCAGCCGGGAATGAGTCCAACAACTGGCCTCACTCATGGACATCCCATGAACGTTCCTTCGCCCCAGCAGGGCATGAACAGACTACCTCACGCAGGCATGCAGCAGAGAGATAACCACACGTCTGGCAGTCCGTCTATGGCTAGCCCATCCATGTTTGGCTTGAATCAACAACGACAGGCCCAGCCTCAGTCCCAGTCACAACCGCAATCGCCCCAGCAGACACATCAGCAGCTGCAACAGCAAATTCAACAGCAACAGTTCCAGCAGCAACGACTTGAGCAGCAGCAAAGAATGGAGCAGCAAAAGCAAATCCAGCATCAGCGTCTGGAACAGCAACGCTTGGAACAGCAGCAGCGGCTTGAGCAACAGAAGGAATTGGAACAGCAAAAGGTAGATGAGCAAAAGATATTGGAGCAGCAGCAGCAGCAGCAACGCCTAGAACAGCAAAGACTCGAGCAACAAAAACAGCATCAACAACGGGCGGAGCACCAACGGCTTGAGCACCAGCAGAAGCAGCAATTGGAGCAACAGAGGTTGCAAAAATTGCAGCACCAGTCTCAGGCACACAACCCATACCAACAACAGTCGCCCTTTTCCCAGCATACCCAACCCCCGTTCCATCCATCGCAATATCAACAGCATCAAGCTCAATCGCAACATCAGTACGCCCCACACCAGACGCAATTCTCTCAGGCGCAGCAGACGCAGTTCCAGCCATCTCCGCACCAAGCTCAATTCCAGCATTATCAACCAGGACCGCACTCGACTGCCGTGCCTTCATCACAGGCACCTGCATCCGCTGTCCCTGCAGTCACGGAAAGCCCGGTCATGAAGTCTGACGAGTCGAGCCCTATACCGAAGAAGAAAGCCAAACCTAAGAAGGCTGCACCGGCTCAAGCTCAGCCCGTCCAAACCCAACCTCATGCTCAACCTCAACTAAATGCCCCCATGGTCGTTCCGAGTGCCCTCCCCACACAGGCCAACGGACAAGGGCAGATGCCCGCCGTGACCACCGTTGGAGGTGACCAAATTGCCACTCCACCTCCAAAACGTCGTCGGGGACGACCTAGGAAGGAGGAAGTGGCGGCCAGGCTTGCTGCGCAGGCCGCACAGGCTGCCCAAAACGGCGAGTCTATCCCAGGAGTACCTCAACCAGGGCAGGCATCATTCACTGCGAATATGACGCCGACTGCTCCAGGCTCCGCCGGGCCAAACACCACAACTAAGGGGACGCCTATCCTGGGACCGGACGGGACTCCTTTGAAGCGAAAACGCGGACGTCCTCGCAAAGCTGATCAGATTGCGTGGGCAGCTGCAACGGGCCAACCCTTGCCGCCGCCTAAACCAAGGAAGCCAGCTTCGGCCAAACCAAAGGCACCTGGAACGGGCCGGCCACGTGGAAGACCTCGCAAGGCTGATGTGGCCGCTGCGGCAGCGGCTGCCGCCGCTGCCGCCGCCAGTGGAGATCAGACGCAAGCAGATATCAACCCTCAATTGGGTGAGGGCACAGATACAACCAGCGCACTCAAACGTGCAACCGCTTCAGTCGACGAAGAAGCGCGCAAACGGCCCTGCCCGACACCACCGCAGATGCTTCAAGGGCAGTCTCTACCTCAACAGCAGAACCTCCACATGTTCCAACAGAATCAGTCTTCACAGGCCCAGGCAAATCAACATATTGGGCAGCCGCAAGTCCAGCACATGCACCAGCAACAGAACCAACACATGTCCTCCCAGCCTGGTTCTCATCTGCCGCATAGCCAATCCATGCCCCAGCAGCCCGGTCAGGCGCTCTCTATGCCACACATGCAAATGCACCACCATTCTCCTGTCCACCCCCCGCGCCCCCTCCCTCATCAGCCATATCTTCAATCACCGATGCAACAACAGATGCAGCACCCGATGTCGTCTGAGTCCCCTGTCCACGGGATGCCAGGACAACCACGCAGACCCCCAATTCCCCAACGGAGCCAGGCCCCTCCCCCGCCTGCACCGCAACATGAGCATCAGCATACCTTCCAGATCCAAATGCAGCCGCAGCCAACCTAGTGCTGAATGTGGTTCGGGATATCGGTTTCATCTCAATCAATGCAACCAAGCGAAGTTTCACTTCTGACCAGTATATTTTGACTTGATTTTCATTGCAAAAAAAACATCGGTGTTTATATAATTCCTGGGCTCTGTCACGTGTGTTCTCTCGATCGTTTTACGTCCATGAAGTCTCGTATCAAGTGTTTTCGTGGGCCTATTATGGCGTTGCGTGCTTTTGTCTCATTGGCATCTCAGGCATTTCCTGTTCCCGTCTATTGTTTACTTAGCCTGTGGTTTTACCATTCTTTTTCTTACATATCTAATGTTTTCAATTTAGTACATACTCGGTTCTAATCTCATATTGTCAATTGTGCCCAACTAGTTTTGTTTAACCTCTTTCCACATGGTTGAGACATACAGTGGACGTTTTCTCTTAGTCTCTTTTATAGACGACGGAGGCCCAGAAGATAGAATCCTGCTTCTACCAAGAGTAGACAATCTCAACCAGATCCTGCAATCTAACCCATTGCAGTTAAGGACGCTAGACTATACCAGTTTCACAGTGTATAACAAGTTACAGTTCACTGATAAAAATCCCCGCAGTTTCAGTCTCGCATTAACGACAAGTTACAGCATCGACCAAGGTCTAGGGCGTGTGCGGCATTTTCGCTATTGGTCCACATGACCAAGCTGTGATTTCGAGTTATTACCGACTGGGTGGAGAGGGACCGGAGAGACCAACGATGACCACAACTGGGCGTTTAGCCAGGCAACCTGGATACAACCTCAGGTGGGGCGGCGGGAGAGGGATATACAGCGTCGAGGGTATACTGGCACTTTGCAGATTTGAAGGGTGGTCCGCAGAGTCAAGGGACGAAAAGGCGCACTGGCAGAGAGAGGCCCAGATATCTTCGTAGCATGGTGCTCAGTCACTGCTATAGGGAAGAAATAGGATCATCGACACAGACGAATAGGATTCTGTATCATCCTAGTGGTTACGCTTCTGGGTGACAGGCATTGCAAGCTGGAGAGACTATCAGTATCTCCTAAACCTCGTCAAAATGGAACATTAGCACGTTCAATCCTATCGGCGTTTCAAGATAGTGAAAAGCATTACCAGCCGGTTCTTTGAAACAAAAAGAGTGCATTCAACTAGAATACTAAGTTTGCTGTACAGAGACGTAGCGAAATATTTATCTGCAGGGGCAAGTGCTAATTTGATGGGATGAGAAACTTAGTGAAAATTCCCCTAAACCACGCGGTCACCGAACAAACTATCTATCCAGCTAGCTGCATACTCGTAAAATGGTTCCCAAAGCTCAAGCAAGAGGCTTCGGTCGCACCAAAATTCGCCTCGCGACTGGCATAGGGCAGGACCAGGTCCAATTGAAGCAGAACACCTTGTCGGATCCTCGAGACTAGCTATTCGTGTTTGAGCTGTTCGCATTCCCATCGAAAAATCAAACCTCTATTCATCTCTAGGCTTCTGCACGACCCATTTTGGGTCGAAAGCTCATAACCAGACCCAACCCAACCCAGTTTGGCCCAGTTTTGGTTGGGTCTGGGTTTTACTGGGTCATGTGAAAGACTATATTTCGCTGAAGGGGAGCCATTTTCGGCGTCGTTTTAGTCAGTAAAACGAGGGGAACAACTGTGTAAGTCGAGCGTTAATATCAGGACCAGAGGATGACCAAAAGTGCTAGGCGGGTGCAGAATAGTGGTGTTATAGGGCAGTGAGCGGTCAAGGGGTGGCTAGACGACTAAAGGGTACGAGAAAGCAGCCCTTTTAGGCCTCAAGAGCGGTCATTTTCGGCGTCTATCCCACAGGTCCTCATATTCTAGGTGTACAATTCCCCAGGAGGGCTCCGGGGCCAGGGTTGACCCGCATTATTGAGCTTGGACCACAACCCCCATCGAGCGGTCAGTACAGTAGTTCGACACCTCACGGTACATTCCAACGCACTGCTTCATTCAAACCTTAAAGACAGTGTGCGACCTACCCTAAAGACGGTCGCAGTTCCCTCGTTCATCTCGTGTGCTTGTAAGAGGTGAATCACTCAGCAAAGTCGTATTCCTGCGGGACTCGCCCTCCTCCTCACCCCTCGAAGCCTTGCTTGGCGTTATGGATACTAACGCGCTCATCGATGTCTTCCACGAGGTGCAGGGCTAGCATTGAGTGACCGAGACCCACACAGCGGGCCGTCCCTGTCAATGGGTGTCAACTTTCCATCCGGACAAGCTACCCTGTCAACATGACAGCACTTTTCACCATGGCCCATTCAACGCCGGCGAAGATGGCCTCTAGTGACAACACTGCCTGGATGGTTCGTTTCCCTCGTGTGGGAATGACTTCGGATGATTACACCGAAAATCGCCATGGAAGTGACCGCCCTGAACCTCATCCGCAATAGGACTACCATTCCTGTGCCGAGAGTTCAAGCTTGAAGTCCCGCTGCTAGCAATTCACGTGGCCTAGGCCTGCTCATCATAATGGACTTCGTTGACGGTGTAAGCCTTGGCGAGATTCTACGGGACCCGAATGCCGAGCGTGCTACTAGAGTGACGAGGGAGGACATCAGCGATGATGACATTAATGTTATCTATAGGCAGGTGGCCAATTTTCAGCTCCAGCTTTTCAAGCTCGATTTTGACTATATCGGTAGTCTGCCTAACCCTGAAGACCAAGGCTCTACTCCAGCAAGACCTCTAACATTCAAAGTGCATTGTATACTACAAAATGGGGGGGGGGTGGGCACTTTCGGTTCACCTTATTCTCTTCATTTTTCCTTTTTATCCCTCGAAAAATATCTCAAAGTTTCCTGGTCTAGCGGTTATGATTTTCCGTTAACAATTGCTCTTTGTAGCGAGTGTTCCGGAAAGGTTCTGGGTTCGATTCCCAGGGAAACTATTTTTTTTTTGTTTACATAGACTACGACAATTGTCCGCAGCGCTCTTATCGTCTGTGTTGCCTAAATATATATTTAAAAGACCGAGCACAGGGCTTTGCAATAATCATTGAGTATTTCCAAAACGTCGTCGGGCAACACCTGGAGCAGCTTTTCGGCTCGGCTCCGTGGCTTCTCCAAGATCGGCCTGTTAACAGAACATGGGACTACGACGATACTAATAAGTCACCCAAGATTGCTGCTAGGTACTTCCGATACCTGGAGATTTTCATGTGTGTCTTGCGGGAGGAAGAAGCAAAAAATGCAAGAGCATCAAGAAAGAGAACTCCTTTAAGTGATATCGTGTGTAGGTCACATATTAATAAATGGTATACAGTGATTCAGCAATAACCAATTGCCAGCTACACTCCAAATACTAATCAAGGTAATACCGCAGAACCTAGCCAGGGGGTGCTTTGAGATGTATATAACACTCCATGGTTTAGCGAAAGGCCACTACAACCTCGTAATAAACTGATTCTTGAAGCCTCTGATGGATGTAATTCATACATATAGGTAGATAGATAGGTATCATATATCAAATTGGGAACTCAACAAGTTCTCTAGAAAACACCACCTTCAAAATCAACCAACTCCTCAAACGCCTCCATCCCACTCCCACTATCATGTGCATTGCTTCCACTACTATCCCCATTCCAATTCCAATTCCAATTCCCACTAGACCCCCTCTCCCTCTTATCCATCCCCTCAAAAGAACTTCCATCGGGCCATTCACTCAAATCAATTCCTAATCCAGGCGCAATCTTCCTGACAATTCCATCACAAAGCAGAAACGCCCTACGCGCCGCCGGGTCTACAAAAGCAGTAGTATGAAGCCACGCAAGCGCCTTCCTCGCAGCCCCAATAGCCGTACTCAGATCCGTCTCTAGTAGTAGGGGGTAAGTCCCCGCCTGCGACGGTGTAGTCGGGCTGGGGAGTGGATTCGGGCGATCAGGGCTGCTGGATGCGTGCGCACCAGAACAGTGGGATAAACCCAGTAATAGAGCAGTCGTCGCCTGCATGACGAAATGAAGGATGCTCCACCAGGGCGCGGTGCGGGCCAGCCATGCTATATTCGGATCCTCTGGCAGGATGGAGATGAGTGTGCAAGAAGCTTGTAGACAGTGTGTTGCCATTTCGGTGCGAAGTTTCCCGCGCGCGGTATTTTCACCGGTTTGGGAGGCGTGGCGGGGGGTTTGGTGGATGTGACTTAGACATGGTCTGCAGAGGATGATGCGGGAGGAGTAGTAGTGCATTGCTAGACAGACCCGTTCGCGGATGAAAGGTGCGGAATGGTTGTCTAGTTGGTGGTGACTTAGATGCCAGGGGCTTGCATCTGGAACGGTGAATTGATAGAAGGAGGGAAGTTTTGAGAGCCAGCGGTCCATTTGGAGGGCGAATTTTTGGACTTGGTGTTCTACTTGACTGGGGCCTTTCCGGAGGCCTTCGATGCTGTAGACTTTGTTCATGAGGGCTTGGGTTATGAGATTTAGGTCGACGAGGAAGTTGAAGAAGAGAGATGGACAGGGTGGGCAGGTGGTCACCCATGAGGGAGAGTGGTATTGGCTGGGGGATTCGAAGAGGGTGGCGCGGAGTCGGGCTTCGCGGAGGGCGGGGTCTTGGAGGAGGCGTTTGGCGTCGGGTTGGTCGAAGGCTTCCTCTTCGTAGGGAAGAGGTGTGGGGATAGAGCAAAGGCCTTCGCCGACGCAGGAGGCGCGGCCGGTCATTGAAGCTAGGAGGTGTTCGAGGGAGTAGATGGACCACCAGAGGCGGCCGCGGGTTTCTTTGGCGGCATGTTTGGTGCGGTCGTCTGTTAGGCGAAGATTGATGCCGAGGGATAGAGCTGACCGGAGAGCCATGTTGGAGAATTTGGATGCTCTAGAGGGAATGGGGGAGTTAGCATAGTGATAGTGTGGGGGATAGAGCAATGGGACCTACCGGTTGACCTGGCCCAGACAAAGCAAGTAAACTGCGACAAGGAGTTCGAGTTGGATCTGTTGGAGATCGGTGTGCTCGAATAGCACATTGCTATGCAGGCTGAGATGGCGCGCCCGAGTCAGGTATATCAAGTCTTCCTCGCCGGCGCTTTGGGGGTCCTCTATAAGTCGACAGTATCGACAACCAATGGCAAAGATCATGTTCAGAATGGCCAGCCATTTCCGGGGTGGCGTCGATCCGTTGTTGAAGAATTGCTGATACTGGGAAATAAAAGTCATCCTCCGAACTGCGCTGAATGTCGGATGAACGTTGATCAGATAGGCGTCGAGGTATCGGTCTGCTAATTCCCGCGTAGGCAGAGCTAATGGGTCGCATGGCTCAATCAATGGGATATCCAAGCTGTCAAGATGATAATCCATCATAGACGTGGGAATCTGCCTTTCCAATGACTTCTGCCGCTGCTGAATAGACACTGGATCATGGTGGCTCTCCACATGGAAAGGATTCGATAGATGTTTCTGCGGACTCTTGATACCTACGCCGCTCTCTAGCTTGCGAATCCAATTGACCTCTGAATTCTTGCCAAAGAATCCCACAGCACGGGTATCCTCGTTCCGATCCAGATCTTCGTCAACCTGGTCGATAGCATCGAGTGAACCCATGGAAGTCGAAGAATCATCGGAGTCGTCGACATTATTTCTAGAGGATTTCCCAATTTTGGGCTTTATTTGCCAAATGACAAACGGTCAGAGTCAGAAATCGGGACTCAAACCAAACGGTCCAAGTCTCAGGTGAAGCAGGGGAACTGGATTGGATGTTGACGGACGTACCTTCAATGCTTTTTTGATCTTCCGGGCTGTGAGGGGGTCCGCCTCGGCTTCTAAGTCTCGAAGAAGGGCTTCGTATGTATCCACTCGCTTGACTAAGGAGCCTAGTCGTTTCTGGTCACGCACTCGTTTGACGTCCTCGTAGGAGCAGGTGTGATTGTGATAAACACACTGTCCGCACGACGGCCGGATACCATCGCATTTGATCTTTCGCTGGCGACAGGGCTCACAGGCCCGCGCTGACCGTCGACGCCCATGTAACGTGTCAGATCCAGCTAGACGAGGGATAGCTACCTTCGGCGCGGTAGTCCCTGATCCATAGGCTGACGGTGCAGGCATATACTGGAAGCCTTGGGGGGGTTGGGTTGGGGAGAATGGGATAGGCGTGGGATATGGATGCTGAGGTACAGTATTTACCGAAGGTAACCAACTGTATTCCTCGAAAGTAGGATCATTATCCATGTTTTATTAATTTCACTTCAGGTATATATATATCGAAGTTAAAGGAGTGATGTTAGGCGAAAAAGCGGAGTCATGGCAAAACGTTGAAAGGAATAAAACAGGGATTGGGTAGTTTGATCTTCGACTGTTTCGACTATTTTGAGAAATGCGTGGACCAACGTGGATATGATATTCCCATTGCCACGGTGGAGTCTTGATGAACTGCCGATTTGACGTCAGAAAACATCTCATCCACTCGATCTCGCCTATCACCCCTGGACCAACTGGTAATGACTTGTACCTATCTTAATTCCACGGACCTGTTCCTTCAAGACCTTGGACTCATCTCTATTTGGAGAGAGATCCATATAATCGTGTCGCCACTTAAAGATGTACCTAATCAAACCATGTTCGAGATATGACGATGATGACAGTGTATTGTCTCCATTTCCCAGTCTCTTCAACACCAAACAGGTCTATGCCTCTCAACCGAAACATCCTTGCCAAGACTAAGACTCTCATATCGATCCAACATATCCGATAGCCCAAGACCTGGATAATCCTGCAACCCCCCATCTCCCTCCCCAATCCCATGATACTTCTCCTTTTGGTTCAACTTCTCAAGCCCATCAGCGTACTCATCAAACCGATTACACCCCCTCGCCTTCGACTCCTCATCAAACAGCTCCTTCAACTCATCAGGCACAGAACTCGCCTCCCGAATCCGATACCCCTGTGCTTTGGCCCGAACCGACTGCCGGAAAATATGAAACAGATTCCGCCCCAGCGCAGACCGACTTGCAACGATAGAGAAGGCACTCGCAAGAGTGAGGAAATCCTCATCCAGCACATCAAACGACTCCTGTTCGAGCATCGTAAACAGCGCCAGGTTAATCGCGTACATCGCGAACTGGTGCACGCGATTAACCCCGAACTCGCGTCTGTGCAGACGCGTTAGGGATGCGATACCACGCGCAGCGCTCTGCGTCACTTCCCGCGCGTTGTATTTTCTCTCGGGGGTGTGGCGCGGCGGGCTTTCGGGTGTTTTGGGCTCGAACTGTATGGGCGGGACTTCGTCTTCGGAGATGCAACTGAAGAGGTTTATGATGAGGGCGTGGTAGCGCATTCTGCGTGGGATGAGTATTCGTCAAGTCGGATCATTCTGAGCGTACTACTCACTTCAGTAAGATGATATGTGGAGCTGGTCTGTACCGCACATCAAAGTCCTCCGGGAGAACATCGTGCCAGCGCCGGATCCGATCGTATAGATCCTCGCGACTCTGGCGGTGGATAGGGCCGAGGGTGGGATTGCTCCTGTGATCCGCGAACATACTGCGCGAGATATCGCGCGCAATTGTCGACAGGTTGCATGCTTCGTCGAAGTACTGACTGAAGAATGACGGGCGCAAATCACGGTGGGTTGGGTATGGCTGCCAGAGGGCTTTGTCTTCGGGCTGGTTGATATTGAGACGGGCCATGTTGACGTGGTCGATGAGACTTGGGCGGAGGAAGGAGGTGTGGACCATTCTACGGATGTGAATGAATAAAAGGTTGATGGATGGGGTGCTAGCAGTGTTCACTTACGTGTCGACGTTGAACAGACCCCAGGCTGTGCGCTTGCATGAGATATCCATGTCATGGGATAACTCACCCGAAGCCATTCTGGGTCCCGTGCTGCCGACGAGACCCAAAGCCTCGCCCATTCGGATAGCCTCGTGCAGCATGATATAGCCCAGATCGTCTTCGCGGGACATTGCGTATCTGTCTATGTCAGACCAGGACCGGATCAGGACATATTCTTTTATACTAACCTCTCATGCATCAATAAAGTCCCCTGCAAACCCGCCAAACTAGGCTGCGAACTCTCCTCGGCTCTCAACCTCTCTGCCTCAGCAAGGAAATCACTCCCTTTCGAAGAGATATCACCAGGAACAACATAAGCCTCGGAGAACTCTGAGAAGTACTAAACAAACAATCAGCAGACCAACCAAAAGAACGGGGGAAAAAAAAAAAAAAAAAAAGGAAACACTCACACAAGCATTACTGAGCATCGCATTAACTAAAAACGGGCTACAAAACTCAGACCCCAATACACCCTTGGCCATATGTCTAACAAAAACCTCCTTATCCAAAACCGCACTAAACGGCCAATCCCACGCAAAATACAACGACACAAGATGCGACACCAAATCCGCATCAGCCGTAACCCTCGTCCACGGCGCCGCAGGCACTTCACATGGCGCCGAGTCACACAGGTAATGGATATCCATAACCTTTCTTCTGAACGTAGGACCGGTCCCCTCGACATTGAGGAGCTGACGCATATCTTCGAGCTTTGCAACAGTTTGCTGTTTGACAGCTGTGGATGTCGCAGAGGTGGACGAGGTGATTGAAGCGAGTGTTTGGTTGATATAAGCGCGGATTTCGTCTGCGGGGGCATTGTGCCGGATTATTGTTAGCAGGTGCAAGGCGTCTTGTTCGTTTGCTTCGCGGACCAGCTTGAAGAGATCTGAGAGGAGGTCGCGGTGGTAGGAGAGTTCGTCCGCTGTTCGTTTTGCGGCTACGCGTCGGCGTTGGTCGAGAGATTCGTCGAAGATGCAGACTCTTTTGAAGGCTTGGCAGTTTACACATGGGGATGTGCCGGTGCACTGTTTTTGTTAGATTGTGTTATGACATAGATGTAGATGTAAATATAGATGTAGTATAATAATCTCACCTTCCTCTTCGACTTCTTACAAGCCAAACAAGCAGTCGAAACTCTCTTCTTCCACGTACCAGGCCCTTTCCCTTCCTCGGGGGGTGGACTACCATTTTCAGTGTCATGTTCATGATAATTTTCGTCATGGTAATCCTCTGAAGGTGAGGGACCTGGTACAAGACGACGTTGATGGGCACTCATATTCCGACACGAGCAGGTGAATTCCGGTATTATTTTCTTCTTTCGCTTTTGCGTTTTCTTTCAAATGTAAAATGTAGTTAAATAGCAAATTTATAGACAAAAACCGGTCAAATATGTGAAAAGCGTATGTAAAAAGAGAGATATACAGTCGAATATGTACTTGGAATATACAAAAAGCAAAGTTGAAACTGTACAAGATCAATTCATCGTGCAAGATGCAGTTTAGAATGCAGCATCTATAATTACTTCTCGAACAGGATTTCGTAGGGCAAATGGGCTTTGCCGCGAATGACGTTGCGCAGATATCATGGGGAACTTTTTCCCGCCTATTATCGAGGTAGATTTGCCCCCAATGGCGTATTTGGGGGGGGAGGGGTTTCTTGAAATCCTGGCTTTGAAGCTGGGATTTCAGGTTATTGAGGTTAAATTGGGTGTTGGGGGATTCTACATCCATCTCTTGAGGGTATATACTTGGTGGAAGAAAGAATCGAGAGATGACTACATATAGTGTACGGCTACAATTACACGTATATGGGCTTCGACTTTGAAAAGAGAACTGGCATGCATTGAGAACTTAAGCAACACTCACAGTACTTGGGAATCGAAGTCAGGTCTAGACTAAAAACCCTATAAGAAAGAAAAAAGACGCTGGATTATTGTAATGTAATACAAGTACTTATTTTGCATACTCCATGGAATCCATAGCCTCGGATGCACCAGTGGAAACAAGAAAATCAAAACATTGCAGATCAGTGAAGACGAGAATCAGACCAAAACAGCTAGTGCAAAACATCTAGTGCTCGAGGATTCTCAGACTACCCTGCACAACGCAGTTCTCAAGCACGGATCCAGGGGGAATGTCAATGGTGCTGCCCTCGGAGGCGACAATAATAACGGTTCCCTTGAGAGTGACGTTGCGGCCGAGATTCACAGGTCCGGTGATAGTGAGGTGGTCCAGCTCGACGATGCGAGGAATGCTGGAAATGCGCTTCTGGAAATCGGACACCTTCTTGAAGTCGGAACCGAGCTTGATCACGGGGACACCACCGAAGCGGTTGGGGTCCATGACCAGCTGGCCGTGCTCGAGACGGTACAGATCAGACTTGACGACCATCAGATCGGAACAGGTCTTGACGGGCAAGAAGCGGCGACGGGGCACGTTGACACCGTGGGCGTTCTTGAAGTGACGGATGGCCGCACCGACGGCGGTCTCCAGCTGGTAGATAGCCTGATCGGCCTCACCCTTCTTATCGGCGGGAATGGACTTCTCGTTGGGGATGATCTCCATCTCCAACTCGTTCTCCTCGACGACACGCTTGATAGCCTGAACGTTCAGCCAGATATTGTTGGTGTTGAAGTACTTGAACTTCTTGATGGACTTGAACTCGTTGACGTGCTCCTTGGGCACCTGGGCGATCTCGAGCAGGCGGACCTTGCCGTCGGAATCAATAATGGTACCACCCTTGACATCAGCCTTGGTCTTGTCAGTCAACTCCATGATGTACTCGGCCTGGGAGTCAACCATGTGCTGCAGGATGCGGAGATCTACCACGGCACCGAGGTTGTCGGCGTTGGACAGGAAGATGTACTCGATACCACGCTCAATCAGCTTGTCGAGAGTGCCGGAGTTGTACAGGGACTCGAACACGTCACCGTGTCCGGGAGGGTACCAATCCTGGAGGGGAGAGTCGAAGCTCTTAGGGGCGGGGAGGAGGGAGTCCTTGATGATGCGGGGGTAGCGCGACTGGTTGAAGGTGATGATGTCGACGTTGTGGCCCTCGTACTTCTTGATAATGGACTGGGTGTCCTGATCGGTGTTGAAGGAGTTCATGAGGACGAAAGGCACGTTGACGTTGAAGCTCCGGTTCAGGTGCTCGATTTGGCGCACGGAGAGATCGAGGAAGGACATGCCCTCACGGACCTCAATGACGGACTTGGGACCAACGCAACCCATGGAGGTACCGAGACCACCGTTCAGCTTGACAACGGCCAGCTTGTTCAAAAACTCGACGGAGGCGTCGGCACCGAGGTCATCGTAACCAACAACCTGGGAAGGCTGAGGAGGAGCGATTTTATCCCAGTTGACGGCGTTGCCCTTAGCCTTGTCGTTCAGGAAACGGCGGAACAGAGCGAAGAAGTTGTCCATCTCGGTCTCGAAACGCTGCTTCTCCTTGGGGTCGGTGACGCTGTCACCGAGGGCGTTCAGGGCATTGCGCATTTGTGAGGCGGCGACGCTAGTGGATGCATTCTCGAATGCCTGGTGGGAGGTTTCACGGGTCAGCTCTGGGCCAAATGGAGGAGCCAAGGTAGCCATGGTAAAGAGGGGAATAGCAACAATTGAAAGAGGGGCTCCTGATATACACCGAGATTGGGGGATTGAACAAATAGAGGGATCACAGTGGACGGTACAATAACGAGGTTCAAGTTTCCGAACGCGAAGTCCAGGAAAGTCCAGAAATCAACAAAACAACCCAAAACGGCAGGAACGACCCAAATGGCAGGAACGAAGCTCCCAAAGTTCGCAATTCAGAATTCACCGCCTGAAGTGAACTTACCATGTGTGACTGAGACTTGCCATGGTGCTTTCCGCCAAAGGCCTCGCTCTCGGCAGGGGCCCGAAGGTGAGTGGGAAGAGCCTTGGAGGCCATTATGAGTTATAGGTGATGGGAGATGGGATAGAATTCGGAGGGAACTGGCTATTATAAAGGATATGAGATCAGTGGCAGGTTCAAGGAAACAGAAGGCAACGTGGCGCCGTGCAAGCTCTCCAGCTCTCTCTAGACAGGAAAGGAGGGGTTGCCACTTGGGGGAGATGTCAAGTTGCCGTCATAGGAAGTATACTTACAGATCAATTCCTAGGACAGATGAAGAGAAAGGAGAGAGAGAAGTCCAGAGTTATAAAAGAAAGAGAGAAAGGGAAAAAGGGTGAAGGATAGAGTGGGGGAGCAAAGACCCCGTGATTATTTTATTTGTTATGCTATTTAGGTATGTACTTTAGGACTCCTATGTTTAGCTATTTAGCCACCTTATAAGACATAACTAATTATATTCCCTCTTTACTGTCTATTCGTATTCTCGTTCTATTCTTATGTGTAGTCTTATGTGGTCCGTAGTCTTTCAATTCCTGTTATCTCGCTCAGTCCTCCTTGCATCCCGATGTCGTCAGCTTCCCAGCCACTCACAGACATCGCCGGAAACTAACGCCTACATATTCCATATTACCTAGTCCGTAAGATATAGTTATACTTGTAGCCATACCCTTAGACCCCTAAGTCCCGGAGTACACAAGTCCACTTGCCACAATCCAGACCCCTTTTCCCTCTCCACCTTAAAGAGCTCCCTACCAATGTTAAGCCCCACCAAAATACAAGCTCTCCTTTTCCTTGTTTCAGTTTCAATGGCCAACTTTCTATGCGGTGCAATTAGATGTTTAGAATAAGATGCATAGTGTCCACCTGACTACATATACACCCAAGTTTGTACTTACTAAGATGTACAACCTAGGGTACATTGGGCACTGCAGGTAGAATTTTCTCCAATGTACTCTACTTTCTTAATTGCAGCTAATAGTATCCCATGTGTATATCAAATTCCGGTCCAAGTGGGACAAGCAAATTAGGGACTCCACCACGCCTCTTGTTTTCTAAAATGAGGTTAATATACGGATCTAAAAATAATGTGTAAAATTTGACATCTTTATCTCTACTCCGTACCATCTACGTACCACATCTACCATCTCTACTTTAGTACTCTATACTACGTACCTAGCCAACTTTGAATCTTGGAAGAGGCCTAAGCATAAAAACGCAGATCAGGGCTGATCAGGGCTGATCAGGACTGTGCGCACAAAGTTTGAAAAACTCGAAAGGCAAATTTTAATTTGACACTGAAGCCATCGAGAATGCACGTAAAATGCATATACAACATGACATCTTCGCCCCCTTAAAGATTCCAAACTGAGACATTAGGCTCAGGTCTGAGACTCAGCCTTGGTTGTCAGGTTTTTTTTGTGGCGCAAACTATCGATTCTCGACTATTTTTACTCGGCTATTTTCAGTCTTCACGCTACGTTGTCTCAAAAAGTCCAAGAACCATCTGAACAATTCAATTCATATTGATAGGCCAAAAAAAAGAGAAAAAAAAAAAGGATATCACAACACAAAGAAAACAAAACTAGTTAATAACAAAACGAAAACAATTCATATTTTCATATACTCTTCAGCCTAAACAGGCAAAGTTCCACAAAAACGGATAGGATAATAATGTTAACTAAACACCGCTGACAGACCTCTTACTCAAGAAGCTGCGACGGGGCATCTTTCTCGAATCGGGACTACCCGCACCCTCAGCATCGAGGGGACCAGTGGTCGAGTGCGACGTAGTGGGTCGCAGACCACCATCGGAGGGTGCAAAGCTGGAACGAATGGTAACGGCACCGTCGCCAACAGTAAGTGTCTTATCCTGGCCGGCGACAGAACCCTGGTCGTCAACGAAGAACGGCGATTCGCCGAGGACATCGTCCGAGCCAAAGGTGGCGTGGTCCACGACGCGGACCTGGTACTGGGCGTCGGCCGTGGTGTTGGGGACGCGGAAGGAATCGTCGAAGATGACCGTGCCGGCGGAGTTCTTGTGCGCCTTGGTCTTGTGGATTTCCTTTGCGCCCTTGGAACCCTGGAGACGGATGAGGACACGGAGGTTGGCATCAGTGGGGAAGTTGGCAGCGGAGACGACGGTGATGTTGGCGGAACCCTTCTCGCCGGTGCCGTTACCACCGAAGACGCTAAGGCGGTCGCCGAACTGCGAGGCGGTGCTGCGGTTGCGGCTGTGTTCCTTCTGCGGAGTGTGGGGGGAAGAGGCGCCGGTGCCCGGGCCATCCACAAGGGAGGCGGCGGGGGTGAGACGGTCGCCCCTGGGGTGCTCAGGTTCCTCGATGCTGCTCATGACGGAGGCGGTATCTTCGCCTTTGTCTTTGTGGATGCGCGACATGAGGCCGTGCTTTA